TGTCATGTTTCAATGCAAAATGTTCGAGGAAGTCCTGTCCAAACCGTTGGGTGAGAAACTGGAAATAGTGTGCCACGGCGCTATTTATGCTGAAACGGTATTGCTGGATTTAGGAGTTATTGAGACAAAATAAACGAAAATGGCAAGCAAAAAGTTGACGCTTAGGGAAGTGATGGGTCTCCTATTCGCTGACTCTGACTCTGAAGGGGAAAATCTACCTTTGGAAGATGACAGCCGGTCGATTAGTGAGCGTGATAGTCACGGTGCGCCTTTGCACCGGCGCTGCCGGGCAGAGCGAGGAAAACACACAAGCACAAACACACGACCCTTAGAGTAAAGGGGAGTAACTGAGAGTAACTGAGAGTAACGGGGAGTAACTGAAAGTAACAACGGGGGAGTAACTGGGGAGTAACTGAGAGTAACTAGAGTAACGGGGAGTAACTGAGAGTAACTGGGAGTAACGTGGAGTAACTGAGAGTAACTTAGAGTAAAGGGGAGTAACTGAGAGTTACAGGGAGTAACTGAGAGTAACGGAGAGTAAAGGGGAGTAACTGAGAGTAACTTAGAGTAACGGGGAGTAACTGAGAGTAACTGAGAGTAGCTGAGAGTAATTGAGAGTAACGGGAGTAACTGGGAGTAACAACGGGGGTAACAGAGTAACTGAGAGTAACAGGGAGTAACTGGGAGTAACAACGGGGAGTAACTGAGAGTAACTGAGAGTAACAGGGAGTAACTGGGAGTAACAACGGGGAGTAACTGAGAGTAACTTAGAGTAACGGGGAGTAACTGAGAGTAACTTAGAGTAACGGGGGTGAGTAACTTAGAGTAAAGGGGAGTAACTGAGAGTTACAGGGAGTAACTGAGAGTAACTGAGAGTAACGGGGAGTAACTGGGAGTAACAATGGGGAGTAACTGAGAGTAACTTAGAGTAACGGGGAGTAACTGAGAGTAACTGAGAGTAGCTGAGAGTAATTGAGAGTAACGGGGAGTAACTGGGAGTAACAACGGGGAGTAACAGAGTAACTGAGAGTAACAGGGAGTAACTGGGAGTAACAACGGGGAGTAACTGAGAGTAACTGAGAGTAACAGGGAGTAACTGGGAGTAACAACGGGGAGTAACTGAGAGTAACTTAGAGTAACGGGGAGTAACTGAGAGTAACTTAGAGTAACGGGGAGTAACTGAGAGTAACTGAGAGTAACAGGGAGTAACTGAGAGTAACTGAGGGTAGCTGAGAGTAACTGAGAGTAACGGGGAGTAACTACGGGGAGTAACTGGGAGTAACAACGGGGAGTAACTGAGAGTAACTGAGGGTAGCTGAGAGTAACTGAGAGTAACGGGGAGTAACTGGGAGTAACAACGGGGAGTAACAGAGTAACTGAGAGTAACAGGGAGTAACTGGGAGTAACAACGGGGAGTAACTGAGAGTAACTTAGAGTAACGGGGAGTAACTGGGAGTAACAACGGGGAGTAACTGAGAGTAACTGAGAGTAACGGGGAGTAACTGAGAGTAACTGAGGGTAGCTGAGAGTAACTGAGAGTAACGGGGAGTAACTGGGAGTAACAACGGGGAGTAACTGAGAGTAACAGGGAGTAACTGGGAGTAACAACGGGGAGTAACTGAGAGTAACGGGGAGTAACTGAGAGTAACTGAGAGTAACGGGGAGTAACTGGGAGTAACAGGGACCACCTGGACCAAAAGCTAACATTAGCTTGAACCCAGTGAAGCAGCAGAGGAACCACAGACCATCTGGACTGAAAGCGTTTACACACTCAGTTTAGGGCGTTTGTTGATGGATCATAATTAACTGATTGTATATTCAATTCAATTCAATTATTTTTTTTGTATAGTATACGATTAACTTTTCAAATAGAGCAGAAAGTCCTCGACCGATTTAAGATTAATGTACTGATGGATCATAATTAACTGGTGATTGATATATTGATGAATCTGTGATCATTCAGGGCTTCTGTAGTGTCTCTCTCACACAGACAGTGTATTGTCTCTCTCTCTTCAGGTCAGTGTCGTTTATCCTCAAACTTTCCCTCCAGCTGAACCTGTGTTCTTTGTTCCTTTGTTCCTTTGAGGTTGAAGAGGAGTTCACACACTGACTGATGATGTAACTCATTGATCGTTACTGTTACATTATATAATAATAAAATATATCAGCATCAGAACACTGGGAGTCATTTTGAATTAAATATTGATTGAACATTGTTTGAATGTTAAATGGTAAATGGGCCTGTACTTGTATAGCGCCTTTCTAGTCTTCTGACCACTCAAAGTGCTTTTACACTACGTGCCACATTCACCCTTTCACACACATTCACTCAGTGATGCACAGCATCAGGAGCAATTCAGGGTTCAATATCTTGCTCAAGGATACTTCGACATGTGGCACCAGGAGCCGGGAATCGAGCCAATAACCTTCCGATTTGGGGGACGACCCGCTCTCCCTCTGCTCCACAGCCGCCCCCATGAACCATCCCTTAGTTATGCTGCTATGGGCCTAGACTATCGGGGGATTTCCCATGATGCACTGAGCTCCTCTCTTCCTCTCTCTTTCTGCACTCATTCATGTTCCATTAATGCATGTTACTAACTCCACTTCTTCCCCGGAGTTCTTGTGCTTTCCCTCTCTGTCTCTCTGTCTCTCTCCCTCTCTCTCTCTCTCTCACCCCAACTGGTCGAGACAGACGACCACCCACCTAGAGCCGGAGGATCTGTCCTAGGTTTCTGCCTTTTAACAGGCAGTGTTTCCTTGCCCTTGTCTCCAAGGTCTTGCTCATGGTGGTACTGTTGGGTCTCTGTAATTAATGTTAAAGAGTTCGGTCTAGACCTGCTCTATTTGAAAAGTGTCCTGAGATAACTTCTGTTATGAATTGGCGCTATTCAAATAAAATTGAATTGAACATGGAGGTTCAACATGGAGGAGGACGATGGGACTTGTTGATGATGTGACTTATTGAAGAAGGGACTTATCGACGAAGGGAATTATTGATGAAGGGACTTGTTGGACTGCTTGTATGAATGTGTTCTGATCTGACTGAAGTCTGAAACCTGTGTGTGTGAACTGAAACTGGATCCCAGTAAACAGAAAGACTGGATCCTCCACCCTGACTCTGTTTCTGGACACACACACAGGTTTCACTGTTAGATAAGAGTGTATAACCTGTATTCACTTTCTCGGAGGAAAGACCTCAGCCGACAGGCAGGAGCCCTCCTCTGGGCTTCCTAATATATTTACAAAAAACTAAAAATCCACTTTTATTTCTGTGACGTTGAGCCTCAACTTTTTATTAACATGTAAACTGAATTTCAGTTAAATATTCCAGAAGTTTCAAACAGAAATCACCCAGTTTATTGTTATTATATTATATTATATGTTATTATTGTTATAAATTATTATTATTGTTTATTATATATTCATATTTGTAGTTATTATAGTGTTGGGGGAGTTGCTGTAATATCCGACTTTGACCAACAGAGGTCAGTAAGCGCCCCTCTTATCTCCTCCTGTGTGTTGTCTGGTCTCCGCCGCTGGGGGGCGCTCCCTCCCCTGGTCCTCCCCGGGGGTCTGATGGCAGGATGGCGGAGGCAGGGGGACCGGAGTCTGCCGCGGCCCGGTGCCCGGACGAGTCATCGGACAGCGAGCCGGAGCAGGAGCCCGGAACCCCGCAGAAACTCATCCGAAAAGTGTCCACTTCCGGCCAGATCCGCAGCAAGGTAACGAGCCTCTAACGGACATTATAGTGTTCATTCAGCGGGATGGGCCACACACAGCCCCGAGGAACACCAACCAAACTCCACTCTAAAACCTCACACTTTAACATTAACAGTCTTAATGGACACATTGCGAACAATATCCAATATAATGTAATACTTTTAATTAATTATCAGGATCCGCTGTGTGATACCGCACACACCACACACCCAAACATCACTAATGTTCACAATACGTCATCTTTTATAACCGGATTGACACTTCTTCCCCGCGTCCCTTCCTCCGCTCCTCCCTGCTGTCCGTCCGACTGAAGCGTTTAAAGAAACGGGCTTTTAGCTGAAATCACTGCTGATTGGTGGGTTTGGACTCTGCCGATTTAAAGAGTGGGTGTGATTGAACTTTTAACGAGTTTAATCCTCGTTCACACACTTATTTAAATATTAGGAATTTGAACTTTTAATTTGACGGATTTTAAACGGACTTTTGATCCAGTGCTTCTGCCGACGAGAGTAAGCGGCGCATTCAGGGGTAAGGGCCACAGCTGCTGCACTAACCCTCCCGGGTAATAATATTACGGTAAATATAATTAACAAATATATTATTTCTGTGGGTTAAAACCTTAAGAAGGAACATTGGAAGTATTTATTTACATCGTTGTACAGAAACCGTTAACTAACAGTTAGTTGAGGCTAACTCCTGCTAGCCGACGGGTCTTAGGCCCGAAGGAAAGCCCCGCTGTTTCCCACCGCTGCCCTTCCGGGAGAGAGAGGGGTAACCCCGGTGGAGAACGCGTTAAACGGCCGGTTGTTTGTGACACATAACGGTCCTCAGTGTATTATGATCAATACTAACAGTTATAAGATATTAAATATCATCAGAAATAATGAACCGCTCAACATAACGGAACATTTATAATAAACTATATGCTGCCTTTAAGGACACATCAAAAGCTTGGGAATACCAGTGTCACTGCTCTGAACAGTCACACTGTTTACAGCCTTCACATTACACTTACTAGAGTTTTAATCGTCTTCTACTGCTTGTTGGATAAAATATTAAATCTACATTATTTACTTACATACTTTATATCGATTTATTTCCACTGGTAGAAGAAATAATAATTATAAATCATCTCAGTTCCCTTTTCCCCTCAATCCCCTTTGTGCCTGTGTCAGCGTTGTGGTTGTCTGCCAGAAGCTGTCACACACTGACTGTTGATCCAGTCTGAAGCCACATTGTTACCATCCACTGTTTAGATCTTGGTGCTTTTTAACTCTAGATTTGAACCGGATGAAGGATTTTAGTCATCGGACGTCTGGATCTTAAGTTATCAGAGAAACAAGCTGAGCTAACGTTAGCAGCAGCTCGGCTCGCAGCCCCTCCGGGACGTCCTTTGTCTGTCCAACAGCGTGGGAGAAGCAGTGATTGTTAAGGTGGAACTGCTTTATTCAGTGATTGTTAAGGTGGAACTGCTTTATTCAGTGTGTTTAGTGGTTTTAATCAGCGGGTCTGTTTGTGTTGGAGAGGAGGAGACCTCTGTGGATCATTGGGCTCCCGGTAGAAACCTCCTGAACCATGAACACTGAAGGAATCCTAACCGGGAGAAGCTGACTGCAATGACGCCAATGGTGGTGAAGACAACAACTCCCATGATCCCACGCTGCTTCACCACCTCATCACACTTTATATTTTCTTACTGTTCTGATGTGAGAGGCCCCCTAGTGGCAGATAGTACACACTGTACCTTTAATGTGACACATTGAGTTCACACTGACGTTGGTTAAAGTCAGGATGTTTATTGAGGCACAGCACTGATGTGTCTGACGGTCCGTGAAGGCAGCAGCAGCACACTGACGTGGATGTTTGAGTCACAGGAAGTGAGTTTCTATTTAAAGCCACAAAAACATGAACAATGAGTCATGTGGGAAATAAGGAGGTATTTGTGTTCTCCTCTGATGAACTAAGGTTTAAAACAATGCTGGATGTTGTCCATTGATCTACAGATGATGAAGATGATGATGAAGATGTGTTAAATAGCAATAAAGTTAAATTGTTGTAGTTCTGATCAGCGGTTTGATTGAGCTATAAAATAGTTGCTGATCATTTTCTGTCGATCAATGAATCGTTTCAGACCTTATGATCATTGCTAACAATAATCAATAACCATATTGATTGATAACTGCACATAGAAAGATGATCGTCAATATCCTGAATACAGGGATCAATAACTGATAAACTCTACAACTCCTGTAACATCAGTCAGCTGATGCAGTGTATTGATTAGGATGTTTATAAGTAAACACTCTGGATGGATGCTGTTGTTGACGACAACAACAACAACAGTCACTGAATGAGCTCTCAATATATCCACTGATCAATATATGCACTGATCAATATATCCACTGATCAATATAATAAATATATCTTATTAATGGGTTTGTGATGATGAATCAGCAGTTTTCTCACACATCCACACTGTATCATTATTATTATATATGAATTATTATAATTCATATAATTATAATAATTCATATACTATAATAATAATAATAATAATAATAATAATAATAATAATATGTGTGTGTCAGACGGTGCTGAAGGAGGGGAATCTGATGAAACAGACCAACTCGTTCCAGCGCTGGAAGAGACGATACTTCAAACTGAGAGGGAGGACTCTGTACTACGCTCAGACCGCCAAGGTGAGTCACTGACCTCAGGTCCACCTCAGGTCCACCTGGGTCCACCTGGGTCCACCTGGGTCCAGGTGTTTCTAAATGTGTGAACCTCCACAGGCTCTGGTGGATCTTCAGCAGCATGTGGACTCCAGGTAGTCCTGTGAGTGTCAATAAGACCAGCTTCCATTGATTTCTATGGAGTAAATGTGTTATAGTTCTAATAATACTACTAATACTAATACTAATCAATGAATATTGATCTGTGTGTCTGCAGTCCATAATCTTTGATGAAGTTGATCTGACTGACGCCAGCGTGGCTGAGTCCAGCACCAAGAACATCAACAACAGCTTCACTGTGAGTGTGTTCAGAACCAGGACCACCTGGACCCTGATGTGGACTCAGCAGGTCCACAAAGAGGTTTTGGTATTTAGTGCTACAAAAGAGTCAAACATTGAGGAGCTGTTAGTTTCTGAATATGAATAATATTAATAATAATAATGCAGTGCACAGTCACTCACCTTTATCATCAGGAAAAATACTACCATTAAATAGAACAGTGGTTCCCAACCTGAGGGTCAGGGCCCCTCGCTAGGGGTCGCCACAGCTTTACGGGGGTTGCATGGCCTTCTTAATTTAAGGGTTATATAAATATATCTCAGTGTTCATTTCTGTGAATAAAACTACATCAAATAGTTATTTCTGGATTATTATTAGTGTGCCTGGAAAGCACACTACTATAATTCTCCGTGCTTATTATTATTCTTCCGTACGTTTTTCGGTCGACTACTCCTCCCACAATTTTGGTCGCACATACACTAAAAGGTACCAAGACGTGCAGCTCGGTGAGGACATTAGTGCTATGACTTTTCTAAGCGTTTCGCCAAACAGTTTGCCGATAAATCGCCAAAAACCAGGCCAAAAGATTTATGGGTGTGTATTGGTAGAATGTTCACAGCTAGAGTGCGTGACATCATCACTAGAGTGGAGAGAGAGAGAAGCATTTGTCAAAAAATAAATTTGTAAACTGCTCTCAAGGCCACAAATGTCACTGTACAGAAATAATGTATAGATAGAAACGTAGGTAAATCCGTTGGGGTCGCAGTGATACCACTGCTGAAGCTGTCAGAGAAATAGTTTTGGCGGGAAGCACACTGATGCGCCAGCAACACCCATTTCTTCCTTAATCTCCCGAGGTCACCTTTTTTAACTTTAGCCACTGAAACTCGTCCTACGGTCGACGAGATGACGATGCTCACGGAGAATGACAAGGTATTAATATGCTAGCCCTAGCTAGCTAGCGTGCTAGGGATGATGACATGGTATTAATATATGGGCCAGAGTCAGGTACACTCAAAATTTCTTAGGAATTTTCTAGTTATTATTTAATATCTAAAGTTTGAAGAAAACACAAAAAAATACATAATACACACTATTATTAATAACAAGTTCCTATAATTATGATTAAAACTTATCTGAGGACATTTACACAAACAAGTCTTATTGTTGTTGTTAATATGAAATATATTATTATTATTAGTTATATGAAATATCAGTCAGTTAATCAGCTGATTAAAAACAATAAATATATTTATATACATGCAGGACAATAAGTATGATGATGATCTTCCTCATGTCCTCCACAGTCTCATTATTTAATGATATATAATAGGGATGCTCAATATTGGCTTTTCTGCCGATATCTGATATTCCGATATTGTCCAACTCTCAATGTCCGATACCGATATCACCCGATATCAATATCACCCGATATCGATATCACCCGATACCGATATCACCCGATACCGATATCATCCGATACCGATATCTGCAGGCTTTTTACACCAAAACTGTAACAACATAACAACATAACAAATCTCCTATTGTGGAATTAACACATTGTGACTCATTTTATGGCGATGCCCCACTGGATGAATACATAAATGCAACATTTCCAAATGTAAACACTGTCTGTGCAAAATAAGAGAACAACTTTAACTTTCATTGTATTAATACTGAAAGGAGCGCTAACGCTAATCACTAGCTTTGGTTAATGTGTTTAATTGTATTATTCTCCTGAAGGAGTGCTAATGTAAATTAAAGAACAGCTCATAGCAGGGTCAAATATTTAAGGTGCATTGAACTTATTTTGTGTTAATATTAAAATCATTCAGCTTTAAATTGTTTGTTTGTTAGCCACCGTTAGCAACCAACCAGTCTAGTTGTTGTTGTTGTTGTTGTTGTTGTTATACGTCAGTGGTTCTCAATTATTTTCTGTCAGATCAGATAACATCAGACATACTTTAATAATCCCGTGGGGAAATTTAATAATTTGCCCCCCCTAGAGGACAGACATTTTTTCATGCCCCCCCTGAATTTTGATACTATTGAGAAACTGATAATATTTATTTATCTGTACAAACCACTGTATGAGTTGCTGGCACCAGCATTCTGCATACAATCACCTGATTATCAAAATGAATTCATAAAATGAGCTGAGATAACATCTGCAACAACTAAAAATAATTTCAGTTTATTAACTTTACTTAACTGGTCACTTGTCAGCTTCATCAGTATTCAGTGTCTCAGCACTTTCTCACCTATGATTGTGACCATGTCCAATGCTGCCGGAGCATTAGCTCCTCTGCTATTGTCTGATGTTTTTTGTATCTTGCGATGTGGCGGTGTTTGTACGAGGCTAACGGTGAGTTTTTACTTACTGATGCCGCGCTCACTAAATGACCGGCCTGTTGGCGATACTCATCGAGTATCCAAGGAAAAAAGTCCAGTGGCTTATTGACATAACTGGGTGTAAGGTCTCCAAGTGCCGTCTTAATTAGTTTGGTTTCATGCTGTCTGCTGCCAGAGTTTTTAAACATTAAACACACACAGGTCTCCTCATTTCCGACCGTATTCACGGTAAACCCAGGGCTATGTAGGCTTCGTCATATTTCCTGCTCTCATTGGGTTTATGCCTGTTACCGTCACTTGCTGTTCTTGCCTCTGACGCCTCCTCCGTTTTTGTTTTTACTCCTGTCAGAAACTTCTCCATCTCTCCTCCTCCGTCAGGCCCCCCTGCCCCGGGGGGGGTGGCGCGCCCCACTATTTGAGAAGTACTGTTATACGTCATCTAGCGCGCGCCGGTAAACGTCCCATGCTGCGTTCATGCAGGCTCAGAAATGCTGAAGCCTACAGAACAAACATCGGTTATAAAAACCCGATACTGATAATTCCCGATATTACATTTTTTAGTCCTTTATTTATTTATTTATTAACTTTTGAAAATGACAAAGACAAATTAATTCATTAAATCTTTTTTCTTTATCAAATCATAGAATCAGTCTTATTTTGGTGGGTTCTGTCACTTCCTGTAAACAAGGCTTTGATGTGTGTGTGTGTGTGTGTGTGTGTGTGTGTGTGTGTGTAAAAGAGTGTGTGTCTGTGTGTGTGTGTGTGTGTGTGTGTGTGTGTGTGTGTGCGCGCACATATCACAGTGTATTTATAGTAAACTGTGTGTGTGTGTGTGTGTGTGTGTGTGTGTGTGTGTGTGTGTGTGTGTGTGTGTGTGTGTTGGGGGGGCGACAGACAGGAAGTATATTGAGTCATAGGAGAGGATGTGGGTGGGGCGAGAGAGAGAGAGAGAGAGAGACACACACACACACACACACACACACCATCACAGACCAGAACCAGAACTTCTCAAGACCTGAACCGTCCTGGATCAGGACTCTGAAGTGGATTTTTGAGCTGGTGGTTGACATCTGCCTGTCTATGTGACGAGTTGAGGTAAAACAGCTGATTGGTCACACTGTGATCTAATTTTAGATTTGAGCTTTAATTTGAAACTAGGAGGTCAAAGGTCGACTGCAGTCTTTAATGAACGATCATTAAATGTCCTGCAGGGACTGTGATTGTGTTGATTGTGGTGCCCCCTGTGGACAAACAGCAGTAGTGTTTCTACTTTCATTACCTTCAGATGTTCTCCGTGTATTGATTATTGATCTTTTAGTACTTTATTTGTACAGCAGGTAGATTGGGTTGGGTGGACTGTTAAATATATTGGTGATGGTGATACCTGTGTCCCAGCTTTGATGACTGGAGCATGTTTAGGATTTGAGATTTTGATGCGTATTTGCGACTCCCATTGACGGGCCATTCCAAAAAGGATTATTATTATTGATCATGTGTCTGTCCTCAGTGAGTTTGGATCGTCACATGTTCAACTAGACTTTGTAGATGAACCTCTTTGAATAGGAGTCCCAGTCACTGTCTGTCTGTTCATGCTGGTCTCATGTGATCTGAGCTGACGTCAGCTCCAGGAAGACTCACAGCTGGAGGACTCATCCTGATCCACTTCTGAGTCTCTGAGAACTCAAGATCACCATTTTAGACCAGTGAGCTGTAACAGGAATCTCCCACAGTGGGACGTCAGGGTCTCTTTCTGAGCATTATGACTGCATTATACTGCATTATACTGCATTATTACTGCATTATACTACATTATACTGCATTATTACTGCATTATACTACATTATACTGCATTATTACTGCATTATACTACATTATACTGCATTATACTGCATTATACTACATTATACTACATTATACTGCATTATACTACATTATACTGCATTATCACTGCATTATACTGCATTATACTGCATTATCACCGCATTATACTACATTATTACTGCATTATACTACATTATACTACATTATACTGCATTATACTACATTATACTACATTATACTGCATTATACTGCATTATACTGAATTATACTACATTATACTACATTATTACTGCATTATACTACATTATACTGCATTATTACTGCATTTTACTGCATTATTACTGCATTATACTACATTATTACTGCATCATACTACATTATACTGCATTATACTGCATCATACTACATTATACTGCATTATACTACATTATACTGCATTATTACTGCATTATACTAGATTATTACTGCATTATACTACATTATACTGCATTATACTACATTATACTGCGTCATACTGCGTTATACTACATTATACTGCATTATACTACATTATACTGCATTATACTGCATTATACTGCATTATACTGCAACATACTGCATTATACTACATTATACTGCATTATTACTGCATTATACTACATTATTACTGCATTATACTACATTATTACTGCATTACACTACATAATACTGCATTATTACTGCATTATCACTGCATTATACTACATTATACTGCATTATACTACATAATACTGCATTATTACTGCATTATACTGCATTATTACTGTATTGTACTGCATTATACTGCATTATCACTGCATTATACTGCATTATACTGCATTATCACTGCATTATCACTGGATTATACTGCATTATTACTGCATTATCACTGCATTATACTGCATTATCACTGGATTATACTACATTATCACTGCATTATACTGCATTATACTGCATTGTTACTGCATTATACTACATTAGACGGCATTATATTGCATTATCACTGCATTATACTGTATTATACTGCATTATCACTATTACACTGCATTATCACTGGATTATACTGCATTATCACTGGATTATACTGCATTATCACTGCATTATACTGCATTATTACTGCATTATACTACATTATACTACATTAGACGGCATTATACTGCATTATCACTGCATTATACTGCATTATCACTGCATTATACTGTATTATACTGCATTATCACTGTATTATACTGCATTATACTGTATTATACTGCATTATACTGCATTATACTACATTATTACTGCATTATACTGCATTATACTACATTATTACTGCATTATACTGCATTATACTACATTATCACTGCATTATACTGCATTATACTGCATTATTACTGCATTATACTGCATTGTACTACATTAGACGGCATTATACTGCATTATCACTGCATTATACTGTATTATACTGCATTATCACTATTATACTGCATTATCACTGCGTTATCACTGGATTATACTGCATTATCACTGGATTATACTGCATTATCACTGCATTATACTGCATTATACTGCATTATTACTGCATTATACTACATTATACTACATTAGACGGCATTATACTGCATTATCACTGCATTATACTGCATTATCACTGTATTATACTGCATTATCACTGTATTATAGTGCATTAGCACTGTATTATACTGCATTATACTGCATTATCACTGCATTATACTGCATTATCACTGTATTATACTGCATTATCACTGTATTATAGTGCATTAGCACTGTATTATACTGCATTATACTGCATTATCACTGCATTATACTGCATTATACTGCATTATCACTGCATTATACTACATTATACTGCATTATCACTGGATTATACTGCATTATTACTGCATTAAACTGCATTATACTGCATTATCACTGGATTATACTGCATCATACTACATTATCACTGCATTATACTGCATTATACTGCATTATCACTGCATTATACTACATTATACTGCGTCATACTGCATTATACTACATTATTACTGCATTATACTACATTATACTGCATTAACACTGTATTATACTGCATTATCACTGCATTATACTGCATTATACTGCATTATCACTGTATTATACTGCATTATACTGCATTATCACTGCATTATACTACATTATACTGCATTATCACTGGATTATACTGCATTATTACTGCATTAAACTGCATTATACTGCATTATCACTGGATTATACTGCATCATACTACATTATCACTGCATTATACTGCATTATACTGCATTATCACTATTATATTGCATTATCACTGCATTATACTGCATTATCACTGCATTATACTGCATTATACTGCATTATCACTGTATTATACTGCATTATTACTGTATTATACTGCATTATCACTGTATTATACTGCATTATTACTGTATTATACTGCATTATCACTGTATTATACTGCATTATACTGCATTATCACTGCATTATACTGCATTGTTACTGCATTATACTACATTATTACTGCATTATAGTGCATTATACTGCATTATACTGCATTATTACTGCGTTTTACTGCATTAGTATAGTGTCTATATGTGTGTATGAGGGTTATTTCTGTCTGGGAACAGGCAGTTCATTGTGGAGCAGCTGAACAGGAAGTGGAAGTCAACGTCTCTGGAAACCACACACATACACACACACACACACACACACACTCTTTCCACCGCTGTATGTGTGTGTTTTCATATAATGAGAACAATGGTCTGTAAACTGCCAACTTCACCGACAACAACAAAACCAGTAAATACTGAAGGTTAACGTGTGTGTATGTGTGTGTGTGTAGGTGATCACCCCCTGCAGACGTCTGGTTCTGTGTGCAGACAACAGGAAGGAGATGGAGGAGTGGATGGCAGCTCTACGCAGCGTCCAGAACAGACAGAACTATGAGGTCAGTATTATTACCAGTATGACCAGTACAGTGACTCCCAGTATCAGAGGCTGACTATGTCTGTCCCTCCCAGTCTACCCAGTACAGCATGGACCACTTCAGTGGGATGCACAACTGGTACGCCTGCTCCCACGCCAGACCGACGTACTGCAACGTCTGCAGGGAGGCGCTGTCAGGAGTCACATCACACGGCCTGTCCTGTGAAGGTACACACAGTACACACACAGTACACACACAGTACACACAGTACACACACAGTACACAAACATTACACACACATTACACACACATTACACATTACACACATTACACACACATTACACATTACACACACATTACACACACAGTACGCACACATTACACACACATTACACATTACACACACATTACACTCACAGTACACACACATTACACACACAGTACACACACAGTACACACACAGTACACAAACATTACACACACATTACACATTACACACACATTACACATTACACACACACACATTACACATTACACATTACACACACATTACACACACAGTACACACACAGTACACAACATTACCCACGCACACATTACACATTACACACACATTACACACACAGTACACACACAGTACACAAACATTACACACACAGTACGCACACATTACACACACAGTATGCACACAGTAAACACACATTACACACAGTAAACACACATTACACACACAGTACACACAGTACACGCACAGTACACACACAGTACACACAGTACACACAGAGTACACACACTTTTCAAATAGAGCAGGTCTACACCGAACTCTTTATAACATTAATTACAGAGACCCAACAGTTCCACCCCGAGCAAGACCTTGGAGACAAGGGCAAGGAAAAACTGCCTGTTAAAAGGCAGAAACCTAGGACAGATCCTCCGGCTCTAGGTGGGTGGTCGTCTGTCTCGACCAGTTGGGGTGAGAGAGAGAGAGAGAGAGAGACAGACAGACAGACAGACAGACAGACGCACAGCAACAACAGTATTGGCAATGGCAATCTAGCAGGACCATGGCAGGAGGCTCCACCAGGATCGATAAAAACCTGCGAGACGAGAAAGCACAAGTACTCCGGGGAAGAAGTGAAGTTAGTAACATGCATTAATGGAACATGAATGAGTGCAGAAAGAGAGAGGAAGAGAGGAGCTCAGTGCACCATGGGAAATCCCCCGATAGTCTAGGCCTATAGCAGCATAACTAAGGGATGGTTCAGGACTCACCTGATCCAGCCCTAACTATAAGCTTTATCAAAGAGGAATGTCTTAAGCGTACTCTTGAATGTGGTGAGGGTGTCTGCCTCCAAAACCACAACTGGAAGCTGGTTCCACAGGAGAGGAGCTTGGTGAAGGCTCTGGCTCCTGTTCTACTTTTAGAGACTATAGGAACCACAAGTAGCCCAGCATTCAGAGAACGTAGAGTTAGTGGGGTAATAGGGTACTATGAGCTCTTTAAGATATGAAGGGGCCTGACCATGAAGAGCTTTATAGGTGAGGAGGAGGATTTTAAATTCTATTCTACATTTTACAGGGAGCCAGTGCAGAGAAGCTAGTACAGGAGAGATGTGATCTCTTTTTCTAGTTCCTGTCAGTACTCGTGCTGCAGCGTTCTGAATTAATTGGAGCGTTTTAATGGACTTATTGGGGCAACCTGATAATAAAGAGTTGCAGTAATCCAGCCTTGAAGTAACAAATGCATGGATTAGTTTTTCTGCATCTGTCTGTGATAGGATGTGTCTAATTTTTGTAATATTACGTAAATGAAAGAAGGCAGTCCTAGAGGTCTGCTTCATGTGGGAGTTAAATGACCTCCTGATCCTGATCAAAGATAACTCCAAGATTCCTGACAGTGGTGCTAGAGGCCAAGTTAATGCCATCTAGAGTAACTATATCTTTAGACAGTGAGTCTCTAAGATTTTTTGTTTTTTTCTGAGTTTAACATCAGAAAATTGCAGGTCATCCAGGATTTTATGTCCTTAAGACATGTTTGTTATTTAGATAATTGATTAATTTCATTGGGTTTGATTGATAGATATAACTGCGTATCATCTGCATAACAGTGAAAGTTAATGGAGTGATTCCTAATAATGTTGCCTAAAGGGAGCATAAAAAAAAAAGTAAATAGTATCGGTCCAAGTACAGAACCTTGTGGAACTCCATGACTAACTGTAGTATTTATTGAAGATTCATCGTTAACATGTACACACAGTACACACACAGTACACACAATACACACACATTACACACACATTACACGCACATTACACACACAGTACACATACATTACACACAGTACACACACAGTACACACACAGTACACACCCAGTACACACACAGTACACACACATTACACACACAGTACACACACAGTACACACAGTACTACACACAGTACTACACACAGTACACACACAGTACACTGAGTACACACACACACACACACACACACACACACAGAGCAGCTATATTTCCATCAGGAAGGACGTCAGAGGGAAAACCAGAAGATAAGTGCTGCCCCCTGCTGGCTGTTAGAGAGAATATTATATATAAACTGTGTGTGTGTGTGTGTGTGTGTGTGTGTGTCAGTGTGTAAGTTTAAGGCTCATAAGCGCTGTGCAGTCAGAGCCACCAACAACTGTAAATGGACCACACTGGCTTCTATCGGGAAGGACATCATCGAGGACGAGGACGGGGTGAGACACAACATTCCTAGACTGACAGTTCAATTCAATTCAATTCAATTCAATTCAATTTTATTTGTATAGCGCCAATTCATAACAGAAGTTATCTCAGGACACTTTTCAAATAGAGCAGGTCTAGACCGAACACTTTAAAACATTAGAAACTTTAAAACAGAGTGACTGTAAACGCCTCGTGTGTCCAGCTGACCTGTGACCTCTGACCTCTGACCTCTGACCTCTGCCCTCAGGTGTCGATGCCTCACCAGTGGCTGGAGGGGAACCTGCCTGTGTCGGCCAAGTGTAACGTCTGTGATAAGACGTGTGGCAGCGTCCTCCGCCTGCAGGACTGGAGGTGTCTCTGGTGTAAAGCCATGGTGAGACAGCTCTGGTTGCTATGGTTACGGTGGTTTCTATGGTTACTGTGAGTCACTGCAGATGTTTAACATTAAAGTGTTATGATCACATTCATTGAACACCTACAGAGAGCACTGGTTCCCAACCTGCAGCCGCACTTTCATTTCAACAATCAAATGAAACCTGGTGTCAGCAGCTACAGCAGCAGGTTGGGATCCATACTTTAATGCTAACTTATCTCTCTTCCAGTCTATCTATCTTTCTGTCCGCCCTCTGTATAAGTAACAAGTCTTTATCTATCCGAGATCTGAATCTGGTGTGACCATTGACAGTTTATATAATGACTGTATATATAATGACAGTTTATATAATAACAGTATATATAATGCTGTATATATAATGACAGTGTATATAATGACAGTTTATATAATGTCAGTGTGTTAAAACTGCATTCTATGTGAAGGCCAGCAGGGGGAGCTCCACTGGCTGCAATATAAACTGATCTCATTCACTCTAAGGGAGAATGAGCTCAGTAAACGGTTTCCTGATAAGTTTCTGGTCTCAGTCTGTAGTTTTGGTCATCTTCCATGGTGTTCATTTAGTAACTGATGGTCCCATTTAGAGTAAAACAGACCATAAAGCAGGGTATGCTTTAGGGCGGGGCTACCTTGTGATTGACAGCTCATTCTCAGTGAGTCCATCCAGCTCAACACACCAAACTCAGATCAAACTGTCAAACAGTGCTGATCAAATATGGATCCAGATTCTGTTGCTGACTATTTCTCTCCTCAAATCTGTTCACAAACACATTTTACTGTTTATCTGGAATACTTGGGGCCTGAGAATGTGCGTTCCTCCACGGGAGCTTCATTGCTGGCGTACGTACATATTTTTTGCTTATGTCAGTTGTCAGTTGGCGACACTCACAGGCGATGCATTGAAATTGCATAGCCGAAATTAACAATTGCTCTCGGGACAGTTGCACTGTATGCGAAAGTCATTATTATTTACAATCTATCAAGCAATTACACAATTTTAAATCATTTGCAGATTATTTGTGTTAAGGGGTTATTTACTGCAGCGCACAGTCCTCTACTGCGTATGGAGGATAAGTAGAACACACTCAAATTATCTCTAGCCTCTTGGCATATTTATTTAACAGTTAACAATAAAGTGTGGACCGATGTGCCACCGTCTCATCAGCATGGCTCACACACAACAATAACTAGCACTCACTGGGAGCGTGGTGACGTCACGTCTTGTACGTACCGTAACCCTTTCACAATACAGCAGTACAGTATATCAGTCTACCGTAATACAGGGACTCCACCACCTGTGGCCTGAAGGCTCTGGCGATGGGCAGATGTGTCTTCATATCTGACCACTTCTTTTTCAACTCCGCTGCGGTGCGGTTCTCCGACCCTACCAAGTTTACTGCCTGTGCCACGCAAAATAAATTGCTTTGGCCTCTACCTCCGTCAGCAGCACCTCCAATTCACACTGCGTAAAATTTCCTTTTTTCCTGGCTTTTGCCATTTTCCTAAAGACAGCACTATCTAGGCCTATTTATACTAATTAGCATATTCAAATCGGTGTATTCGAGGGAGGGGACAGGGTGGAGCGTTGTGCTCGTGCATGTGCGCTCAATTTCACGTTGATTGCGATGTACAAAGACAATGTGCGTGGGATTCTGCGTACGCACGTTTTGATACATCTGAATTTTTTTGTGCGTACGGAACTTTCACTCTTTCAGTGTACGCCACATTCTAGTAGGAAAGTTAGTACATGAGGCCCCAGATCCTGTGTGAGCAGGAGAGCTGCCATCGTTTCCAAACCAAGAGCAGCCAATGAGAGCAGCTTAACTTGTTGTAGTGGGACTGTCTGTGGGTAGCAGCAGTCTGTCTCTCCCTCCTCCTCCACACAGACTGCAGACACCCCCCCCATACAACACAGTGACGCCTCAAAGGAAAATTGAATGGGCGAATGTGACCCACAATGATTCACATTTGTTTGTGTCTTTTCATGGACTTTGTTTGATCTACTCACAGATACTTTTATTAGTTTGGTGGGAACGCAGCCTCAGTTTATTAGCTGAGCTGAGGGTTCCTGCTCCAACCGACAGGAGCTTTTAATGTGAAAGATCTCAGCAAGAAGTCTGTCTCTGTCCTCTGCAGGTGCACTCGGGCTGTAAGGACCAGCTGTCCTCTAAGTGTCCTCTGGGTCAGTGCAAAGTGTCCGTCATCCCTCCGACCGCTCTCAACAGCATCGACTCTGACGGTGAGTGTCCTCCACACATCTGTTACACCTGCACGCACCTGAGTGACTTCATGCTGACAGTTGAATTGTGGGTCCAGGTTTCTGGAAGGCGTCCTGTCCTCCGTCCTGCACCAGTCCTCTGCTGGTCTTCGTCAACTCGAAGAGCGGAGACAACCAGGGCGTCAAGTTCCTGCGACGCTTCAAACAGCTGCTGAACCCGGCGCAGGTGTTCGACCTGATGAACGGAGGGCCACACCTGGGGTGAGCAACACAAACACAGAGAGAGAGAGAGAGAGAGAGAGAGAGAGAGACAGGTGGAGGAGAACAGGTGGTTAATAATCTGTCTGTCTGTCTGTCAGTCTGCGTCTGTTCCAGAAGTTTGATACCTTCAGGATCCTGGTGTGTGGAGGAGACGGCAGCGTCGGCTGGGTTCTGTCTGAGATCGATGCTCTGACGCTGCACAAACAGGTACACACACACACACACACACACACACACACACACAGAGGTAGATGATGTAATAAACAGGTGTTGACGGTGGTGTTGTTGTTGTTGTTGATGATGATGCAGTGTCAGCTGGGAGTTCTTCCTCTGGGGACGGGGAACGATCTGGCTCGGGTTCTGGGGTGGGGTTCTGCCTGTGACGACGACACTCAGCTGCCTCAGATACTGGAGAAACTGGAGAGAGCCAGCACCAAGATGTTAGACAGGTAACTGCTGTTAGACAGGTAAATGTTAGACAGGTAACTACTGTTAGACAGGTAACAACTGTTAGACAGGTAACTACTGTTAGACAGGTAACAACTGTTAGACAGGTAACTACTGTTAGACAGGTAAATGTTAGACAGGTAACAACTGTTAGACAGGTAACAACTGTTAGACAGGTAACAACTGTTAGACAGGTAATTACTGTTAGACAGGTAATTACTGTTAGACAGGTAACTACTGTTAGACAGGTAACAACTGTTAGACAGGTAACTGCTGTTAGACAGGTAACTACTGTTAGACAGGTAATTACTGTTAGACAGGTAACAACTGTTAGACAGGTAACTACTGTTAGACAGGTAACAACTGTTAGACAGGTAACTACTGTTAGACAGGTAACAACTGTTAGACAGGTAACAACTGTTAGACAGGTAATTACTGTTAGACAGGTAACTACTGTTAGACAGGTAACAACTGTTAGACAGGTAACTGCTGTTAGACAGGTAACTGCTGTTAGACAGGTAACGATACAGCCAATAAGAGCAGACAGGAAGCAGAGATAGTTACTATGGTAACGGAAGCTCTTCTGTCTTCCTGCTGCAGATGGAGCATCATGGTCTATGAGACCAAGTTTCCACGGCAACACTCCGCGTCCACTGTCACCGAGGACTGCAGCGACGACTCTGAGGTAACAGGAAATGACATCACTTCTTGCTGTTCCTAACATTTAAGTATGAGGTCAGTTCCTGTACTCTGTTTGTGTCTGATCCAGGTTCAGCAGATTCTGACCTATGAGGACTCGGTGGCTGCTCACCTGTCCAAGATCCTGACCTCAGACCAGCACTCTGTCGTCATCTCGTCCGCCAAGTACGTCCCTCTGTCTGATCCTGGTCCAGGTCTTTGTAGTGAACTGTGGACCTGTGCGATCCTGGTCCAGGTCTTTGTAGTGAACTGTGGTCCTGTGTGATCCTGGTCCAGGTCTTTGTAGTGAACTGTGGTCCTGTTCGATCCTGGTCCAGGTCTTTGTAGTGAACTGTGGTCCTGTGTGATCCTGGTCCAGGTCTTTGTAGTGAACTGTGGTCCTGTTCGATCCTGGTCCAGGTCTTTGTAGTGAACTGTGGTCCTGTGTGATCCTGGTCCAGGTCTTTGTAGTGAACTGTGGTCCTGTGTTTCAGGGTCTTGTGTGAGACGGTGAAGGACTTTGTGGCCCGGGTCGGTAAAGCCTATGAGAAGAACACGGAGAGTTCGGAGGAGTCAGAGGCCATGGCCAAGAAGGTAAAGCTCCTCAGGATCAAAGCATCATGGGAGTTGTAGTGGGATAGATGTGTCCTTCAATGTGGTCTAATGAGTCCCAGACCACCTCAGGAAGTGATCTGATCACAGTGAGTCTCTGTGGTGGTTCACACTGTATTTAGAGCTGATCTCTGTGATCAATCACTCTGTTAATACCTGGAAACAGACACAATGTGTGTACCTCTTTAACGAGCAGTCTGTTAACGAGCAGTCCTCTCTCTCTCTCTTTCGCTCGCTCGCTCTCTCTCTCTCTCTCTCTCTCTCTCTCTCTCTCTCGCTCTCTCTCTCTCTCTCTCTCTCTCTCTCGCTCTCTCTCTCTCTCTCGCTCTCTCTCGCTCGCTCTCTCTGCTCTCTCTCTCTCGCTCTCTCTCGCTCTCTCTCTCTCTCGCTCTCTCAGTGTGGTGTGTTGAAGGAGAAACTGGACTCTCTGCTGAAGACTCTGAATGAGGAGTCTCAGGCCTCCACTGTGCCCCCGCCGGCTCCTCCCCCCACCATCGCGGAGGAGCAGGAGGAGAACGAGGGAGTCGTTCTGCCTCCTCCTCTTCATCATCCTCCTCCTCCTCCTCCTCCTCACACCCCCTGCTCCCCGCGGACCAACGCCTCCTCCTCTGCAGCAGCCGCCATCTTTAAACCTCGAGAGCAGCTCATGCTGCGAGCCAACAGCCTGAAGAAAGCCATCAGACAGATCATCGAACACACTGAGAAAGGTAAGACAGGTAGAGAGTGAGACCGGTCATCGAACACATGAGAAAGGTACGACAGGTAGAGAGTGAGACCGGTCATCAGACACACAGAGAAAGGTACGACAGGTAGAGAGTGAGACAGGTCACCCGTGAGACAGGCAGACAGTCATTGTTGAAGTATCCAGTATTGATCATTGAAGATCAATACGTGATTGCAGTAGAAGGGAACATTACTCTCTCTCTCTCTCTCTCTCTCTCTCTCTCTCTCTCTCTCTCTCTCTCACCCCAACTGGTCGAGACAGACGACCACCCACCTAGAGCCGGAGGATCTGTCCTAGGTTTCTGCCTTTTAACAGGCAGTTTTTCCTTGCCCTTGTCTCCAAGGTCTTGCTCATGGTGGTACTGTTGGGTCTCTGTAAATAATGTTATAAAGAGTTCGGTCTAGACCTGCTCTATTTGAAAAGTGTCTAATTGGCGCTATACAAATAAAATTGAATTGAATTGAATTGAATTGAATTAAAGCTCCAGTTTGTGGGATTTGCTTGTTAAAGATCGAAACTCGTTTCATCATAAACGGCATCCAGTGTTTGTCCGTTCTGGGCCACTGTAGAAACAGTTCAATATGGGGGTTCAATATGGCGGACTCCGCCAGAGGAGGACCCGCTGCCTCTGTAGATGAAAACGTCTCAAAGTAACAATAACACAACAATCTTATTTTCAGCTGATTGTTATTTAATTATAATTATTATATTGATGTGACTCTGGAGCTTTAAGGAAAGGGGCATTGTGGGTAATCCAGAGTGCCATCTAGTGTCATCAATTATGATATAGATACATTGATTATATTGATATATTGATGGTATTGATTATGTGTTTCCAGCGGTGGATGAGCAGAATGCTCAGACTCAGCAGCAGCTGTTCTCTCTGAGTCGGGCTGAGGAAGTGGAGGGTCTGGTGGAGGAGGAAGAGGAGGAGGATGTGGAGGAGGATAAAATGTCTCTCCAGTCGTCGTACAGCGCCAGACACCGCAACGCTCGCAGAGGTCAGTTATACTAATAATACTACTACTGGTAACACCACAGCGCTTGCAGAGGTCAGTTATACTAATAATACTACTACTGGTAACACCACAGCGCTTGCAGAGGTCAGTTATACTAATAATACTACTACTGGTAACACCACAGCGCTTGCAGAGGTCAGTTATACTAATAATACTACTAGCACTGCTCTCTCTCTCTCCATTCATTGTCTACCTGGCTCGCCCAGCGCTGCTCTGCCTGTATTGAACAAAAAGTTCCAGCCCATATCCAGAGCTATCAGTCTCAGTATGATCAGGACTAACACCTGGAGCTGCTCATACAGCTGTTGTCTGTCACTGTCTGCCTGTCTGTCTGCAGTCAGTAAGACGCCCTGTGAGAAGCTCATCAGTAAAGGCAGCCTGTCGCTGGGCAGCTCTGCATCACTTCCTGTTCAGACAGGAAGTAGGGAGAACATGCCCATGCTCAACACGAAGATCCTCTATCCAGGTAAGAAGCTCTGAGTTCAGACAGGAAGTTAATGTCACCATGACAACAGTCTGATGTTTACCTGTGTGTGTGTGTGTGTGTGTGTGTGTGTGTGTGTGTGTGTGTGTGTGTGTGTGTGTGCGTGCGCGCAGGTCTCAGAGGAATCTCAGGTTCTCTCTCCAGCAGCTCTGTGATCAGTCGGCTGCTGGTCAACGCCGACCCGTTCAGCTGTGACCCTGACAACATGTGAGTCTGTCTGTCTGTCTGTCTGTCTGTTATCACAACATTAAACCATCAGACAGTTTCAGTCCTCAGAGGTTTTTACACTCTGGTGTGTGTGTGTGTGCGTGCGTGTGTGTGTGTGTGTGTGTGTGTGTGTGTGTGTGTGTGTCTGTGTGGTACAGGGACTGTTACACTGAGAAATGTGTGATGAACAACTACTTTGGAATTGGACTGGACGCTAAAATCTCTCTGGACTTCAACAACAAGAGAGACGAACATCCAGAGAAGTGCAGGTAACAAAATAAAACTTTATTTAAAACTTTATTTAAAGGACCAGGGTGTAGGATTTAGTGCCATCTAGAGGTGAGATTGCAACCCCCTCGCCCTCTGTGAGTGAGGGAGATGGTGGGAACCTGCAGCAGTTGTTGGTTGCTGTGTGGGCGATCAACGGCGCTGATGATGGCTGTGGCAGCGTGCATTCGCTGCAACGCACCTGTTTTTTTGGGGCCGTGTCCAAGCTGCGTAAAAAAATATATACAAATTATTCTAAAACGTATTTTTAATGCAGTGGTCAGGTGACACAGAGAGAGCACGAGGTCACTGATCTGTGTCTGAGCTGGTGGTGTGTGACCGAGGAACCATTCAGTTGTTGTTAATGTCTTTAATCTGAACATCTGGACTGATGTGTGCTCAGGAGTCGCACTAAGAACTTGATGTGGTACGGTGTCCTGGGAACCAAAGAGCTTCTGCACAGAACCTACAAGAACCTGGAGCAGAGGGTTCTACTGGAGGTGAGACTGGTTCTGCTGGTTTTAGACCAGTTACACAGTAACTTCTACCAACATAGTATACAGAGTTAAAGAGCCACTGACTGATCTGAGATCTGCTCCTCTGCAGTGTGACGGGCGGCCGATCCCTCTGCCCAGTCTGCAAGGCATCGCTGTGCTCAACATCCCCAGCTACGCAGGAGGAACCAACTTCTGGGGAGGAACCAAAGAGGACGACGTGAGTCCGTTTATTTCCATTCATAAATGTTACTGGTTGTCCTTCTGCTACGTCGGTTGCTCTGCTCTAACACTCTGGTTCTATAAATACACACACTGTATCTTCAGTATGCTTCATACTCTATTGATCAATAACAGCTGATCAACTGATCAATGAAACCAAACAGTGAACTCAATCACTGCAGGAAGTTTGATTATTTCCTGTGAATATTGATCACAGATGAGTTTTCCTGATATATTGATCCATTCTCCGTCTGTATTTTTATCATTCAGACTTAATATTCTTCTTTCTTTTTTTTCTTCTTTTTTTCAAGTTATTTTTTTGGCCTTTTATTGCCTTTATTGGATAGTGACAGACGAAGACAGACAGGAAAGTGGGGCAGAGAGAGAGGGGATGACACGCAGCAAAGGGCCACTGGTGCAGCTGCTGCAGCACCTCTGAGAGACATGGGTCGCCAGCTCTACCGACTGAGCTAAGCGGGCGCCCAATATTCTTCTTTCTGACAGATTCACTGTTTATTCTCATTGATCGATCAGCTGTTTGCTTTCTGATGCAGGACGAGGCAGTTGATCAATAATACTAATAATATACACTGTGATCAATAATACTAATATACACTGTGATCAATAATAATATACACTGTGATCAGTAATAATAATAATATACACTGTGATCACATGGTCTAATCTTTAATAGTGAATATAAGATATAGTGACATAAACAACCACTGTCAGGTGGTGAGTGATGTCACCTCTGTCTGACTTTCCATCTGTCTGTCTGTCTGTCCATCTGTCTGTCTGTCTGTCCGTCCATCTGTCTGTCTGTCCATCTGTCTGACTGTCCATCTGTCTGTCTCTCAGACGTTCACGGCTCCGTCCTTTGACGATAAGATCCTGGAGGTGGTGGCGGTGTTCGGCAGCATGCAGATGGCCGTGTCCCGAGTCATCAACCTGCAGCACCACCGCATCGCACAGGTACCTGAGCCAGAGTCTGTGCCGTAGTGATCGGCACCACGGTAACCAAGTCTGGCCCACACGGCGAGCAGGGCTCAGCTGTCAATCATGATGACAACCCCCTTTTTATGCCTTCCAATAACGAGAGCTAATGGATGTGTGTCTGACTCTGTGTGTGTGTCAGTGTCGGACAGTGAAGATCACCATCCTGGGGGACGAGGGGGTCCCAGTGCAGGTGGACGGGGAGGCCTGGGTCCAACCTCCAGGTTACATCAAGATCATCCACAAGAACCGAACCCAGACCCTCACCAGGGACCGAGTAAGTACCCACCCAGACCTTCCTCTCGGGCTCCCTGTGTGCTGCTCTGATCTGATGGAAGTAATCAATTACAATAATTGGTGTGTGTGTGTGTGTGTGTGTGTGTGTGTGTGTGTGTGTGTGTGTTTGAGGCGTTTGAGAGCACTCTGAAATCGTGGGAGGACAAACAGAAGTGTGAGTTTCCTCGGACCCCCCCACCTCAGGTCCCGCAGGCCCCCCTATCCTCGCAGCCAGAGATTGTCTCTGAGGAAGAGGCGTCACTCATCAGCGAGTTGGGTCAGGCAGCAGGAGCTCTCATACACAGGTAACAATAATCAATATTGTGATTGATCACTGATTGATATTTGAATCATCCTGATAAAAGACATCACAAAATGTAACATTTATTAATGAAATACAAAGACACTCAAATGTTCATATTCAGTCAGTTAATCCACAGAAATGAGTTATTTGTTCATATTGACGATCAGTGTAAACAAATAATAACGAGAATATATATATAGGTATATCTATATCTATATCTAGATATAGATACCACCCAAAACCGCTCATAAGTGAATACAAGAGATATCGGTCAAAAAAACATACTGAAGAAGAGAAAAATGAAGAGTGAAGATTGAAATGAACAGATTCCAGATGCAGTGTGGCACAAAGATGTCAGGAGGATTCACACATCATCTATTTGTCAGAGACATACAGTTGTACAATGATTTCACTGCTCAAAGGTTAGTCCAAAATCAGACCAGAGTTAAACCCTACTTGCAATAGATATAAGCAAGCTCCTGCAACTCTATTACACACGTTTTGGACATTCCAAGATTACACCATTTCTGGCAGTCAATGTTCAACTCTCTAAAATATGAATGCAGCCAATAGATCCATCCGCTCTTACTGCTCTATTTGGTGTCACTCTGCAGTGAATCTAAGTAAATGTAAGTCCAATGTGGTGGCCTTTTGTACACTACTGGCCAGACGACTGATTCTGTTCAGATGGAAAGACCCTCTTCCTCCTTCGTACTCCCACTGGATTAAGGAGACTATGCAATATTTAAAGCTAGAAGAAATAAGATACTCTCTACAAGGGTCTGTTTTGAAATTCTATGTAACCTGGCAGCCCTTCTTGACATTTGTGGATCAAATGGAAGCAGAAAACGTAACCCTGTGAACCTCTTACTATATGTTCTTTTTTGTCCCTGCTATATTTATTTACATGACGCACCTTATCAACAAGTACACAAAATGACTGTCTTTGATTTCGTGGTACAGGTCTGGTGGGTGGGAGGGTGGGGGGTAGTGATTAGGGATTAGTCATGTTTGTATTATCTTTGTATTTTGCATATTGTGAAAATCATAAATAAAAACAAAAATTAATGAAGACTGAAGATAACTGTGATGTGTGTAACATCACACACAGAGTGCTATAGATGCAGGGCAGAGGTCAGTGCTGTAGATATAAGGCAGAGGTCCCTACAGTCTGTCTGATTAATATAATAGTAAAAAATAATTATATTATCATTAGCTATATTTCATACATTTTACTGAAGTCCAATAATCTGACACTAATTGTCTTTGACAGTGTGAGTCCATTTGACAATAAGTTACAAAGGTCAGTGCTGTAGATACAGGGCAGCGGTCAGTGCTGTAGATACAGGGCAGAGGTCAGTACTGTTTATTTGATTGTTATAATATATATATATATATATATATATATATATATACAATATATATTGTTTGTATTGATTGTGATTGCTGCACATTAACTTCACTCTCAAATGTAGCTAGCTAGCTAAGGATTGATGTAGATTAGTTAGCTAGCATTGTGCTGACATTTATTTAAGATGTGTCTTTTATCTTTTAACCATCTTCAAAATGTGGTTGTCTTTCTAACATAGATTAGCCTAGCATAGCATTTCTATCCAGTTACAATGTGTTGATATTGCTGCTGTATTAATAAATATAATCAATATGATTTTATAATTATAGGAGCTCTGGATGTAACAGGTGGAAACTCTTTTTGTGTTTCAGTATTCGTGAAGTCGCTCAGTCTCACCACAGTCTGGAACAGGAACTGGCCCACGCTGTCAACGCCAGCTCAAAGGCTATGGACGTGGTCTACGCCAACTCCAAGAGCTCAGGGGTACTTAACATAACTTCCTGGTCTCTATGTCCTGGTCTCTATGTCCTGGTCTCTACTGTCCTGGTCTCTATGTCCTGGTCTCTACTGTCCTGGTCTCTATGTCCTGGTCTCTACTGTCCTGGTCTCTACTGTCCTGGTCTCTATGTCCTGGTCTCTACTGTCCTGGTCTCTATGTCCTGGTCTCTATGTCCTGGTCTCTACTGTCCTGGTCTCTATGTCCTGGTCTCTATGTCCTGGTCTCTATGTCCTGGTCTCTACTGTCGTGGTCTCTATGTCCTGGTCTCTATGTCCTGGTCTCTACTGTCGTGGTCTCTACTGTCCTGGTCTCTACTGTCCTGGTCTCTACTGTCCTGGTCTCTATGTCCTGGTCTCTACTGTCCTGGTCTATACTGTCTGTGTTTAGTATTATTTGAATAGTGGATGTAATTTGTGTACTGAACCTGTCTCTCTCCCACCCTGTCTGTCTGCCCAGGCCTTGAGCTGCAGTGTTGTCCTTCAGATGGTCGTTAATGTCAAAGCGTTACTCAGTGAGACAGAGCTCCTGCTGGCTGGAAAGATGTCCATGGTAAATCTTTCTTTTATATCGCATCATACAGAAGTTTATTTCTGTGTTTATGTGTCAAGAAAACACTGAACTCCTCAAAGGTTATAAATATATAAATATATAAATGTATATAAATATGTAAATGTATATAAATGTGTAAATGTATATAAATATATATAATATATAATATTGCCACTGGGTGTAGATGGGAGATGGACTGCACTTGTATAGTTTCTTTTCTAGTCTTCCAACCACTTAAAGATACTTCGTCATGCGGGTCAAACCAACAAATATTTGTGAAAAGAGTTTTAACAATAAACATTAACAACTAACGTGCAGTCAGAGTTCCACTGACAGTACAGACAGGTTGTTATTGTCAGTGTCTGACAGCATTATGGAAAGGACCCCTACAGAGACCTTTAATCACAAACAGCCCTAATATCACTATCACTCTCCACCAGACTCCAGAGACAAAAACAGTCCTTGTCTTGATATGTGTGTGTGTGTGTGTGTGTGTGTGTGTGTGTGCGCAGCAGCTAGATCCTCCTCAGCAGGAGCAGCTGAATGCAGCTCTGAGTTCTGTGGCTCAGCAGCTCCGTCGGCTGGCCGATGTGTCCTGGTTGTGTCCCGTCATCGACCCCTCAGACCACGAGGTAAACCACAAAGATATTCTTCTACCAGTACCGCTGCTTCTACCAGTACCGTCAGAACCGCTGCTTCTACAAGTACCGTCAGAACCGCTACTACTACCAGTACCGCTGCTTCTACCAGTACCGTCAGTACTATTACTACTACCAGTACCGCTGCTTCTAACAGTACCATCAGTACCGCTGCTTCTAACAGTACCGTCAGTACCACTGCTTCTAACAGTACCGCTGCTTCTAACAGTACTGTCAGTACCGCTGCTTCTACCAGTACCGTCAGTACCACTACTACTACCAGTACCGCTGCTTCTAACAGTACCATCAGTACCGCTGCTTCTAACAGTACCGTCAGTACCACTGCTTCTAACAGTACCGCTGCTTCTAACAGTACCGTCAGTACCGCTGCTTCTACCAGTACCGTCAGTACCACTACTACTACCAGTACCGCTGCTTCTAACAGTACCATCAGTACCGCTGCTTCTAACAGTACCCTCAGTACCACTGCTTCTACTAGTACCGCTGCTTCTACCAGTACCGTCAGTACTATTACTACTACCAGTACCGCTGCTTCTAACAGTACCATCAGTACCGCTGCTTCTAACAGTACCGTCAGTACCACTGCCTCTACCAGTACCGCTGCTTCTACTAGTACCGTCAGTACCGCTACTACTACCAGTACCGCTGCTTCTAACAGTACCGTCAGTACCACTGCCTCTACCAGTACCGCTGCTTCTACATACTACTACTACCAGTACCGCTGCTTCTAACAGTACCGTCAGTACCACTGCTTCTACCAGTACCGCTGCTTCTACCAGTACCGTCAGTACTGCTACTACTACCAGTACCGCTACTACTACCAGTACCGCTACTTCTATCAGTACCGCTCCTTCTAACAGTACCGTCAGTACCGCTGCTTCTAACAGTACCGCTGCTTCTACCAGTACCGTCAATTCCCCTACTACTACCAGTACCGCTACTTCTACCAGTACCGCTCCTTCTAACAGTACCGTCAGTACCACTGCTTCTAACAGTACCGCTGCTTCTATCAGTACCGTCAGTACCGCTACTTCTACCAGTACCGCTACTTCTACCAGTACCACTCCTTCTAACAGTCCCGTCTGTACCGCTGCTTCTACCAGTACCGTCAGTACCGCTACTACTACCAGTAAAGCTCCTTCTAACAGTACTGTCAGTAATGCTGCTTCTACCGGTACCGCTGCTTCTACCAGTACCACTCCTTCTAACAGTACCGTCAGTACCGCTGCTTCTACCAGTACCATCAGTACCGCTACTACTACCAGTACCGCTCCTTCTACCAGTACCGTCAGTACCGCTGCTTCTACCAGCGGTACAGTAATACTGTCAGTACTGGTACATAAATACTACTAACACACTGTCTGTCTGTCCACCCATCCACCTGTCTGTCTGTCTGTCTGTCTGTCCGTCCGTCCTCAGGGTCCTCTCACAGATTTCTCAAAGCGAAGTCGGAGCGCGAAATTCCGTCTTGTCCCGAAGTTCAAGAAAGACAAAAACAACAAGAATAAAGAGACCTGTGCTACTCTCTCTCTGCCAGGTGAGCTGTCTGTCTGTCTGTCTGTCTGTCTGTCTCTCTCCTCCTCTGATGTTGCTCTTTCCTGTATTGGGTTATTTCTCCACTTCCTGTCTCTGATCCACTTCCTGTTGGTGTCTTCAGTTCACCAGTGGGGGACGGAGGAGGTGGGGGCATGGCTGGACTTTCTCTGTCTCACTGAATATAAGGACATCTTTATCGGACACGATGTCCGCGGAGCTGAGCTCATCCACCTGGAGAGGAGGGACCTGAAGGTAACACCGCTAGCTCTGATGCTAACTGCTAACTGTTAACCGCTAACTGCTAACTGTTAACCAGCTGCTTGGAGGATGAACTGCATTAATCTGTCTGTCTGTCTGTCTGTCTGTGTTCAGGACCTGGGGGTGACCAAGGTGGGTCACATGAAGAGGATCCTTCAGGGCATCAGAGAGCTGAACAGGAACAGCAGCGCCAGCGAGGCCTGACTGCAGCCAGGTGAGCCCGTCATAGCCCCTCATTAAATCAATATTAAAGCAATATTAGATCAATATTAAAGCAATATTAAATCAATATTAGAGCTATATTAAATCAATATTAAATCAATATTAGAGCAATATTAAACCAATATTGAATCAATATTAGAGCTATATTAAATCAATATTAAATCAGTATTAAATCAATATTAGAGCAATATTAAATCAATATTAGAGCTATATTAAATCAATATTAAATCAATATTAGAGCAATATTAAATCAATATAAGAGCAATATTAGATCAATAAAATTGTATCAGTCGTATTTATTATGGTTCTACATAATCTCTGTTTGTAGCTCATTTACATTCAGTCACTGTTAGAATAACGAGGATGGAACTGATGACAGTCGCTTTTTGAAGTTTCTGATTCAATTAAATTTTATTTGTATAGCGCCAATTCATAACAGAAGTTATCTCAGGACACTTTTCAAATAGAGCAGGTCTAGACCGAACTCTTTAAAACATTAATTACAGAGACCCAACAGTACCACCATGAGCAAGACCTTGGAGACAAGGGCAAGGAAAAACTGCCTGTTAAAAGGCAGAAACCTAGGACAGACCCTTCGGCTCTAGGTGGGTGGTCGTCTGTCTCGACCAGTTGGGGTGAGAGAGAGAGAGAGAGAGGGAGAGAGAGAGAGAGAGACAGACAGACAGACAGACAGACAGACAGACAGACAGGTGCACAGCAACAACAGTATTGGCAATGGCAATCTAGCAGGACCATGGCAGGAGGCTCCACCAGGATCGACAAGAACCTGCGAGACGAGAAAGCACAAGAACTCCGGGGAAGAAGTGAAGTTAGTAACATGCATTAATGGGACATGAATGAGTGCAGAAAGAGAGAGGAAGAGAGGAGCTCAGTGCATCATGGGAAATCCCCCGATAGTCTAGGCCTATAGCAGCATAACTAAGGGATGGTTCAGGACTCACCTGATCCAGCTCTAACTATAAGCTTTATCAAAGAGGAATGTCTTAAGCCTACTCTTGAATGTGGAGAGGGTGTCTGCCTCCCGAACCACAACTGGAAGCTGGTTCCACAGGAGAGGAGCTTGGTAACTGAAGGCTCTGGCTCCTGTTCTACTTTTAGAGACTATAGGAACCACAAGTAGCCCAGCATTCAGAGAACGTAGTGTTCTAGTGGGGTAATAGGGTACTATGAGCTCTTTAAGATATGAAGGGGCCTGACCATGAAGAGCTTTATAGGTGAGGAGGAGGAGGATTTTAAATTCAATTCTAAATTTTACAGGGAGCCAGTGCAGAGAAGCTAGTACAGGAGAGATGTGATCTCTTTTTCTAGTTCCTGTCAGTACTCGTGCTGCAGCGTTCTGAATTAATTGGAGCGTTTTAATGCACTTATTGGGGCAACCTGATAATAAAGAGTTGCAGTAATCCAGCCTTGAAGTAACAAATGCATGGATTAGTTTTTCTGCATCTGTCTGTGATAGGATGTGTCTAATTTTTGTAATATTACGTAAATGAAAGAAGGTGGTCCTAGAGGTCTGCTTTATGTGGGAGTTAAATGACAAATCCTGATCAAAGATAACTCCAAGATTCCTGACAGTGGTGCTAGAGGCCAAGGTAATGCCATCTATAGTAACTATATCTTTAGACAGTGAGTCTCTAAGGTTTTTGGGGCCAAGAAGAATTTCGTTTTTTTCTGAGTTTAACATCAGAAAATTGCAGCTCATCCAGGATTTTATGTCCTTAAGACATGTTTGTAATTTAGATAATTGATTAATTTCATTGGGTTTGATTGATAGATATAACTGCGTATCATCTGCATAACAGTGAAAGTTAATGGAGTGATTCCTAATAATGTTGCCTAAAGGGAGCATATATAAAGTAAATAGTATTGGTCCAAGTACAGAACCTTGTGGAACTCCATGACTAACAGTAGTATTTATTGAAGATTCATCGTTAACATGTACAAACTGCGAACGATCTGATAAATATGACGTAAACCAGCTTAGTGCGGTTCCTTTAATGCCAATTTGATGCTCAAGTCTCTGTAAAAGAATATTATGGTCAATGGTGTCAAATGCAGCACTAAGATCTAATAATACAAGTACAGAGACAAGTCCATTGTCAGAAGCAATCAGAAGGTCATTATTAACTTTAACCAGAGCTGTCTCTGTGCTGTGATGGACTCTAAATCCTGACTGAATTTTGAACGTTGTTGTTGTTGTTGATGTTGACATTGTTGTTGTTGTTGTTGAGGTTGATGTTTTTGTTGTTGTTGTTGTTGCAGCTGTCTGCTCTCCTCTTTCCTCTGCTACCATCAACCGCCTCAACTACCTGACTTCTGACCTCTGACCTTTGACCCTGAACCAGCAGGTCCAGGACCAGGACTCACCCTCCTCAAGGTGACACACAGACCGCCTGAAGAACCAATCAGAGGATCCATTAGTGCCTTGTCCTCTCACCCACCGACCAATCAGAGGCAACCATAAGGGCTGCACCAGAGCCATGCACACAGCGAGCTGAGGCGGTCTGAAGCCAGACTGCGGAGACCACCAAAGGCCATCATGTGATCTACCTGCCACTAACCCGGCTCACCTGAGCAGCCAACCAATCCCTGATCGGTTGGACCAGGATGCAGCAGAACCCTTTAAACCTTCAGACTCCATAAACCTTTTTAGAACCGTTTTATGAACCTGAGGGGGGACCGGTGAGTCCAGATCAGACTGATACAGTTTTGTACTGAGATAATATTTATTAGAGTCCAGCAAACGTCACTGACGAGGGGACGCTGGGAGAGACCAGATCCTGGTCTGACGAAGACTCTGACAGTCGGATCAGTGGATGAAGACGAGCTGCGTTTCCTGTCTGATGTTCTGTTTGTGCCGTCCATCCTTCCGTCAGCCGAGGGTCCAGTTCTGTTTCAGGGACCAAACTGAACACATTGATTAGTGACCTTTGTGTTCATATATCACACCTGGAGCCTTAAATGAACCTTCAGTGACCGCTGATCAATCAATCAATCAATCAATCAATCAATCAATCAATCAATCAGTTTATAAAAGAACCTGCTTCTGTTTCATATCATCCCTCATTTCATCTGTCTTTACATTTAAGTAATAGACCAAATGATTAATAATGTAAAGCTTCTATAAGTAACTGACAGCGCCACCAGTGGCCGTTCACTGACCTGCAGTCAGCTAACCGTTAGCTTTGTACCGCTACAACATTTATTGTTGGCTAACACATAAGTTAGCATCAAGGATTATATTAGCTTCCCAGCTTACATTAGCCAGCTAACATACCCACTCAGATAGCATTCTGCTAGCGATAATGTTAGCAAGCAAGTAAGCTAACGTTAGCCAGCTAAAAGCACAATATGACAATCTATCCTCCCTTCATCAGCACACACTGTCTAAAGATTGATCTGTGATTGATTATTGATCAGCTGAGATGAAGTGAAACAGGAAGTTGTACTTTACTGTTTACATGATTTAGTTTCAGAAGCTAACAGACACAAACTTTATCAGAGGATGCCTTAAAGTGTCTGTCAGCTTCTTCACTGTCAATAAATATTGTTATTGATTATTGATCTGTAATCGGACAAAGCCTCTCAATGACTCCGTGTTAATATGATGTAACAGAAAGACGCTCGCTGTAATAAAGCCTGTTGTGTTCGCTGCCTGTCGCTTTATCTGTGTCCACTTTCTGCTGTTTCCTGATAAATGATCTATATTCCAACTCCATTATTTATATTAGGAGTTAATGTACAGGTTTTACTGACCATATGGATCTAGATCTGGTCTTGGTTCAGATCTCTTCAACCAACAGGGAACCGGTTCTGTACCCGGTCAAACACCCAGTTTAGAACCTGAAGTCGGTTCCAAACTGGAACCAGAACATATCAGTTGTTGTTGTTGGGAACCAGCGGCGCCCTCTGCTGGTGACGTTGATTACAGTGGTTCCACTCTATAGTGGGTAGATCCATACAGTACATACAGTGTGTGTGTCATCTTTTTAAGATGTATATTATAATTAATTATGAATTCATCAATTTTAAATACATTGATTATACATAATAATTACACGTACAATACATCTTAATTGTTGGGTCCATTACCATCATTTGAAAGAGAAAGATTTCAGCAGCTACCTAATATATATACTCTATATAATGTTATAAGGAGTTCGGTCTAGACCTGCTCTATTTGAAAAAATTTATTTGCATAGCGCCAATTCATAACAGAAGTTCTCTCAGGACACTTAAAATAGAGCAGGTCTAGACTGAACTCTTTCTAACATTATTTACAGAAATCCAACAGTACCACCATGAGCAAGCACTTGGCGACAAGGGCAAGGAAAAACTGCCTGTTAAAAGGCAGAAACCTATGACAGTGCTTCCTGATAATAAAGAGTTGCAGTAATCCAGCCTTGAAGTAACAAATGCATGGATTAGTTTTTCTGCATCTGTCTGTGTTAGGATGTGTCTAATTTTTGTAATATTACGTAAATGAAAGAAGGTGGTCCTGGAGGTTTGTTTTATGTGGGAATTAAATGACAAATCCTGATCAAAGATAACTCCAAGATTCCTGACAGTGGTGCTAGAGGCCAAGGTAATGCCATCTAGAGTAACTATATCTTAAGACAGTGAGTCTCTAAGGTTTTTGGGGCCAAGTACAAGAATTTCGTTTTTTTCTGAGTTTAGCATCAGAAAATTGCAGGTCATCCAGGATTTTATGTCCTTAAGATATGTTTGTAATTTAGATAATTGATTAATTTAATCGGGCTTGAAGCAATCAGAAGGTCATTATTAACTTTAACCAGAGCTGTCTCTGTGCTATGATGGACTCTAAATCCTGACTAAAGATCCTCAAATAAACTATTGTTTTGTAGAAAGTCACACAACTCTTTGGCATCTACCTTCTCCAGAATCTTAGAGAGGAAGGGGAGGTTAGAAATCGGTCTATAGTTGGCTAAAACCCCTGGGTCAAGAGTGGGCTTTTAAGAAGGGGTTTAATTACAGCTACTTTAAAGGACTGTGGTACATATCCTGATAATAAAGAAAGATTAATCATATCCAGTAAAGAAGTGCCAATTAAGGGAACAACTTCTTTAAGCAGCCTAGTTGGGATCGGGTCTAATAGACAGGTTGATGGCTTCAATGAAGAAATGATTGAAGTTAACTGATGAAGATCGATAGAAAAACAGTCTAAAAATATATCTGAGTCTACATTAGTAGAAATCCCTGAACTTGGAGAGCCACTGATAACTGTTGATGGCAGTTGGTGATTAATTTTCTCTCTAATAGTAATAATTTTATTATAGAAGAAGCTCATGAAGTCATTGCTACTTAAGTTTATGGGGATATGTGGCTCGATAGAGCTGTGACTCTGTCAGCCTGGCTACAGTGCTGAAGAGGAACCTAGGGTTATTCTTATTTTCTTCTATTAGTGCTGAGTAATAGGCTCCTCTGGCATTACGGAGGACCTTTCTATAAATTTTAAGATTATCTTGCCAAATTGAGCGATATTCTAATAATTTAGAAGAGCGCCATTTCCTTTCAGATTTCCTAGCTATTTGCTTTAACTGGCGGGTTTGGTGGTTGTACCACGGTGCTAGTCTCCTATGTTTCAATAATTTCCTTTTTATAGGAGCGATAGAGTCTAATGTTGATCGTAGTGAGCCTGCAGCACTATCGACAAGATTATCAATTTCAGAGGGACTAAAGTCGTTATAGGACTCTGTTAAATTCAGACATGGCATTGAATTAAACACTGAAGGAATCTCCTCCTTAAATTTAGCTACAGCACTATCAGATAGACATCTGCTGTAGGAAGTTTTGCCTAATGGCTTATAATCTAATAGTATAAATTCAAAAGTTATTAAATAATGGTCAGATAGGAAAGGATTATGTGGGAAGACTATTAAATGTTCAATATCAATGCCATATGATAGAACAAGATCAAGAGTGTGATTAAAAAAATGAGTTGGTTTATTTACACTCTGACAGAAGCCAATTGAGTCTATTAATGATATAAATGTGTTACTAAGGCTGTCATTGTTCCTCCATTCATCCACATGAATATTAAAATCACCTACAAAAGCAAAAAAATAACCTACACCCCTTCTTAAAAAGCCCACTCTTGACCCAGGGGTTTTAGCCATCTATAGACCGATTTCTAACCTCCCCTTCCTCTCTAAGATTCTGGAGAAAGTAGTCGCCAAAGAGTTGTGTGACTTTCTACATAACAATAGTTTATTTGAGGATTTTCAGTCAGGATTTAGAGTTCATCATAGCACAGAGACAGCTCTGGTTAAAGTTAATAATGACCTTCTGATTGCTTCTGACAATGGACTTGTCTCTGTACTTGTATTATTAGATCTTAGTGCTGCATTTGACACCATTGACCATAATATTCTTTTACAGAGACTTGAGCATCAAATTGACATTAAAGGAACCGCACTAAGCTGGTTTAAGTCATATTTATCAGATCGCTCGTAGTTTGTACATGTTAACGATGAATCTTCAATAAGTACTACAGTTAGTCATGCAGTTCCACAAGGTTCTGTACTTGGACCAATACTATTTACTTTATATATGCTCCCTTTAGGCAACATTATTAGGACTCACTCCATTAACTTTCACTATTATGCAGATGATACGCAGTTATATCTATCAATCAAGCCCGATGAAATTAATCAATTATCTTAATTACAAACATGTCTTAAGGACATAAAATCCTGGATGACCTGCAATTTTCTGATGTTAAATTCTTGTTCTTGGCCCCAAAAACCTTAGAGACTCACTGTCTCTAGATGGCATTAACTTGGCCTCTAGCACCACTGTCAGGAATCTTGGAGTTATCTTTGATCAGGATTTGTCATTTAACTCCCACATAAAGCAGACCTCTAGGACCACCTTCTTTCATTTACGTAATATTACAAAAATTAGACACATCCTATCACAGACAGATGCAGAAAAACTAATCCATGCATTTGTTACTTCAAGGCTGGATTACTGCAACTCTTTATTATCAGGTTGCCCCAATAAGTCCATTAAAATGCTCCAATTAATTCAGAATGCTGCAGCACGAGTACTGACAGGAACTAGAAAAAGAGATCACATCTCTCCTGTACTAGCTTCTCTGCACTGGCTCCCTGTAAAATTTAGAATAGAATTTAAAATCCTCCTCCTCACCTATAAAGCTCTTCATGGTCAGGCCCCTTCATATCCCTCATATGTGCACCTTTCTGTCTGTCTGTCTGTCTCTCTGTCTGTCTCTCTCTCTCTCTCTCTCTCTCTGTCTGTCTCTCTCTCTCTGTGTGTCTCTCTCTCTCTCTCTCTCTCTCTTTCACCCCAACTGGTCGAGACAGACGACCACCCACCTAGAGCCGAAGGATCTGTCCTAGGTTTCTACCTTTTAACAGGCAGTTTTTCCTTGCTGCTGTCTCCAAGGTCTTGCTCATGGTGGTACTGTTGGGTTTCTGTAAATAATGTTATAAAGGAGTTCGGTCTAGACCTGCTCTATTTGGAAAGTGTCCTGAGATAACTTCTGTTATGAATTGGCGCTATACAAATAAAATTGAATTTAATTATATTTGAACCTCTCGGAGCAGCTCTGTTTAACGACCTCTGACCTGAACAGAAACTCTGAAATAACAAAATCAGGTAATTTCACGTGTTGGGTCACAGTTTGCCCACCGATTTGTCTTACAAGCTCATCAGAGGTTTCCGTGACCTTTGAGCTCTCCGTTGTCTCGTTACTTCCTGTAGAGTTTGACTCGTCTCTGGTCGCGTCCTCTCTGCTGCTGATGTGACGTCTGTGTGTCAATATTTGAATTGTGGTTAACGATCCATCTCTGTCCTCTATTTTACATCAGACAGACGCCAAATGTCTGTCCTCACAGGAGACGACAGGAGAAAACAATAAAGAACAGGAGACGACAGTAAACAACAGGAGATGACAGTAAACAACAGGAGATGACAGGAGACAACAGAAGACAACAATAAACAACAGGAGACGACAGTAGACAACAGGAGATGACAGGAGACAACAGTAAACAACAAGAGACAACAGTAAACAACGGGAGACAACCGTAAACAAGGGGGATAACAGTAAACAATCAAAGACAACAGTAAACAACAGGAGACAACAATAAAAAACGGTAAACAACGGAAGACGACACCAGGTAGGACCATCCACTAACATCAGGCTGAGACATAATGGTGCCATGCTGCAAAATATCCCAGAATGCACCCTGATTTTCTTCATAACTAAAACATTACAGACACTTTGACACCTGAACATAACACATCTCTTCTTCTTCTAAGAGAGGACAACTTCCTGTCTGCCCACAGACAGACATGCTGCCGTCCACAGGTGTGACGTGGACTCTCTGCTCTCTGCTTGTTGGCTCTGCACTGGTTGAATGTACAGGTGAGACTGACTGATGGACAGAGGATCGAAAGTAGCGTAATGTAACATAAAGTAGCGTAAAGTAATGTAAAGTAGTGTAAAGTAACTTAATGTAACATAAAGTAATGTAGTGTAAAGTTGCGTAAGGTAACTTAATGTAGCGTAAAGCAGCATAAAGTAATGTAAAGTAACGAGTAATGTAAAGTAACAAGTAATGTCACGTAAAGAAGCATAAAGTAGCATAAAGTAACTTAATGTAACGTAAAGTAGCGTAAAGAAACTTACTGTAGCATAAAGTAGTGTAAAGTAACTTAACGTAACTTAATGTAACATATAGTAGCGTAAATTAGCATAAAGTAGCGTAAAGTAACGTAAGGTAATGCAAAGTAACGTAAAGTAGCATAAGGTAACATAAACTAACGTAAAGAGTAAACTAACGAGTAACGTAATGTAACATAAAGTAATGTAAAGTAGCTTAAAGTAGCTTAAACAAGAGGAATTAAACATAAAAACCTAATAAAAATTAAAACTAACTCCTCAGTAGCGCAAAATAAGAGAATGAAATGTGGACTGTTAAATATCAGGTCTCTGTCCTCTAAAGCTGTTTTAGTGAATGAATTAATATCAGATTATGATATTGATTTACTTTGTCTTACTGAGACCTGGTTGTCCCACGAGGAGTATGTTAGCCTAAATGAATCCACCCCCCCCAGTCATATTAATACTCACATTCCTCGAGGCACTGGCCGAGGAGGTGGAGTAGCAGCCATATATGATTCAAGCGTTTTAATGGACCCTAAACCTAAACTAAATTATAATTCATTTGAAAGCCTTGTTCTTAGTCTTTCTCACCCAAACTGGAAAACACTGCAGCCAGTTCTATTTGTTATAGTGTACCGCGCTCCTGGACCGTACTCTGATTTTATATCTGAATTCTCAGAGTTTCTATCAAGTTTAGTCCTTAAATCAGATAAAGTAATTATTGTAGGTGATTTTAATATTCATGTTGATGTTGACAATGACAGCCTTAGTAATGCATTTATATCATTAATAGACTCAATTGGCTTCTGTCAGAGTGTAAATAAACCAACTCATTGTTTTAATCACACTCTTGACCTTGTTCTATCATATGGCATTGATATTGAACATTTAATAGTCTTCCCACATAATGGCTGACAGAGAGTCACAGCTCTATTGAGCCACATATCCCCATAAACTTAAGACTTAGACTTCATGAGCTTCTTTTATAATAAAATTATTACTATTAGAGAGAAAATTAATCACCAACTGCCATCAACAGCTATCAGTGGCTCTCCAAGTTCAGGAACTTTAACTAATGTAAACTCAGATATATATTTAGCCTGTTTTTCTGCTATCGATCTTCATCAGTTAACTTCAATCATTTCTTCATCGAAGCCATCAACCTGTCTATTAGACCCCATCCCAACTAGGCTGTTTAAAGAAGTTGTTCCCTTAATTGGCACTTCTTTACTGGATATGATTAATCTTTCTTTATCATCAGGATATGTACCACAGTCCTTTAAAGTAGCTGTAATAAAACCCCTTCTTAAAAAGCCCACTCTTGACCCAGGGGTTTTAGCCAACTATAGACCAATCTCTAACCTCCCCTTCCTCTCTAAGATTCTGGAGAAAGTAGTCGCCAAAGAGTTGTGTGACTTTCTACATAACAATAGTTTATTTGAGGATTTTCAGTCAGGATTTAGAGTTCATCATAGCACAGAGACAGCTCTGGTTAAAGTTAATAATGACCTTCTAATTGCTTCTGACAATGGACTTGTCTCTGTACTTGTATTATTAGATCTTAGTGCTGCATTTGACACCATTGACCATAATATTCTTTTACAGAGACTTGAGCATCAAATTGGCATTAAAGGAACCGCACTAAGCTTGTTTAAGTCATAGCACCCTATTACCCCACTAGAACACTGCGTTCTCTGAATGCTGGGCTACTTGTGATTCCTATAGTCTCTAAAAGTAGAGCAGGAGCCAGAGCCTTCAGTTACCAAGCTCCTCTCCTGTGGAACCAGCTTCCAGTTGTGGTTCGGGAGGCAGACACCCTCACCACATTCAAGAATAGGCTTAAGACATTCCTCTTTGATAAAGCTTATAGTTAGGGCTGGATCAGGTGAGTCCTGAACCATCCCTTAGTTATGCTGCTATAGGCCTAGACTATCGGGGGATTTCCCATGGTGCACTGAGCTCCTCCCTTCCTCTCTCTTCCTGTGCTCATTCATGTTCCATTAATGTACGTTACTAACTTCACTTCTTCCCCGGAGTTCTTGTGGTTTCTCGTCTCGTAGGTTCTTGTCGATCCTGGTGGAGCCTCCTGCCATGGTCCTGCTAGATTGCCATTGCCAATACTGTTGTTGCTGTGCACCTGTCTGTCTGTCTGTCTCTTGCTCTCTCTCTCTGTCTCTCTCTCTCTCTCTCTCTCACCCCAACTGGTCGAGACAGACGACCACCCACCTAGAGCCGAAGGATCTGTCCTAGGTTACTGTTGGGTCTCTGTAAATAATGTTATAAGGAGTTTGGTCTAGACCTGCTCTATTTGAAAAGTGTCCTGAGATAACTTCTGTTATGAATTGGCACTATACAAATAAAATTGAATTGAATTGAATTGAAAGACTAGGCTTAAGACATCCCTCTTTGATTAAGCTTATAGTTAGGGTTGGATCAGGTGAGTCCTGAACCATCCCTTAGTTATGCTGCTATAGGCCTAGACTATCGGGGGATTTCCCATGGTGCACTGAGCTCCTCTCTTCCTCTCTCTTTCTGCACTCATTCATGTCCCACTAATGCATGTTACTAACTTCACTTCTTCCCTGGAGTTCTTGTGCTTTCTCGTCTCGCAGGTTCTCATGGATCCTGGTGGAGCCTCCTGCCATGGTCCTGCTTGACTACAATTGCCAGTATCACTGATATTAGTGTTATTATTATTATAAGTATTATTATTTCATTATTACAATTCAATTCAATTCAATTTTATTTGTATAGCGCCAATTCATAACAGAAATTATCTCAGGACACTTTTCAAATAGAGCAGGTCTAGACAAAACTCCTTATAACATTATTTACAGAGACCCAACAGTACCACCATGAGCAAGCACTTGGCGACAAGGGCAAGGAAAAACTGCCTGTTGAAAGGCAGAAACCATATATAAATATAACGTGTATTTGTTGAAATCATCAGAGTCCAACAACTCGTTCATCAATAACATTGATTATCAGTCATAATAATATCAGCAGTGTGTGCAGAATAAGTGTTTCTATTTTTTTGTCCACTCCTCAGTGTTCCTGGATGCGTCGGCGGCAGGTCAGATCCTCCGCTCCTCCTCCAGGAGGCGTCGGGCCAATTCCCACTTCCTGGAGGAGATGCTACCAGGAGACCTGGAAAGGGAGTGCTATGAGGAGAACTGCTCGCAGGAGGAGGCTGCAGAGATCTTCCAGACCAAAGAGAAGACGGTAAGAACCAGGGCTGGAAGACAGACAGGGTTTCTATAGACTACATGGAACCAGCTCAAACATATAGTGCTGTCTTTTTTAATATGACCACTGGGGGGCGCCAAAGTCTGACATTTGATTCCTGACTGTCAAAGGTCAGAGGTCACATTCAATTCAATTCAGTTTTATTTGTACAGCACCATTTTTTTAGACCCCTTTAGACGGTACTCCTTATAAAAAGAGTACAGAGACAGCAACGATAAGAACAACTAATAATAATCATTATTATTTTAAAAAATAATAATAATGATGATGATGACAAATCAACTGTGCGCAGAGATACTTCAAGTACTTTATTAACTCTGACTTTCTTGTTCCACAGCTGGAGTTCTGGTATAAATACACAAGTGAGTAAAAACTGTACGAAACACAAATGCATACTTTACATACATACTTGCATCCATACAGAAAAAGTCAAGTCAAGTAAAGAAAATCTGTATAAAGTACAGAAGCATAGCGGTAAAAAAAGCAGCATAAGAAAAGTGCAGTAAAGTAGCCTAAAGTAAAGCGAGATGTGACGTGTTCAGGTGTCTCTCCTGTTTGTCGTAGATTTTAATCCTTGTCGGACCAACCCCTGTCTGAACGGAGGGATGTGTACTGAGGACCGAGGAGACTTCATGTGCCTCTGTCCTCCTCAGTACCATGGCAAGACCTGCGACTCAGGTACTACACCTGTAAACAACAGGTGACTTAGATAAATAACACCTGTCACTCAGGTAATTAGCACCTGTAACTCCATCACCATCATCAGGTGGATCTTAGTGGGACACTATCTGGATACAGTGGAGTCCCTCAGAGCAGCGTCCTGGGGCCACTGATGTGCATCTGTATGCAGACGACACTGCACTGATACTGTGATCATACAGTTTGAGTTCAGATTGGTCAGAGACAGTTACTGTTCCTTCTGTGTATTTGTGTGTATTACTGTATTGTTTTAATAATCATGTGTACTGTGTGTACTGTGTGTAGTGGTGTTGGCATGTCTCTATAGAAACGGCGGCTGTATGCAGTACTGCAGAGACCTGTTGGGTGGAGCCGGAGTTCAGTGTGGCTGCGCTGATGGATTCAAACTGGACCCTGACGGATACAGCTGCTCCCAGACCGGTACTACTAATACTACTGATACTACTGCACATAATTCTGCTGATATACTCCTGGTATTTCTTTCAGTATCTGATCCTTGTTCGCAGTAGTATTTCTGACAGTATTTGTTCTTCCTGTCCAGAGTCATTCCCCTGCGGCCGTCAGCACAGCGTCTTGTCGTACCACAGTCACTCTCTGTGGAGTCGTTCTGAGCTTGTCAACACCACTGTAGAGACGGATGCCATGTTGGATGACAACAGCACAGATAGCTGGGAGTCTACAGAGACCATGGAGGAGCTGATGACAGTGAACGCAACGTCTGAAGGCAGCGAAGGGAACAGGACAGAGCAGAGGGGGGAGGATCGGGGACAAGAGGAGGGGAAGACTCGTATTGTGGGCGGAGTCCTGGAGAGACGAGGAGGGAGCCCCTGGCAGGTGTGGATTAAAACCAATGAACTTTCTTTAAAGCAGCTTTAACGTATATTTATTTAATAACATAGATTGCGTGTGTTCAGGTTCTGGTCCACAGGTCTGATGGTTACGGGTTCTGTGGTGGGACTCTGGTCTCTGATCGCTGGGTGGTCTCTGCCGCTCACTGCTGCGAGGAGACTGCAGACCACGTTACTATAGGTGCGCCTCTGTTATTACCACCAGTTCATATAATGGACAATGTGTTAACCCTGCATGTCCAGCAGGGGGCAGCTCCACTCTGATAGTATTGAGTCTTATGGAGAAGTTGATTGATGAGCTCAGTAAACAGTTTCCTGATGAGTTTAGAGTAAAATAGACCATAAAACAGGGTATGCTTTAGAGCGGGGCTACCTTGTGACTCAGGTTACGCTGATGACTTTACTTTATTCATTTCAGATCCTAGAGCGTCTATTGCCCCTGTGTTAGATCTGATATATGAATCTGACTTCTACAACTTCTACAGAGCACAAATAGTGAGCTTGTTGTTGTTGTTGAGCATCTGAATAATGTGTGTTTGTACAGGAGACCTTGATAAACAGCGTCCTGATCCAGGTGAGCAGCTCATAAAGGTTCAGAAGGTCTTCATTCATCCTCACTTCCACTCCTTCACCTTCGACAGCGACATTGCTCTGCTCTACCTCGCCCGGCCTGTCGTCAGGGGCCCCACCGCTGTCCCCGCCTGCCTCCCTGACCCCCACCTCTCCAAATACCTGCTGCAGGTAACTTTATTTATGACAGTGGTGGAGCCCAGACCTGAGATCAGAGCTGACAGTGTATGTCTGTGTGTTCAGGTGGGGAACCGGGGCGTGGTGACGGGCTGGGGAGTCACTCACTACCTGGGCAAGTCTTCCCGCTTCCTCAGGAAGGTGACGCTCCCAGTGGTCAGCTACAAAGACTGCACTGCTTCCACTGAACAGGTGATCAGATACCATCAATCAATCAATCAGACTTTATTTGTATAGCACTGCACCCAGGAGTCAAACCAAGAAATCAATGAATGAGTAATGGATTTACAGCAAGGTTTAAATAACGAACAATCTGTGGTACTCCTCACTCAGTAACTCTAATAATATATAATATAAACTAATAATAACCTTAATAATATATAATATAAACTAATAATATATAATAAAACTAATAATAACTCTAATAATATAAGCTAATAATATATAATATAAACTTATAATAACTCTAATAATATAAACTAATAAAATATAATGTAAACTAATATTATACCATATAAACTAATAATATATAATATAAACTAATAATAACTCTGTTGTGCAGGAACATTGTCCTGGTAGTTTCTGCTCACAGAGAACAACAGAATTTAATAAAAAGAAGTAAGGCTCTAGGTCGCTTCCCAGAGGAACTCCTCAAGTTATTGATCAGTTAATTATAAATCATTGTTGGAAACATTTGGGATTATGTGAGAACACAACTCAACTCCATACAGAACATAGCTCTAGAGTTGATACACTGTTTAATGATTATAGATTATTGATTATAGATTACTGATGGGTGTCTCTCTCTTGCAGGTGATCACAGACAACATGTTCTGTGCAGGCTACCTGGACGTCAGCGTGGACGCCTGCAGCGGAGACAGCGGAGGGCCGTTTGTGGTGAACTACAGAGGAACCTGGTTCCTGAGCGGGGTTGTCAGCTGGGGGGAGAAATGTGCTGCGAAGGGGAAGTACGGAGTCTATACCCACCTGGGGAACTTCCTGAACTGGATCAGAAACACCATGGAGAGACTGGACATCAACAGTACCGAGAGCCACTGAGCGACTGATCGATTAATGGACTCATTGATGAATGGACTGATTGATTAATTAACTTATTGATTAATGGACTATGGTGTCAGATGTACTTGTATTCACTGTTTGATGATCTTGTATAAACTCTTCATATGTTTGTGTGTAAAAATATTGATTTTGTGGAGTTACAAGTACAACATAGAAGTAAATGTACTAAGTTACTTGTCGAGTACTGAGTAGGTGTTACAGCACAGCTCTGTCAGACTGTCCTGATCGATCATCAGTTCAAGCTGTTTGATATTTTATTACTAACGTCAGTAAATGGATGAGATCAATGATTCCTATAAACAGAAAATTTGATTTTCTTTGCAAAAAGTGTTTATTATTTATATAATCCATACATTCAAGTGTAAAATATAATAACACAGTAACAATAGCTCTCATATCTGATCAACAAGTAACAGATTACATTGATAATGAAAGTTAACTTGCATTCTGTTAAAGTAATCAGATTACAAATACATTTAGTAAAAATAGTAATTATTAGAAGGTTTACAATTTTAAAATAAAGAACGAGGTATTACCATGCACCCTTCCTAAGCCCCGCCCCTTTTTGCTCTGCGCTCCAATCACAGTTGAACAACTTCCTCCTTTCCTGCACTCAGATATGCTATGCTAGGCTAATCTATGTTGAAAAGACAACCACATTTTGGAGATGGTTCAAAGATAAAAGAGACATGGTAGTTTCCTACACAAACGCTGATCCACTGAGTCACCAGACTACAGTTTCCTTCGATTTTTAATGAATTATACAAAACAATCACAGTTATTTTTCTCAGCTTGCACGATGTTCACCATCACAACATGCAGCGCAATCGTTTTAGAAAGGCTGCCACAAAATCAGCCCACAATATCCTGGAGGGACCGATACACTCACAACTTCAGTTAGCTAATGTTAGCAAAATGCAAACTAATTAGCTTGTGCTTTGCTAACATTAGCTAACTTAAGAAGTGACTCTGTGTCTCTTTTATCTTTGGATCCTGTCACATTGTTCTGCTTCTATATTAATGTTTCTAAAAGTCATCCTGATCATATTTATTTCTCTTGTGTGTATTTGGTGTTACAGAAAGTAATCCAGTTACTTTAATATTGTGATACTAACAGTAACTGGCTCTGTCGGTCTGTTGATATTTGACAGTATATTATATATATATAGTATATAAGTACAACATGTACTGCAGTGAATGTACTCAGTGATCACCACCAGGGGGCAGCATGTGTCTGTATCCACTCCACATATTTAGCCACTCGGGTGTAAACGCCGTACACCCTCTGACTGCCACACTCCTCCGGCCCGCCCCATGACACCAACCCAAACACCGCCCACCTCTGGCTGACCCCGTCCTCCATCACAAACGCCCCCCCGCTGTCCCCCAGACAGGTGTCTCGCCCCCCCTCGAAGAAGCCAGCGCAGAACATGTTGTCGGTGATGTTGTAGCTGACGGAGCGCGAGGCGTAGCTCGCCTGACACTCGTCCTGAGGAACCACCGGCAGCTTCACGTACTGCAGGAGGTCAGAGGTCATCCCAAGGTCAGAGGTCAGCGTGGGGGGGTCGCTGCCGGGGGACGAGGAGTTGAGGTTGGAGATTCCCCAACCAGCAACTACACCCAGAGAGTTCGGGTGAGGGGTGGGAGGGTCATCCTGAAGGAGAGAGGTCAAAGGTCACTGTGGTCACTTAATATGTAATAAGAGTTTGTAAAGATGTGTACCCATGTGTTAGTGCTAATACTACAGTAGTGCAGTGGTACTACTAGTATTAGTATTAGTAGTTCTGTAGTATTAGTAGTAGTGTAGTATTAGTATTAGTAGTTCTGTAGTATTAGTAGTAGTGTAGTATTAGTATTAGTAGTTCTGTAGTATTAGTAGTTCTGTAGTATTAGTAGTACTGTAGTATTAGTAGTACTGTAGTATTAGTATTAGTAGTTCTGTAGTATTAATAGTTCTGTAGTATTAGTAGTTCTGTAGTATTAGTAGTTCTGTAGTATTTTTTTAGTATTAGTATTAGTAGTTCTGTAGTATTAGTAGTTCTTAGTATTAGTATTAGTAGTTCTGTAGTATTAGTAGTTCTGTAGTATTAGTATAAGTAGTTCTGTAGTATTAGTATTAGTAGTTCTGTAGTATTAGTAGTTCTGTAGTATTAGTAGTACTGTAGTATTAGTAGTTCTGTAGTATTAGTAGTACTGTAGTATTAGTATTAGTAGTTCTGTAGTATTAGTAGTTCTGTAGTATTAGTAGTACTGTAGTATTAGTATAAGTAGTTCTGTAGTATTAGTAGTACTGTAGTATTAGTAGTACTGTAGTATTAGTAGTTCTGTAGTATTAGTATTTGTAGTACTGTATTATTTGTCCCACCTGGCTGTGGGGTGGGGGGAGACAGACGGGGCGGATGAGCTCAGTAAACTCCACCTGCTCCGTCAGCCTCAGCAGGGCCACATCGTTGTTGTAGTTGTTGGGTTGGAAGTCTGGATGGAGGAAGATCTGCTGCACCGAACGGTTCGAGGCCAGAGACCTGTCTGAAGCGTCATGGAGACCAAGGAAGACCTGGAGGACGTTACACTGGTTACACTGGTTGTACTGGTTAAACTGGAGTGTTAGGAGTAGATTCAGTGAGTTCCTCAGACCTTGACGTGTTCGGGGGCCACAGGGACCACACTGGTGTCCCTCCTCTGGGACCTAAGAACGTGGGCGGCCGTGAGGACCCAGGAACCGGACAGCAGGGCCCCGGAGCCAAACCAGCGGTCCTCAGGGACCCGGGACAGATCCTCTACACTGAGCAGAACTTGCCAGGGGAACAGACCGGGTTCGGCACTGCGACCCCCCACGATCCGCTTCACCTGAGGGGGCAGAGAGCGGGACGGACGGCCGCAGGCTGCAGGGGAGCACCAGAGATACAGTATGTACTACTGTATATATAAGGTATTGATCACTGACGGTATATATTAGGTATTGTATTGATCACTGACAGTATATATAAGGCATTGATCACTGACGGTATATATAAGGTATTGATCACTGACGGTATATATAAGGTATTGTATTGATCATTGACAGTATATATAAGGTATTGGTCACTGACATTATATATATGGTATTGTATTGATCACTGAAAGTATATATATTGTATTGATCACTGACAGTATATATAAGGTATTGATCACTGACAGTATATATGGTATTGATCACTGACGGTATATATATGGTATTGATCACTGACAGTATATATAAGGTATTGTATTGATCACTGACAGTATATATAATGTATTTATCAGTGACAGTATATATAAGGTATTGGTCACTGACAGTAAATATATGGTATTGTATTGATCACTGAAAGTATATATATTGTATTTATCACTGTAAGTATATGTAAGGTATTGATCACTGATGGTATATATATGGTATTGATCACTGACAGTATATATGAGGTATTGATCACTGACAGTATATATATGACAGTATATATAAGGTATTGATCACTGACAGTATATATAATGTATTTATCAGTGACAGTATATATAAGGTATTGATCACTGACAGTATATATAAGGTATTGTATTGATCACTGAAAGTATATATAAGGTATTGATCACTCACAGTATATATAAGGTATTGATCACTGACAGTATAGATAAGGTATTGTATTGATCACTGACAGTATATATAAGGTATTGATCACTGACAGTATATATAAGTATTGATCACTGACAGTATATATAAGGTATGGTATTGATCACTGACAGTATATATAAGGTATTGATTACTGACAGTATATATAATGTATTGATCACTGACAGTATATATAAGGTATTGTATTGATCACTGACAGTATATATAAGGTATTGATCACTGACAGTATATATAAGGTATTGATTACTGACAGTATATATAATGTATTGATCAGTGACAGTATATATAAGGTATTGATCACATGCTTTACGTGCATTACGTGCTACGGTAAGTGTACTGACTCATTTCCGGTTTACTTCCTGCTCTGTGTACACTGTTTTTATGCTGTAGCTCTGTCATTGAACGCTAATTAATTCAGAACGCTGCAGCACGATTACTGACAGGAACTAGAAAAAGAGATCACATCTCTCCTGTACTAGCTTCTCTGCATTGGCTCCCTGTAAAATGTAGAATTGAATTTAAAATCCTCCTCCTCACCTATAAAGTGTCAGTAGAACAGGAGCCAGAGCCTTCAGTTACCAAGCTCCTCTCCTGTGGAACTAGCTTCCAGTTGTGGTTCGGGAGGCAGACACCCTCTCCACATTCAAGAGTAGGCTTAAGACATTCCTCTTTGATAAAGCTTATAGTTAGGGCTGGATCAGGTGAGTCCTGAACCATCCCTTAGTTATGCTGCTATAGGCCTAGACTATCGGGGGATTTCCCATGGTGCACTGAGCTCCTCCCTTCCTCTCTCTTTCTGCACTCATTCATGTTCCATTAATGCATGTTACTAACTTCACTTCTTCCCCGGAATTCTTGTGCTTTCTCGTCTCGCAGGTCCTTGTCGATCCTGGTGGAGCCTCCTGCCATGGTCCTGCTAGATTGCCATTGCCAATACTGTTGTTGCTGTGCACCTGTCTGTCTGTCTCTCTCTCTCTCTCTCTCTCTCTCTCTCACCCGAACTGGTCGAGACAGACGACCACCCACCTAGAGCCGGAGGATCTGTTCTAGGTTTCTGCCTTTTAACAGGCAGTTTTTCCTTGCCCTTGTCTCCAAGGTCTTGCTCATGGTGGTACTGTTGGGTCTCTGTAATTAATGTTTTAAAGAGTTCGGTCTAGACCTGCTCTATTTGAAAAGTGTCCTGAGATAACTTCTGTTATGAATTGGCGCTATACAAATAAAATTGAATTGAATTGAATTGAATCAGTGACAGTATATATAATGTATTGTTCACTGACAGTATATATATTGTATTGATCACTGACGGTATACATGGTATTGATCACTGACGATATATATATGGTATTGATCACTGACAGTATATATAAGGTATTGATCACTGACAGTATATATATGGTATTGATCAGTGACAGTATATATAATGTATTGTTCACTGACAGTGTATATAAGGTATTGTATTGATCACTGAAAGTATATATATTGTATTGATCACTGACAGTATATATAAGGTATTGTATTGATCACTGAAAGTATATATATTGTATTGATCACTGACAGTATATATAAGGTATTGATCACTGACGGTATATATGGTATTGATCACTGACGGTATATATATGGTATTGATCACTGACAGTATATATAAGGTATTGATCACTGACAGTATATATAAGGTATTGATCACTGACAGTATATATAAGATAGTGATCAATGTATATATAAGATATTGATCACTGACAGTATATATAAGGTATTGATTACCTGGGAGACAGCTGGGCAGTTGGGTGCCTGATTCTGGACTGGTCCAGTCTCCACTGGACCCACAACTGTATGAACCTACACCATCATTAATCAATCACAGAGAATAAATGTATCTCATAATGATAAACATTTACACACATTTGTATTTGGTGTATTTGTACTGCTTCAGATTGTTTCTATTGATTAAACTTTGGGTAATTGATCACATGATCGCACAATGATGATGCCTTTGACACACAGTCAGTCACACTGTTCATCTCCATACTTTTACTGCCTTTTCAAAATAAAAGTCCCCAATGGTCAACTTGTTTTTCAAAATAAAGCCCCAGATAGTAATTGTATTTTCAAAATAAAAGTCCAATAGAGTATCTTAACAGAATGATCAAGATGAGCCTTGGTTTTCAAAATAAAAGCCAACAACCATCTGTATGATATCAAGAAACTAGGGATATACCTAGTTTTTCTAAATAAAAGCCCAACAGAGTAATTCTTAATTAGGAACTTACAATAAGGCTATTCTTTAAAAATAAAAGCCACCAACAACCACTGTATGTTATCAGGAAACTTAGGAGAGACCTAGTTTTTCAAAATAAAAGCACCAGATAGTATCTGTATCTCAACAGGGAACTCAAAGTGTCTTGAGAAATTTTCTGGTACTTTATATACTTTTACTTTACTACATTACTTATTTTATACTTTATGTTACTTATAAAATATAAACTCATTACTAAATACTACAATTAGTAATTAGGTAGTAAAATACTCCCAAAGTATAAGTATTTGTAAATGCCAGCATTTCAAAGCAGTACTACAGTAATCAGAGTACTCTGATACTCTTACTGTTGCTGATGTTGGGCTGGAAGGCGTCCCCCCTGCAGACGTAGTGGACTGTCGATCCAAACAGGGTGCTGTTGTCGTGACTACCGAACACCACGTCAGCCATGGCGACCGCCTTTGGACTCCCACAGTCCACCACTGTGACAGAGAGGAGACCAATCAGCTGTCAGTATGAAGGCAGAGGATGAGGATGAGGATGGAGAGAGAGATGGATGTGAAAGAATTAAAGACTAATCTGGACTCAGCTGGACCGACAAGGTCTCTGTGTATCCAGACTCTGATCTGGATCAGATTGATTCAGACAGGAACTGATCTGGATTAAAGTGTTCACAGTGTTTATACTGTAACTTTCAATAAGTACACAAACAGATCAATAATCAGTTCATCAATAGGTCCTGTCTGTATGGATATTGAAAGATGTCTGATGGAATGAAACAGTGATCAATAATTAATGAGTTCATATGGAACCAGATGAAAACATGAAGTATATTGAAGTCGTACCTCTCCATATGTTCACGGATCAGTTTGCTCCCCTATATATCTCAATACATAAATCAGTAAAACGGATTACTGCTGTTGATCTTCAGATTATTGATAATTAATATTATTGACAGATTGTTTCACAGAAACACACAGCTGCAGATTCTGATGATTGGTTTTATTAGAAAATAATTTCATTACGGACACGAGCTGTTCCTACAGATTCTCTATCAGCCAATAACAATCACTCTCTGACTAATCTCGACTTTTATTGGTTAAGATGCCCAACAGAGCCCGCCTCCTTCTCCTGGACTCAGTTTCTACAGAGAGAGGGAGAGAAAGCAGGAAGTACAGTTTAACTCTGATCTGTGATCAGTTTGTTCTCTTAATATCAATCAATAGACTGACTGGAACCAGGAAACCAGTTTACTGATCGACTCGCTGGGGAAGTACAGCCCTGTTATATATATTATATACATTATTATATTATATATATATAATATATACATTATTATATTACATATAATATATATTTTATTAATATATAATATATATATATTATTATATTATATTTCTAATGAACCCATAAAGGAAACAGTGTTCTCTTACTCTGACAGTGAGGAGGGCTGCTGCTCCAACATCCATCAGACTGACAGTCCATCTGATAGTGATCCAGGTACTGTTCGTCCTGAAGCACAGACACACACACACACACACAAGTATCATTGCAGTATTGTAGTATTGTAGTACTGTAGTACTGTAGTATTGTTGTATTGTAGTATTGTAGTATTGTAGTACTGTAGTATTGTAGTACTGTAGTACTCTAATATTGTAGTATTGTAGTACTGTAGTACTGTAGTATTGTAGTATTGTAGTATTGTAATATTGTAGTATTGTAGTATTGTAATATTGTAGTTCTGTAGTATTTTAGTATTGTAATATTGTAGTACTGTAGTATTGTAGTATTGTAGTACTGTGGTATTTTAGTATTGTAATATTGTAGTACTGTGGTATTGTCATACTGTAATATTGTAGTATTGTAGTACTGTAGGACTGTAGTATTGTAGTACTGTAGTATTGTAGTACTGTAGTATTTTAGTATTGTAATATTGTAGTACTGTAGAACTGTAGTATTGTAGTATTGTAGTATTGTAGTACTGTAGAACTGTAGTATTGTAGTATTGTAGTACAGTAGTTCTGTATATCAGTGTAGTTGTTGCCCTTTATGTTTCATGTCAAACACAAACTGTGTTTCAGTTGAAGAGCAGATCTCTCAACATATTTTCAAATCTTAATATTTGTAATAATTATCAATCAATAAACAATAATCAATATCATTTGATTTCATTGGAAGGTTTTACCTTCAGCAGTCTGAATCCAGGCTCACAGGTAACCAGGATGTGGTCTTTGAAGGAGTATTCTGATTGGACAGGGTTGAGCAGGGCATGGGGTGGGGCTTCAGGTACCTGACACTGACTTCCTGTCAAAATAAAAGCATCAAGGAAGAGTGTATCTACCAGTCTGTGTATCTACCTGTCTGTGTATCTACCGGTCGCTGTGTATGTACCAGTCTGTGTATGTACCAGTCTGTGTATGTACCTGTCTGTGTATGTACCAGTCTGTGTATCTATCTACCTGTCTGTGTGTCTACCTGTTGCCATGTATCTACCTGTCGCTGAGTATGTACCTGTCGCTGTGTATGTACCTGTCTGTGTATGTACCTGTCTGTGTATCTACCTGTCGCTGTGTATGTGACCCTCCAGCCAAGGTTTTCTCCAGAGTTGTCGCTGTGGAAGACGACGGTGACGTTGTTGCTGTCGGTGTCGATCAGTCCCGGTGATTGATCTCCACAGAACGGGCCGAACTCACTGTTGCCCGCCGTCACCTGACACCCCCCCCCCCACACACACACACACACACACACACACACACACACAGCAATCAATAACGCAGCAGTGTGTGTGTGTGTGTGTGCGCGCTTGTTGTCCTCACCTTGACATGGTCGTAGGGGCAGCTGACATCGGGGTGGTCCTCCACGTCGAAGCGGGGATCGAACTGGAGGCGGATCCTGAAGCCCGGCTCCACCTCGATCCGGTACAGACAGTCTGAGCTCTTCGGGTATGGAGAGGGAAAATCAACGCTGCTCAGAACGCCGGAGCGTTCCCTGAAAACACCGTCACTGCACTCCACTGCACACATGCAGTAAACATACACAGATAGACAGATATATAAAGATATATAAAGATACATAAAGATATATAAAGATATATATAAAGATATATAAAGATACATAAATATATATAAAGATACATAAAGATATATATGTGTATCATTGGAGGGGATAAGTTACATATTAAACAGCTGAGAACATACAGAGGAATTCATTACTTTAATGATGAAGTGGATGACTGTTTGTATAAGTTTGTATTTTCCTTCTCAGTATGTTTTATTTTACAGCTAATGTAATTAATATAGCCAAGTATGAAAAGATGGAGGAAAGTTCTTTTTATATTTGATGTTGTACTCAATATATGAATGGAAACGGTTGTAGTTCAAGGTGTTCAAATTTAAATAAAAAGAATATAAACTCACAGTTTTCAACCAAACCTGCTGCATTAAATTAATAAATATATTAAATGTATTGAATGTATTAAATATATTTAATGTATTAAATGTATTATTGTAGTATTGTAGTAATGTAGTATTGTAGTACTGTAGTACTGTAGTACTGTAAGTTTTGTATGTATTAAATATATTAAATGTAATAAATGTATTAAATATATTAAATGTATTTAATATATTTAATGTATTAAATGTATTTAATATAATACATTTATTACATTTATTTAATGTATTTAATACATTACAACATATACAACACAGATTATTTAATGAATTTCCAGGTGTTTCCATGACTGGAAAACTAGTCTGTACATTTCCAGGTTGTCAAGGATGCGTTTTAAAGTAAAAAAATATGACATAAACACAGTTTGAATTCCAGTTAAATATGGAAACTTACAGATGAAATAATTCCATTTGATAAATAAATACATTTCTAATATATTGTCTAAAAAAGCGGAGCTTAGAGTTTTATTGTGTTTAGTTTGATTAGAGATGATAATTAGTTGTTAGCATCGTCCCTGTTAAATAACAATAAATAAAAACCATTAAAAAGCCCCTTTCCTCAGGGAGCCACAGAAACAACAATAAAGGGTTAAAATGAAGTGCTGTGGACTTTTCTTGTGTCTTCACCCAAAGACCAACTCAAACAAAGACAAGCGGTCCTACCCAAACCTTTATTATTACTAGATAATAAAAACAATTTAAACTCCATCTACTGATGCAGACTGTGAGATTGAATGTAAATGACTGTATGAAGTTTCAATTCAGTTCAATTTTATTTGTATAGCGCCAATTCATAACAGAAGTTATTTCAGGACACTTTTAAATAGAGCAGGTCTAGACTGAACTCCTTATAGCATATATATAAGTTTGAGTGTTGTTATTCTCTGCTGGAGGTATCTGTGAATAAAAACACATCACAAAGCGTTCAGTGTTGTTAGAGACTGTGACTTGTTGGCAGCAGACTGTAATCTGGATCAGCTGCTGGAATTCAAATCTGCTCTGAAACACAGAAACAACTTTAAGCTCATTGTGTTTGAAAAGCTCCAACATACAGTCTGACAGTGAAGTTACAGAGGCTGTAGGATTACAGCTCTCAGAGGTCAACTCACAGCCACTTTAACATTATAATCCACTTATATATAACATATATATAACATATAAGTGGATTATAATATAATATCTAACGTAGCTACTTCAGGCTACACAGGAAGTTACACATGGCTGATCATTAGTTCTTCAATCTAAATAAATTAATCTTGATATTGTCTTAATACTGTTGTTGCTGTGCACCTGTCTGTCTGTCTGTCTGTCGCTCTCTCTCTCTCTCTCTCTCTCTCTCTCTCTCTCTCTCTCTCTCTCTCACCCCAACTGGTCGAGACAGACGACCACCCACCTAGAGCCGGAGGATCTGTCCTAGGTTTCTGCCTTTTAACAGGCAGTTTTTCCTTGCCCTTGTCGCCAAGTGCTTGCTCATGGTGGTACTGTTGGGTCTCTGTAATTAATGTTAAAGAGTTCGGTCTAGACCTGCTCTATTTGAAAAGTGTCCTGAGATAACTTCTGTTATGAATTGGCGCTATACAAATAAAATTGAATTGAATTGAATTGAATTGAATATTGATTTAGGGAAAATGGCTGATAGCTATCTAGTCTTGTTGTTAAACATACTGTCAAATTATATTTGACAATCAGTTTCACAAATTCTTTTCTTCAGTCTTTACTTTGCTTATTATTCTTTTTCTTCTTCTGAACATTTTTTGGACCATTATGACTTGCACATTACTGTATGTACAATAGGTACAATAGGTCAGTGCTGTAGATACAGGGCATAGGTCAGTGCTGTAGATACAGATCAGAGGTCAGTATTGTCTATTTGATTCATATAATAGTAATAACAACATTATTTAGTTTATTGTCTATTCTATATACATATATACTTATATTGCCACGTTTGTTACCATCATTGACACAGGTGACACACAGCCTTACCTCTGCAGGTGCGGTTGTCTGAGTGCAGCAGGTAACCATGGCGACAGGAGCAGTAGTATCCTCCAATGTAGTTGTGACAGAAATGATCACAGAGGAGGTTTTCGTCACTCCGGTCGCTGCACTCATCTACGTCTGGAGGGATGAAGACAGGAAGAGGACAGACGTGAGGAATGAAAATTCAAAATAAAACTAAAGTGATAACAGGGACTGTGTATATTATTATTATTATTATTATTATTTATTATTTATTATTATATTGTCTCAGAGTGAGTCCTTTCTGTGCTTGCAGTGCTAGAAAATAAACGCTTCTGTAGGTGGACAGAAGTTTTTCTCATTCACTTCAATACAGTAGTGGTGGCCGTCAGAGGAACTCACCCACTGCGCTGTAGTGGGCCATGAATCCAGAGTATCGCTCCTCGTTGGAGAAGTCGGAGGTGAAGAGGACACTGAGGGAGTTTCTGGGGGAGGTGATGATCTGCTGACCCGGCACCGCCTCCGTGTCCGTCTCCTCCCTTCCACAGAACAACGCCAGCACCTCCCCCTCCGCCTCCACCTGGAGACACACAGCAGTTGAGGATCCACAGGAATCTGCTTCTTCTAACGTGGATCTCATTTTCATTATGTTCACATACAAAGCACACAAGCTCATCCCTGGGAAGTAACTGAATTACTTTTCCAATTACCGCATATAAAAGTAATCAGTTACCATAAAGTAACTTTTAAATGTCTGCTTCAGTTCTCTGATTAAAGCTGCAGTAGGTCACTTATTGGGATTGTTGATCTTTACAGATTATCTGTCTCAGAGACCACGTAGTCTCTAAATAGTTCAGTACAGTGTGTGTTTACACAGCTGTCCACCACTGGACTGTCTCTGAGAGCTGGATCTGGCCTCTGAGAGCCGGTTTGAGAGCCGGCTCTGGTCTCTGAGAGCTGGATCTGGTCTCTGAGAACCGGTTCTGGTCTCTGAGAGCTGGTCTGGTCTCTGAGAGCTGGTTCTGGTCTTTGAGAGCCGGTCTGGTCTCTGAGAGCCGGTTCTGGTCTCTGAGAGCTGGATCTGGTCTCTGAGAGCTGGTTCTGGTCTCTGAGAGCTGGTTCTGGTCTCTGAGAGCTGGATCTGGTCTCTGAGAGCTGGTTCTGGTCTCTGAGAGCCGGTTTTGGTCTCTGAGAGACGGTTTTGGTCTCTGAGAGCCGGTTCTGGTCTCTGTGTGATAATGAGGCTCCAGTGTGGCTGCAGTCTTATCAGAGTTTACACAGAGAGTCAATGAACAGCAGGTCACTCACAGTGTCATACTGTTTCTGCACACTGCCTCCTCCATTTTACCTCATTTTACCTCGTTTTACCTCCATTTGCTTCGTTCCATTACAAATGTAAAGTCTCACTGCATTCCTTATGGACTGGTCCATTGTTATTAATAAAGTTACTGCTTGCTTTTTAATGAACTTCCCTTTCCTGCTGTGGCCAGCTCGCTCTGGTAGAGAATACAATTACTATTAAAGTTAAATAGGTTAACAGTCTACCAGAGAGACAGACAGGCAGACAAGCAATAGGTTGTCTGTCTGACTGTCTGCATGTGTTCTGTTGTCTGTAACACACAGAGCATAATGTACGGGGGGTTCTCTCTGTTAGCAGCATGTAGATTATATTATCAGAAGTTGTGATTTATGCATTACTATAATAAAAGTGACAAACATTCTACATCCTCACAAACTGCCTCACAGAAAGTAAATCACAGATTCAAGCTAACTGAAATCCTCATCACCGGCCCAGAATCCCTCACGAGATCCTGCCACAATGTCCCCTCTCTGCATCATCCTGCTTCCACTCAAATCCACAACCTCGGTGTCACCTTCACACCACATTACAAATAAATCCTCATCCTCACCTTCATCCACCACTGCAGCAGCAGTACATCGTACATGCGTACAGTGACAATAAAGGCATTCTATTCTATCCTGTACGGCACACTCACCAAAACCCTCAACCAACTACGGCCAAAACTCCAGTCTGCTCCACCAGAGACCCCTTCAGAACCTGCACTGGACCCCCTTCCAACACAGAAACCACTTCAACATTCTCCTACAGCGGTGTACAGTTGTTTACAGTAGTTTATAGTTACAGGCATTTTCAGTTGTTTACTGTTGTTTACAGTTATAGTTGTTTATTGTTGTTTACAGTAGTTTACAGTAGTTTATAGTTATAGTTGTTTACAGTTGTTTACTATTGATTACAGCTGTGTACAGTAGTTTATAGTTATAGTTGTTTAAGGTTGTTTACAGTTGTTTAAGCTTGTTTACAGTTGTGTACAGTAGTTTATAGTTGTTTACAGTTGTTTACATTAGTTTATAGTTGTTTACATTAGTTTACAGTAGTTTATAGTTATAGTTGTTTACAGTTGTTTATAGTTGTTTATACTTGATTACAGTAGTTTACAGTAGTTTGTAGTTATAGTTGTTTAGAGTTGATTACAGTAGTTTACAGTAGTTTATAGTTATAGTTGTTTACAGTTGTTTAGAGTTGTTTACAGTAGTTTATAGTTATAGTTGTTTAGAGTTGTAGGAGCCAGAGCCTTCAGTTACCAAGCTCCTCTCCTGTGGAACCGGCTTCCAGTTGTGGTTCGGGAGGCAGACACCCTCACCACATTCAGGTAGGCTTAAGACATTCCTCTTTGATAAAGCTTATAGTTAGGGCTGGATCAGGTGAGTCCTGAACCATCCCTTAGTTATGCTGCTATAGGCCTAGACTATCGGGGGATTTCCCATGGTGCACTGAGCTACTCTCTTCTTCTCTTTCTGCACTCATTCATGTCCCTTTAATGCATGTTACTAACTCCACTTCTTCCCCGGAGTTCTTGTGCTTCTCGTCTCGCAGGTTCTCGTGGATCCTGGTGGAGCCTCCTGCCATGGTCCTGCTTGACTGCCATTGCCAATACTGTTGTTGCTGTGCGTCTGTCTGTCTGTCTGTGCTCTCTCTCTCTCTCTTCTCTCTCTCTCTCTCTCTCACCCCAACTGGTCGAGACAGACGACCACCCACCTAGAGCCGGAGGATCTGTCCTAGGTTTCTGCCTTTTAACAGGCGTTTTCCTTGCCCTTGTCGCCAAGTGCTTGCTCATGGTGGTACTGTTGGGTCTCTGTAATTAATGTTAAAGAGTTCGGTCTAGACCTGCTCTATTTGAAAAGTGTCCTGAGATAACTTCTGTTATGAATTGGCGCTATACAAATAAAATTGAATTGAATTGAATTGAATTGAATTTACAGTAGTTAATAGTTGTTTACAGTAGTTAACAGTAGTTTATAGTTGTTTACAGTAGTTCATAGTTTTAGTTGTTGTTTAGAGTTGTTTATAGTTGATTACAGTTGTTTACAGTTGTGTACAGTAGTTTGTAGTTATAGTTGTTTAAGGTTGTTTACAGTTGTTTACAGTTGTGTACAGTAGTTTATAGTTATAGTTGTTTACAGTTGTTTACATTAGTTTATAGTTGTTTATAGTTGTTAACTGTAGTTAACAGTAGTTTATAGTTATAGTTGTTTAGAGTTGTTTACAGTAGTTTATAGTTATAGTTGTTTACAGTTGCTTACAGTAGTTTATAGTTATAGTTGATTAGAGTTGTTTACAGTAGTTTATAGTTACAGTTGTTTACAGTTGTTTATAGTTGTTTATAGTTGATTACACTAGTTTACAGTAGTTTAGAGTTGTTTACAGTAGTTTATAGTTGTTTACAGTAGTTTATAGTTGTTTACAGTAGTTTATAGTTATAGTTGTTTACAGTTGTTTAAAGTTGTTTATAGTTGATTACAGTAGTTTATAGTTGTTTACAGTAGTTTATAGTTATGGTTGTTTATAGTTGTTTACGGTTGTTTATAGTTGTTTACAGTAGTTTACAGTTGTTTACAGTAGTTTATAGTTATAGTTGTTTAGAGTTGTTTACAGTTGTTTATAGTTGTTTACAGTAGTTTATAGTTATAGTTGTTTAGAGTTGTTTAGAGTTGTTTACAGTAGTTTATAGTTATAGTTGTTTAGAGTTGTTTACAGTTGTTTACAGTAGTTTATAGTTATAGTTGTTTAGAGTTGTTTACAGTAGTTTATAGTTGTTTAGAGTTGTTTACAGTAGTTTATAGTTGTTTACTGTAGTTTACAGTACTTTATAGTTGTTTACAGTAGTTTATAGTTGTTTATAGTTGTTAATAGTTGTTTACAGTGATTTACAGTTGTGTACAGTTGTTTACAACATGTTAATTACCCATGATGCCGTGCGGTCTCACCTTGATGTAGTCGTACTCACACAGGTAGGACGGCTCCAGGTCGAAGTGGCTGAAGTAGAGTTGGACCTGGAAGCCGGGGGGGACGCTGATGTTCCAGCGCAGAGAGGTCTCTCTGGGGTACGGGTCTGGGAAGTCCGGAGACTGCAGGCTGCCATACAGTCCAGAGGACCCTGAGGAACCTGAGGACCCTGAGGATCCTGAGGACCATGAGGACCCTGATGACCCTGAGGACCCTGAGGACCTTGAGGATCCTGAGGACACTGAGGAACCTGAAGACCCTGAGGATGGGAGGAGGAGCTGGGAGTCCACCGGGAGGAGAAGAATGAGGAGGAGGAGGAGGAGGAGGAATGCACTGAAACATACAGAAACATATTAATTATTGATTGATATAAATATCAATAAAAGATCAAATCTGAAGTTGAAATTGTAGTTTTGAATGAGAACTGTGAATGAATCATTAATAAACATAAATATTGTACATTTGTTTTTTCTGTAGATTTGTTAATTGTAGATAACGTGTTCGTTTGTTGAGTGTATGGTGTTGCCTGCAGGTGCAGTGGTGTGGACATTCAATTTCCCCCTTGGAGGACCATACATTGAATTGATTGATTGATTGATTGATTGACTGATTATATATTATACATTATTATAATTACTATAATTATTGTACATTATTACTATTATACATTATTATTGTTATATTATATAACATTATATTATATTACATTATATCATATTACATTATATTACATTATATTACATTATATTATATTATATTATATAACATTACATTATATTATATTATATTACATTATATTATATAAAATTATATTATAAATATATTAAAGAATAAAGTGATGATTAATAAACTGTATATTAATGTAACAGGTTGAGTATTGATTAGTTCCGTGGATTCATTGATCTCTGTGAGGAGACAGCAGGAGGCGGGAATGGAACCCGAGACCCTCTGATTACAAACAACTAAAGTTTTCATGCTTTAATATTAAATATAATTAAAGCTGCAAGCAGCGTTGGGCGGGACCTCGCACTCCACGCAACTCGGGGTGTGCTGCGGCTGCGTCGTGTCCTGTCGTAACACGTGCGGACCACAACATGAAAATCTGCCGTTAATCAGCTCAATACCGCCATGCAGCGCGTACTTCCTGTTGCCAGTAGGTGGCGCTATCACTATGTCTGAATATTGTCATGTACACGTGTTCAGGGCGGGACTGTTATCAAGTGTGGAGCCGATTGGACAATGTACACTCAAGTTATAGCGAATTCATGTTTTATGGCGGTCCATCAAAATTTCCCGCCACCCCACAGACACGCCCCCTCACCACAGTCAACACATATCATCAACAATGTGTTTTGCATTTTATACGTAAATTTCAGCTGGATCTGATCATCCTGCAAGGAGTAGAACATGAAAGTATAAAACGTGATACTTCCTGTTACCAGTATGTGGCGCTATCACTATGTCTGAATATTGTCATGTAGACGTGTTCAGGGTGGGACTGTACACTGAAGATATGAGTACTATCTGTTTGATGGCCAATCGGTGGAATTCGACACGTCGTCACGGGCACACGGTTAAACATACAGTCACAAATAGCACAACTTTTGATAACCAATGTGTGTAGATTGAAGTGATCGAATTTGAAGTCAATCTGATAAAATCTGTAGGAGAAGTTAGTTAAAACAGAAGCCCTTAAATGCCGGAAATAGAATCACAGTTTGACATTCGATTCAACCTGGCCAACTTTGAGGGAACGCCATGGACACGCCCTTTAATGTACAGTCACAAATAGCACAACTTTTAATCAGCACCATTTTTTGACTGTACTGACCAATTTTGAAGCAGATCCGATAAATTCCCTAGGAGGAATTTGTTCAAATACAAGGCGAGAAATTCACCGAAAATGCGCACAGAATTCACTATGGCCAACTTTGAGGGCACGCCACGGACACGCTGTTCAACGTACATGCACAAATAGCACAACTTTTAATCAGCACCATTTTTTGACTGTACTAACAAATTTTGAAGCAGATCTGATAAATTCCCTGGGAGGAGTTCGTTCAAATACAACGCGAAAAGTTCGCTGAAATTGATTGAAATCAAAATGGCCGACTTCCTGTGGGTTTTCGGGTATGGGTCCAAGAGGCTTTTTTGTACGTCCCGACATGTTACACGTGCCTACCGAGTTTCGTACATATCGGTGAAATGTGGCGCAAGTGTGCTTTTTTTTTAAATTTCAAAAAAAAAATTTGCCAGGGCGGTCCCCAGGTGCTAGGTGAAAAATTTCATACGAATCGGACAAAGCGTGTAGGAGGACCACAAAAAAGTAGTTTAAGGACATTTCGCGCTCTTACGAAAAAAACTATAGGCGGAAGTGGGCGGGGCCTATATGGGGAGATTCAGCTCCATTCACCGAACGCGTGGATACAAGGTTTTTTAATGTGCGACAAACTATGCAGAAGTTATTAGCCTAAACGCACTTTTTATGATAATAGCGCCACCTAGTGGCCAACCTGAAAGTGCCGCATAGAATATAAATTTTTTTACCAGGCCTGACCACTTTGCCAAATAAAATTGAGTTTTCGTATATGTTCAGGGGGGGAAAAACGCAATCAAAGGAGCTAAAAATAATAATAAGAAACATAGCAAAGACAATAGGGACCTCCAGCGGTCGCTGGCTCGGTCCCTAATAACTGATCATCAATAAGTTTCTGATCACCTGAACCAAACGTCTGATCAATAATCAATATTCAGCGTTTAAACCTCAGCTCCAGAGTTTGTTTATGAGCCACAATCAAACACTATTGATTGCTTAGTTAGTAATCGATAGACTGACCTCATCCTGCAGCAGGAACCGTCTGAGCTCCGGTCCGGACTCTAACGGGCTCTGTCGGGACACGGACCCTCGCGGACTTCACTCTCATTACGTGTGACGTGTCTGAAGCGCTTTGCGTCATCACGTCGAGGCGGGGCGGGGGGGGGGAAGCAACAAATACTGCTGTGTTACTGGTTACTACAGTCCAGTCACACATTACACACAGTAAACAATGAACATAAACAATGATAAACATAAATAATTAATAACACACTAACAACAAAGAGTTAATAAACATAAACAACAAACAGTTAATAAATAATAAACATAAACAACAAAGAGTTAATAAACATAAACATCAAACAGTTAATAAATAATAAACATAAACAATAATAAACTAGGCCTGGGCAAGTTAACGCATTAATTAATTAACGCAGTTTTTTTCCTACTATTATTATTTTGAAAGTCCGTTATTCACTGTATATACAATAATATATAATATAATATAATATAATATATACATATAATAATATATAATTATTAGGGACACAGATATTTAAGTATTACTGTGTAAAGGGAATTCTACTGTTAAACAGAAACTTATTGGTTAAAGTATAAAATGTTGTTGCACTGTTGTTCATGTAGCAGCACTATATATAGATATTATGTTATATTATATAATATAATATGATTTTATATTATATAATATGTTGTTACACTGTTGTTCATATAGCAGCACTATATATATATATATATATATATATATATAGTATATATATAATATATATATATATAATATAATAATATCATATTATATTATAAATATATATATATTATATAATATGTTGTTACACTGTTGTTCATATAGCAGCACTATATATATATATATATATATATATATATAGTATATATCATATTATAATATAAATATATATATATCATATATATATTATATTATAAATATATATATATTATATAATAAATGTTGTTACACTGTTGTTCATATAGCAGCACTATATATATATATATATATATATATATATATAGTATAATATCATATTATATTATAAATATATATATATTATATAATAAATGTTGTTACACTGTTGTTCATATAGCAGCACTATATATATATATATATATATATTATATAATATAATGTATATTATGTTATAACTATATATATATCATATAATATGCAGTTCACTGTTGATCATATATAGCATATATATATATATATATATATATATATATTATATAATAAATGTTGTTACACTGTTGTTCATAAAGCAGCGCTTTCAACTTTCACATTATTGACAATATACGATGACATCAATCACAATGATCAATAACTCTGTAAATTACTGGATTATAAAGTAATAAATAAACAGGAAGAAACTATCGATCAGACAATGAACTGATCGATACTCTGATAGTGCAGTGAACCCCCGCTGGAGGGCGCCCCCGCCCTCTCTGACACTGTGTGTGTAATCTGAGCCTGTTGCCATGGAGACTGAACAACCGGACCCCGAGTCACTGAACCGGGTTCAGATCTGCTGGACTCTGCTGGATTACTGTGTGGGGGGTTCTGGGGGGAAGATGATGTCCTCTAGTCCTCGTCCTGCAGCAGCCTGACCCCCGTCCTCCGGTCCCTCTGGTCTCTCCGGTCCTCCCGCCATGCCGACCCGACAGAAGCGGATCATCCTGTCACTGTCCGGACTCTTCGGACTCTCGTGCGCCCTCACGGCTGCAGTCGCTACCGGACTTCCGTTCTGGCTCAACGGGACCGTGCTGTGCCGGACCGGGGCCGAGCTGGTCAACGCAACTGGACCCGAACTGGACAAGTTCCTGGGAGACCTGAACTACGGTCTCTTCCACGGACTGAGGGTCAAACAGTGCGGACTGGGAGGAAGACCGGCCCGCTTTTCATGTGAGTCCTGGTCCTGATACTAGTCTTGGTCCTGATACTAGTCTTGGTCCTGATGCTAGTCCTGGTCCTGATGCTAGTCCTGGTCCTGAAGTGGTTTTTCTTTATGTTTAATGCGTTAAGGAGTTCGGTCTAGACCTGCTCTATTTGAAAAGTGTCCTGAGATAACTTCTGTTATGAATTGGTGCTATACAAATAAAATTGAATTGAATTGAATTGAATTTATCTCTCAGGTGATAAACAGGAAGTGACGTAAGCAGGTAACAGTGTGACGTCATCTGCTCATGAATTATTGAGAGATTCAGAAGAGAATTAATAATAATCAATAATCAATAATCAACAAATGATGAACATGTTAATCAATAATACGTTCATCAGTAACACGTTATTGATGAACCGGGCTCCGATCTGCTGGTCTCTGATGGATCACTGTGTGGGTGTGGGGGTTGGGGTTGTGGGGGTTGTCGGGGTTGTGGGGGGTTGTGGGGGGTTATGGGGGGTTGTGGGGGGTTGTCGGGGTTGTCGGGGGTTGTGGGGGGTTATGGGGGGTTGTCGGGGGTTGTGGGGGGTTGTGGGGGGTTGTCGGGGGTTGTGGGGGGTTATGGGGGGTTGTCGGGGGTTGTGGGGGGTTGTGGGGGGTTCTGACGTCCTCCTGCTGCAGGGATTCAGAGACTCTCACTGGGCCTAGTTAACGAGAGCAGCCGGCCGTCACTAACGAGCTTCTGCCTGACTGGATCAGAGTCCTGATGAGGAACAAAGAGACCCTGTTCCCTCTGAGACTGAATACTGGTGAGGACTCGCTGTCCTGATCCAGAACCCGATCCTACAAGAACCTCAAACACTGAGCTTTGATATTCATTTATTAGTTTATTAGTGTATTAGTTATTATTTCATTTTATTTCTTTATCTGATGTTTTTTTGTCGAACAAACAACATGTTGTTTAAATAAAGTTTGAGGTCAATCAGTGATTGATTGGAGTTATTGATAAACAGGAAGTTGCTGCTGTAAACAACCTCTTCCTCTCTTCTTCCTCGCAGTCTTCCCAGATCTGCTGGGCGCCATCCCAGCCGGGCTCCACGTCACCCTCATCTTCTTCTGTGGTGTCGTCATCCTCTTCTCCTCAGTGGCCACCGGCTTCTTCTTCTTCAACGCCTTCGGCAGACCCTACGAGACGCTGCAAGGCCCCATGGGACTTTACCTGTGGACCGCCATCTGCTGTGAGTAATAATGACAATAATAATACTAATAATACTATAATACTAATAATACTATAATAATATAGTATTATTATACTATTATTATTATTATTATAGTATAATAATAATAATAATAATAATACTATTAGTATTATTAATATTATTATTATTATTATAGTATAATAATAATAATAATAATACTATCATACAATAATATAATACTATAAGTAGTATTATTATAGTATAATGCTACAGTAATACTGCTTATAGTACAATATGATGGAAGATAACATTAATTACAGAGACCCAACAGTACCACCATGAGCAAGACCTTGGAGACAAGGGCAAGGAAAAACTGCCTGTTAAAAGGCAGAAACCTAGGACAGATCCTCCGGCTCTAGGTGGGTGGTCGTCTGTCTCGACCAGTTGGAGGGAGAGAGACAGAGAGAGAGAGAGAGAGAGAGAGGTGATATTAGCAATGGCAGTTAAGCAGGACCATGGCAGGAGGCTCCACCAGGATCCATAAGAACCTGCGAGACGAGAAAGCACAAGAACTCCGGGGAAGAAGTGAAGTTAGTAACATGCATTAATGGAACATGAATGAGTGCAGAAAGAGAGAGGAAGGGAGGAGCTCAGTGCACCATGGGAAATCCCCCGATAGTCTAGGCCTATAGCAGCATAACTAAGGGATGGTTCAGGACTCACCTGATCCAGCCCTAACTATAAGCTTTATCAAAGAGGAATGTCTTAAGCCTACTCTTGAATGTGGTGAGGGTGTCTGCCTCCCGAACCACAACTGGAAGCTGGTTCCACAGGAGAGGAGCTTGGTAACTGAAGGCTCTGGCTCCTGTTCTACTGTTAGAGACTATAGGAACCACAAGTAGCCCAGCATTCAGAGAACGTAGTGTTCTAGTGGGGTAATAGGGTACTATGAGCTCTTTAAGATATGAAGGGGGCTGACCATGAAGAGCTTTATAGGTGAGGAGGAGGATTTTAAATTCAATTCTACATTTTACAGGGAGCCAATGCAGAGAAGCTAGTACAGGAGAGATGTGATCTCTTTTTCTAGTTCCTGTCAGTACTCGTGCTGCAGCGATCTGAATTAATTGGAGCGTTTTAATGGACTTATTGGGGCAACCTGATAATAAAGAGTTGCAGTAATCCTTGAAGTAACAAATGCATGGATTAGTTTTTCTGCATCTGTCTGTGATAGGATGTGTCCAATTTTTGTAATATTACGTAAATGAAAGAAGGCAGTCCTAGAGGTCTGCTTTATGTGGGAGTTAAATGACAAATCCTGATCAAAGATAACTCCAAGATTCCTGACAGTGGTGCTAGAGGCCAAGTTAATGCCATCTAGAGACAGTGAGTCTCTAAGGTTTTTGGGGCCAAGAACAAGAATTTAGTTTTTTTCTGAGTTTAACATCAGAAAATTGCAGGTCATCCAGGATTTTATGTCCTTAAGACATGTTTGTAATTTAGATAATTGATTAATTTCATCGGGCTTGATCGATAGATATAACTGCGTATCATCTGCATAACAGTGAAAGTTAAGCGATTCCTAATAATGTTGCCTAAAGGGAGCATATATAAAGTAAATAGTATTGGTCCAAGTACAGAACCTTGTGGAACTCCATGACTAACTGTAGTATTTATTGAAGATTCATCGTTAACATGTACAAACTGCGAGCGATCTGATAAATATGACTTAAACCAGCTTAGTGCGGTTCCTTTAATGCCAATTTGATGCTCAAGTCTCTGTAAAAGAATATTATGGTCAGTGGTGTCAAATGCAGCCCTAAGATCTAATAATACAAGTACAGAGACAAGTCCATTGTCAGAAGCAATCAGAAGGTCATTATTAACTTTAACCAGAGCTGTCTCTGTGCTGTGATGAACTCTAAATCCTGACTGAAAATCCTCAAATAAACTATTGTTATGTAGAAAGTCACACAACTCTTTGGCGACTACTTTCTCCAGAATCTTTTTAAGAAGGGGTTTAATTACAGCTACTTTAAAGGACTGTGGTACATATCCTGATAATAAAGAAAGATTAATCATATCCAGTAAAGAAGTGCCAATTAAGGGTACGACTTCTTTAAGCAGCCTAGTTGGGATCGGGTCCAACAGACAGGTTGATGGCTTCAATGTAGAAATGATTGAAGTTAACTGATGAAGATCGATAGCAGAAAAACAGTCTAAATATATATCTAAGTTTACATTGGCAGAAGTCCCTGAACTTGGAGAGCCACTGATAACTGTTGATGGCAGTTGGTGATTAATTTTTTCTCTAATAGTAATAATTTTATTATAGAAGAAGCTCATGAAGTCATTGCTACTTAAGTTTAAGGGGATATGTGGCTCGATAGAGCTGTGACTCTCTGTCAGCCTGGCTACAGTGTTGAAGAGGAACCTAGGGTTATTCTTATTTTCTTCTATAAGTGCTGAATAATAGGTACAAATAAAAAAAGGTTCCTCTGGTGTTACGGAGGGCCTTTCTATAGGTTTTAAGATTATCTTGCCTAATTGAGCGATATTCTGATAATTTGGAAGAGCGCCATTTCTTTTCAGATTTCCTATCTTTTTGCTTCAATTAGTATGAATTCAAAAGTTATTAAATAATGGTCAGATAGGAAAGGATTATGTGGGAAGACTATTAAATGTTCAATATCAATGCCATATGATAGAACAAGGTCAAGAGTGTGATTAAAACAATGAGTTGGTTTATTTACACTCTGACAGAAGCCAATTGAGTCTATTAATGATATAAATGCATTACTAAGGCTGTCATTGTTAACATCCACAAGAATATTAAAATCACCTACAATAATTACTTTATCTGATTTAAGGACTAAACTTGATAAAAACTCAGAGAATTCAGATATAAAATCAGAGTACGGTCCAGGAGCGCGGTACACTATAACAAATAGAACTGGCTGCAGTGTTTTCCAGTTTGGGTGAGAAAGACTAAGAACAAGGCTTTCAAATGAATTATAATTTAGTTTAGGTTTAGGGTCCATTAAAACGCTTGAATCATATATAGCTGCTACTCCACCTCCTCGGCCTGTGCCTCGAGGAATGTGAGTATTAATATGACTGGGGGGTGGATTCATTTAGGCTAACATACTCCTCGTGGGACAACCAGGTCTCAGTAAGACAAAGTAAATCAATATCATAATCTGATATTAATTCATTCACTAAAACAGCTTTAGAGGACAGAGACCTGATATTTAACAGCCCACATTTCATTCTCTTATTTTGTGCTACTGCGGAGTTAGTTTTAATATTCACTAGATTTTTTTTTTTTAATTCCACTTGTCTTTATTTCTTTAAATAATTTAGGTGGTCGGGGGACAGACACAGTCTCTATGGGGTTTTGGGTGGGTGACTGTTCGAAAGAAAGCGCAGAGAAGTGTGTAAGACAGCAGCTCTGCTTCCTGGTCCCAACTCTGGACTGTCAGGTTTTAGAAATAAATAAATTAGCCAACTTAAGATGTGACAGTATGTCTCTTTTATCTTTTATAGCATATAGCATTTAGCATTTCTAAGAGACACAGTTAAATGCAAATTCAATGCCGTCTCAGTGTTATTGATGACAAACATTGGTTGTGTTCACACTGTACCTTTAATAAATCGGACACTATTGATTATATCAGCAGAAATATTCTGTGCTGCTCAGGAGGCCCTCAGTGCATTATGGGATGGCAGCCGACTCCCTGAGAGTTTGGTTGAAATTGGATTGGAGTGAATTTAAAAACGATTAAAGCTGCAGTGACAGTGTGTGTGTGTGTGTGTGTCTGCTGATAACAGCTGCAATGACACAGAGAGCGAGGCGGGAGAGAGAGAGAGAGAGAGAGAGAGAGAGAGAGAGAGAGAGAGAGAGTGGTTTGATTTCACTTAATCACCTCACAGAGACCACTTGTCAATCAAACGCTGCTGGTGGTTTCCACCTGGTGTTCACCTGTCAGCTGCAGCCAATCAGAGCCAATCACAGCCAATCACAGCCAGAGACCTCTGTTCAGATGTCCACATACTTTTGGCCACATTTCTCTCCCACTAAAAGTTGATCAACAGCTCTTGAATGTATAAAACTTTATCGACAGTGTTTTTGAATGTATAAAACTTTATCGACAGTGTTGTGCAGCTGTCTGGTGATGATCCTGTTTGTGTCCGAGGTGAAGCTCCACCATCTGACCGAGCGGATCGCCAACTTCAACGATGTGAACTTCGTCTTCCAGACATACAGCGAGCGCTACGACCGGTGCTTCTGGCTCTTCTTCCTCATCTTCCTCCTGCACGGACTGAACGTCCTGCTCATCCGACTGGCGGGAATTCAGTTTCCCTTCCAGGACGCCAAAGAGTCAGACCTGAGCGGGGGGGCTGCCGACCTCATGTACTGAGTGATTTCTAAGATACGTCACAACATTCATCACTTCCTGTCTGAAAAACAAACTTCTGTAGTTTAATGCTACAACTCCCAGAATTCTGAGGCCAGCCAAACAAACTGTTGTGGTTTTATTAAAGAGGTCATCAATTGATTCCTAAGCTGGGCTAATCTAGTTTTAAAAGATAAAAGAGACAAATAATTAAATTAGCTAATGTTACTAATCTACATGAACTGTTTACATTCATCCATAGTTAGCTAGTTACAGACGATGGTTACATCAGAAGCTTCCATTGTCGTATCAACAGACTTAAGGACAGAATCAAAAATAAAATGCTAGCTAACTAGCCAGTTTACAAATTAAAAAAATGTATTGGAGACCTGCAGAGACCAGTGACTTTAGGGGGCGTTGCCTTGACACCGACTGACCACAGCAGCATAATTTCAATTCAATTCAATTCAGTTTTATTTGTATAGCGCCAATTCATAACAGAAGTTATCTCAGGACACTTTTCAAATAGAGCAGGTCTAGACCAAACTCTTTATAACATTATTTACAGAGACCCAACAGTACCACCATGAGGAAGACTTTGGCGACAAGGGCAAGGAAAAACTGCCTGTTAAAAGGCAGAAACCTAGGACAGATCCTTCGGCTCTAGGTGGTTGGGAGAGAGAGAGAGAGAGAGAGAGAGAGTGTAATGGAGAATGAGCTCAGTAAACAGTTTCAATGAGTTTCTGGTCTCAGTCTCTAGTTTCAGTCTTCTTCCATACAGCATGATGTTCATTTAGTAACTGATGGTCCCATTTAGAGTAAAACAGACCATAAAGCAGGGTGTGCTTTAGGGCGGGACTACCTTGTGATTGACAGCTCATTCTCAGTGAGTCCGTCCAGCTCAACCAAACTCAGATCAAACTGTCAAACAGTGCTGATCAGATATGGATCCAGATTCTGTTGTTGACTCTTTCTCTCCTCAAATCTGTTCACAAACACATTTTACTGTTTATCTGGAATACCAGATCCTGTGTGAGCAGGAGAGACGCCATTGTTTCCAAACCAAGAGCAGCCAATGAGAGCAGCTCAACTCGCAGTACGTGACCTCTCATACCCTTTGATGAGGTAGAAGGAAGAGATGACTTTTATTGTGAAATTATACTTTTCCAGCTCAGACACATTATTGATTATTTGTATCTGTTAACAACGTCTGGATGGGTCTTTAAATACAACAGGCTGACTATGTGCAGTTTATAGACTGCAACTATTTTTATTATTGATTATTTCTTGATTGATCCATTAAAGGTTTAGTCTATAAAACGTCTTTGATGTCTCGTTTTGTCTGACCAGCGGAAACCATCGGATCATTCAGTCAATCAATAAGTTGGTTAAAAGTATTTACATTTATTCGGTTATCTGTTTATTATTATCACTTTGGGCAGTTTGTCCTTATTTACCTTTATAAACTCTGAACATAAAATTAAATACTGCGTACTCTACCTGCTGACAGACAGCCTGACGGACTGGACCTGGACCATCCAGGATCAGGTCTTTGCAGGCTGTTGGAGGCTCATCCTGATGTTTGGATCTGGATCGTTCTCTTCCTCCTCCCTTAACCAGGTCTCCATCTGAATGTCCTCCTGGATCCACATTCTACACATTTATTTTATAATCATCACAAATTGTGTCATTAATATTTGAATATGATTTAATTTCAACAGACAAAAGGGACATGAAAGACCAGAAATATCCAGCAGTGTACAAGATCTGTTAATCATACGACACAATGTTATACAATATTATATGATCAATAAAATCCGTCAAAGATCAGACGTGTATTTTGCTTACAAATGAAAACGTTGGATTGAATCAAATTTGTGCATTTATTCCAGTGAATTGTAGGTTTCTATTTCCCGAGCTTATTAAAAGGTCCAGTGTGCAGGAGTTAGGGCCAACAGGTCAGTGCTGTACATACAGGGCATAGGTCAGTGCTGTACATACAGATTGCAACCAACTGAATACTCCTCAGGCTTCAGCATGTAGGAGAAACTATAGTAATGTCTCTGTCTGGATGCTGAGCGGTCGTTTAGTTCTCTGTAACTGAATGTGACTGATGCAGGTAAAGACTAGCTGGTGAACAAAGCATTTAGCAGCTAAGGAGCCAGAAACAGCTAAAAATGTTTCTTGGTTCTAGTTTTAACCAGAACCAAGAAACATGATCACATCCCTCCTGTTTCAGCCTCTTTACACTGGCCCAGCAGTTTGAGAACTGATTTGAAGGTTTTCCTGATACTGTTCTGGCTCTACGTTAAGGCTCTGTCCTCCTGCCCTTTCTCAGACATTTTAATATCGTACACGTCGGCTCGTACCTTTAGATCCCCGGGCAGAGGTCTGTTGTCTGTTGCAGAGGCCCAACTGAAAGGGGACAGAGCGTTTGGGGCCCCGAGGCTCTGGAACAATGTGCCCGAGGAATTCAGGCCAGCCAAGTCAGTGATCTCCTTTAAGTCCCATCTTACAACAGACTTTCATCAGAGAGCCTGATTTTAATGGAATTTAATGTTCCAAAGTTTTTTTTACTTTCTAAAAGTTTCCTTGTTTTAAAGTGATGATTTTATAACTTAACTATATTTTGGTTTTAAAAATGCTCTATAAATAAAGATGATTATTATATTATTATAAATATTAAAAGGCTGCTCTATCAGTGTCCTGAGATCGGTATTTTATTCATTCAAATAAAACTGAATTGAATATCAGATGATTGTTGATGTTGCTGCTGGATGGAAATAACCAACTTAAAGGTGATGATGCGTTCAGGAACATCAATATCTCACAGTGTCCTGCAGGGTGAGGCAGTTGCTTTGAAGTCCTTGGTCCGAGACGTTGTCGCCCCCTTTATGACGCGGACGTATAATCTTGAATTGTGGACTCTGAAGGAGGCAGAGAGGCCTTTCTTCTTCCCGCCCCCCCGCGGTGACACTGACACTTTTGGATCTGGACCCGTTGACAGAACAGAGTCAATCAAACAGGACCTGGATCCTGCTGCAGGGGGCCGGTGTCGTGTTGTTTCCATCGTGTGTTTAATGGTGGTGTCCTGTTCATCAGAGGAATGCTGCGTTCCATCAGACCTGGAATATTAAAGTCAGTCTTTATTAGGATATCATAGTGAATGTAGAGCCCTTCTGGAGGAATCCTGCTGTCACTGACTTTAGTTCAGTTCGGATCAATTGATTGAAAGCTGCCTTTAAGACTCGGCTCAGGGTTGCAGGCAGGTGAAGCTTCACTGTGATCAGCTGCAGGTAAGAACTCTCAGAATAAACTGATATAACATCAGTTTGTTCTCATTTCAGATCCTCCACCAGACTACATTCACAAAGTGGACTGTTTAAGATGATTACAGTTACTGATCAATATTTCCACTGTGCTCTGATGTTTTACTGCTTTCAATCAGTCACATTTTAGGTTCGAGTACAAATATTCTATATGTAACAAAACACCAGTAATGATTGAATCTGTGGAACAATGTTGATGATGATTCAAAAGAGAAATAATGTAGTGAACAAATTAACTTCTTATTTCATTTATCATTTATCATAATGATCTAATAAAAGATCAATTAAATCCTCAATTTATATCTTTTGCTTGTGCTGCTTAGAGATCTACTTTACCTTTGTTCTGATGGTGGCGCTATGGCAACCGTTTAATATTTAGATATAATATTCAGTTTACATCAATATAATAATAATAATGCATCACATCTATCACATATATGTAACTGTGTGTGTGTGTGTGTGTGTGTGTGTGTGTGTGTGCGTCTGTGTGTGTGTGTGTCTGTGTGTGTGTGTGTCTGTCTGTGTCTGTGTGTGTGTGTGTGTGTGTGTGTGTGTGTCTGTCTGTCTGTCGTGTGTGTGTGTGTGTGTGTGTGTGTGTGTGTGTGTGTGTGTGTGTGTGCGTGTGTCTGTCTGTCTGTGTGTGCGTGTGTCTGTCTGTCTGTGTGTGTGTGGGTGTGTGTGTGTGTGTGTGTGTCTGTGTGTGTATGTGTGTGTGTGTGTGTGTGTGTGTGTCTGTCTGTGTGTGTGTGTGTGTGTGTGTGTGTGTGTGTGTGTGTCTGTCTGTCTGTCTGTCTGTCTGTCTGGTGTGTGTGTGTGTTTGTTCAGATGGAGGCGGAGCTACAACAGATCCTGGTCCAGGTGTCTGACCTGCAGCGCTGGAGGGAAGTTTTCACTGTGTATAAATATTAATCTGTCTGATTGATTGATTGATTGATTGATAGTTAAGTCTGCCCTGTCTTTCCACTGAGTTTATAAATGATTTGTTGAAATAAATATAATGTCGCTCCAAACCTTTAATTTTCTATATCTATAGATATAGAAATAGATTTATAGATATATCTATAGATATGTCTAGATATATCTATAATTTATCTATATATCTCTTTAACTATCTATACAACAACCTGGTACACAGGTGCCCCATGGAGATTCAAATAATAGTAACAATAATGATATTCTTGTTATAGAGGTGAGTGCAGTAAAGGCAGAGGTCAGTGTTGTAGATACAGGTCCGAGGTCTGTACTGTCTATTTGAGTCATATAATAGTAGCTCAGACATCCAATAATGTGACACTCTTTTTATTTCAGAGACAGATAATAAAGTTTTTGATTGTGTCTGTTTGACAATAATAGAGGTGAGGAAGGACATAGGACAGAGCTCAGTGCACTAGATACAGGGCAGAGGTCTGTACTGTCTAGTTGATCGGTTTTTAAACGTTTCCCAATTCAAACACTTTCAAATCTAGATGAATCCCCGTACGTCCCCTACAGAGCTGATTCTTCTCAGCACATTCACTGCTTTGTGACAAAGGTTTGCCTCACTGCAACTTCTGGTCAATCCAAATGTCTTCAAAGTCCACACGTACGTCCACAAAGACGTCCACACAGACGTCCACACAGACGTCCACAAGGACATCCACACAGACGTCCAAGATAACCCTAACACGGACTGTAAATGTCGTACTGGAATTATTAGTACTGTAGCACAATATTTTATTTGGCCAAATGTGTGATGTCACCAAAATATTTGACACAAACAACAATCAGAGGAGAGAGTACGGGAGCGTGTTGCATTTACTTGAAATAGAAAGATCTAATTCTGCCTCGTTGTAATGAATTCAATTCAATTCAATTCAATTCAATTCAATTTTATTTTTTTAGCGCCAATTCATAACAGAAGTTATCTCAGGAGACTTTTCAAATAGAGCAGGTCTCGACCGAACTCGTTATAACATTATTTACAGAGACCCAACAGTACCACCATGAGCAAGACCTTGGAGACAAGGGCAAGGAAACACTGCCTGTTAAAAGGTAGAAACCTAGGACAGATCCTCCGGCTCTAGGTGGGTGGTCGTCTGCCTCAACCAGTTGGGGTGAGAGAGAGAGAGAGAGAGAGAGAGAGAGAGAGAGAGAGACAGAGAGACAGACAGACAGACAGACAGACAGACAGACAGGTGCACAGCAAAAACAGTAGCAACAATTACACTAATAGTAGTGACTGATGATGATGAACATGACAACAGCAACGATGGGGGACAATGAGCAGTGACAACAGCAACAACAGTAACCGTAGCTATAATAATACTTATAATAATAATAACACTAATATCAGTGATATTGGCAATGGCAGTCAAGCAGGACCATGGCAGGAGGCTTGACCAGGAGTTTAGGTTTAGGGTCCAACATACTCCTCGTGGGACAACCAGGTCTCAGTAAGACAAAGTAAATCAATATCATAATCTGATATTAATTCATTCACTAAAACAGCTTTAGAGGACAGAGACCTGATATTTAACAGCCCACATTTCATTCTCTTATTTTGTGCTACTGAGGAGATGGTTTTAATTTTTATTAGATTTTTATGTTGAACTCCTCTTGTTTTTATTTCTTTAAATAGTTTAGGTGGTCTGGGGACAGACACAGTCTCTATGGGGTTTTGGGTGGGTGACTGTTCTAAAGAAAGCGCAGAGAAGTGTGTAAGACAGCAGCTCTGCTTCCTGGTCCTAACTCTGGACTGTCAGGTTTTAGAAATAAACTTCGCCATATTTCTAGATAAGAGAGCCGCTCCATCCAAAGTGGGATGGATGCCGTCTCTCCTAATCAGACCAGGTTTTCCCCAAAAAGGCTTCCAGTTATCAATGAAGCCCACATCGTTTGCTGGACACCACCTCAACAGCCAGCGGTGTCATTTGCCCAAATGAAGGAGATTCCTCCTGCAGCTCCACAGAGTTCATTAAACAATGAGTGACCGCCCTCTGCTGGTGATCCCGCTGAGCTGCACGGAGGTCAGTTTCCAGGAAACTGATCGTGTATCACACAGTCAGTGTTCAGTTTCAGTGTACAGGTGATACCTGCTGCTGTCTGTACCTGAGACTGCAGTACTACTAATATATATTATTATATAATATTAGTACTACAACTGCTACTATATGGATATATATTTATATTACTGTGCTACTAGCTGTTAGCTGTGTTTAGCAACATTTATTTAGTATTTGTTAGTGATGACAGACTGCAGGCTGGACTACATCCAACTACTGCAACAGGAAGTCAGCAAGAACCCTGATGTGAGTTACCTGACTGGAAATATTACTAATACTACTGCTAATAATAATAATAATAACACTAATACTACTACTACTACTGCTACTATTACTACTACTACTACTACTACTACTAATAATAATAATAATAATAATAATAATAAAATACTATTGGTATTACTACTTTTACTAAAACTACTACTACTACTACTAATAGTAATAATAATAATAATAATAATAATAATAATATTACTACTACTATTACTACAACTACTAGCAATAATAACACTAATACAACTACTACTACTACTAATATTACTACTACTACTACTACTACTACTAATAATAATCAGAATCAGAATCAGAATCAGAATAAGAAACAGCGGCTCTCGGACCAGAGGGGTCATTTGGAGATTTATTTTAATTTTATTATTGATAAGAAGACTTTTCTCTTGAACTCAGATCAATGAGTCAGCTGCAGGTTGTTGATAGTTCACCATCCAGAACTCCAATCCCACATAAAGTCCACCATCTCTGTCTGTAATGAACACTGCGGCCTCCAGGGGGCGCTAACAGGGTTTATACTGATGGTTGTTGGACAGGTGTACTCAGGTGTCTCCGCTCAGGTGTCTCCTCTCTCCTCAGAGGCTGCTGGATGTGGGGAAGGAGGAGGAGCAAGAGGAGGCTCCTCCTCCCTGCAGGACCCTCCCACAACTCTGCTCCATCCCCAGGAGACTGGTCATCTCCCCGGGCCTCGGAGGAACACCGGTGACCCCCCAGCTGACGGAGGTCTGCCTGCCTGCCTGCCTGCCTGCCTGCCTGCCTGCCTGTCTGTCTGTCTGCCTGCCTGTCTGTCTGTCTGTCTGTCTGTCTGTGAATGAATGAATGAATGAAGCTTAGCAGCAAACTTAAAGGACAATTCCGGCACAAAATGAACCTGGGGTTAATAACACATGTGTACCGAGTTGGTCCGTTCTCTGGGATATGTTTTCATGCTAATCGACCGTGACTGGTTTTAGCACAAACCGCTAATTAGCTTATAACGCTAGCCAACGAGGCACCGAGTAACGTGAAAAGAAATCGCTTTTTATACCACTAACAAGGCTCAAAATAGCACCACACTTACACGGTAGCATAATGAGGGCCCCTACCTATAACCTTTAAGATGGAATAATTATTATACAGCTAATCAGTTAGCATTTTGCTAACAATGAAAGGAGGAAGTTGACAGAAGGTTGCTCAACTGTTATTGGAGCACAGGACAAAAGGGGGCAGGGCTTAGGAAAGGTTTAATGAAGTGCGTTGACTCCAACCAGCACTGTGTTATCTTTCTCTTGTCTACATGTTCAGAGTCTGAGGAAGATCCTGTTCGGAGGAACGTTTCACGTCTTCAACTACGAGTGGAGGAAATCGTTCTTCCAGTTCAGAGAGCCCGACTCTGAGTTCTCGTACGCTCTGGAGGCCGACAGGGTGAGGAACACTCAACCTACCTTTATTTTACTTCCACTAATAACTCTGTTCATACTACAGGTTGTGTGTGTGTGTGTGTGTGTGTGTGTGTGTGTTTCAGGGCGGGGCACGGGCCCTTCAGATGGTCGTCCAGGCTCGGATCATTAAACACCTGCTGTTCACCCGACAGAGCGCCTCAGACGGACGGACGCTGAGCAGGTGAGGACAGACTCATTGATCATTACATCATCCTGTTTGACCGATGATAGATTATAGATTATACAGTCATGGAAAAAATTATTAAACCACCCTTGTTTTCTTCAATTCCTTGTTCATTTTAATGCCTGGTACCACTAAAAGTATATTACCTGAAGAATGAAATGAACACGACAGAAAATGCAGCTGATTCCATAAAACTTTATGTCCTATTTGAGATGCTTAAGCTTAATTGTATTCGCAGGGTATATAAGAGGCCATTTCATGTCATAAGCAGCACTGCACATGCAAAGGCCTAGAGTGGTTTCCTGCTTACATTCAAGCCGTAGCCCAACTCAGAAGTTATCAGCACATAATGCCTAAAAAAAAGAATTATGTGAAGCCACAAAGGCAACCATCTTGGCACTGCTGGAAATTGGCATGAGTGAGAGACAGGTAGCAAAAAAAAACTGAAGATCTCCAAGACAGCCGTTCATTACACCAAGAAAAAGTAAGCCAACATGGTACTACCAAATTGCTAGCTGGTTGGAAAACGGAAACGTCTTTCTACCCCACGAGATGACCGTGCACTCATCCGTTCCTGTGTCAGGAATCGTCGTCAGACCTCCAGGGACCTTAAAAACTGGGCACTGTCGAGAAATGTGACTTGTTCAGCAAGGACAGTTCGAAACCGACTTCTTGAAGCTGGTCTGAAGTCACACATGGCACGGAAGAAGCCCTTCATCAACGAAAGGCAGAGGAACGCCCGGTTACTCTTTGCTAGGGACCACAAGGATTGGACTGTTGATGATCGGGCTGAGGTTCTCTTCAGTCATGAATCCAATTTTGAGTTGATGCCCACTCCAGCCAACTTACTGGTTAGGAGGAAGCCTGGAGAAGCCTACAAACCAGACTGTCTTGCCCCTACAGTAAAACATGGGGGTGGATCGGTGATGATCTGGGGTTGTTTCAGTATGGGTGGAACAGGGCAAATGCAATTGTGTGAAGGGCAAATGAACCAGGTCACGTACAGGGCTACTCTTGAAAACAGTCTTCTTTCATCAGCTGATAAACTCTTTCCTGCCTCGAATGACTGGATTTTCCAACAAGACAATGCCCCTTGCCACATGGCAAAGTCAGTTAAAGCCTGGATGGAGAACCAGAACCTTCAAACCATGCCTTGGCCTGCTCAATCACCAGATCTTAATCCAATTGAAAACCTGTGGAACATCATCAAACTCAATATGGAGAACCACAAGCCCAAAAACAAAGCAAATTTGTTTGAATTTTTGCAACAGGAATGGGCTGCTGAGACAGCAGAACAATGCCAGAAGCTGGTGGAGAGCATGCCAAGATGCATGGCTGCAGTCATCAAAAACAATGGTTATGCAATCAAGTACTAACTCCTGTGTGTATCATGTGACTAAAACAGACAGAGAAGAAAACATGGACTGCCTAAAATTCAATTCAATTCAATTTTATTTGTATAGCGCCAATTCATAACAGAAGTTATCTCAGGACACTTCAAATAGAGCAGGTCTAGACCGAACTCTTTATAACATTATTTACAGAGACCCAACAGTACCACCATGAGCAAGACCTTGGAGACAAGGGCAAGGAAAAACTGCCTGTTAAAAGGCAGAAACCTAGGACAGATCCTCCGGCTCTAGGTGGGTGGTCGTCTGTCTCGACCAGTTGGGGTGAAGAGAGAGAGAGAGAGAGAGAGAGAGAGAGAGAGAGAGAGAGAGAGAGAGAGACAGACAGACAGACAGGTGCACAGCAACAGCAGTATTGGCAATGGCAATCTTTTAGCGACTTTTCGCTATTTTCAAAGTTTTTCATACACGCTAGCTTCAGTAACATTAGCAGTTAGCTATGGCTTCTCCCTCTCCCTCTCCTCTGTCCTGCTCAGTGTGTCAGATGTTCAGTTATTCCTCTGCCTCCTTTAAAGATAATGGTTCTTGTATTAAGTGTAGTTTATTTACTGCGCTGGAGGCGAGGCTTAGTGAGTTAGAGGAACGGTACCGCACCACGGAGATATCTTTAGCCGCTATAGTTAGCCAGTCCCCAGTAGCCGGTGCGGTCCGACCGAAGGTAGCTTCTGTTAGCCGTCCTCCGGTAGATCCTCCGGTAGTTCCCCCGGTAGTTCCCGAGCAGCCGGGAAGACAGGGAGGCTGGGTGACTGAGCGAAGGAAGACTAAAACGCCGAAGCCCACAGTTCACCACCAACCCATTCATGTTTCTAATACATTTTCCCCACTCAGCGACACACCCGCTGAGGAACCAACTCTGGTTATTGGTTATTATTATATGTCGTCATTCCACCGCTGGCTGTCGAGGTGGTGTCCAGCAAACGATGTGGGCTTCATTTATAACTGGAAGCCTTTTTGGGGAAAACCTGGTCTGATTAGGAGAGACGGCATCCATCCCACTTTGGATGGAGCGGCTCTCTTATCTAGAAATATGGCGAAGTTTATCTCTAAAACCTGACAGTCCAGAGTTGGGACCAGGAAGCAGAGCTGCTGTCTTACACACTCCTCTGCGCTTTCTTTAGAACAGTCACCCACCCAAAACCCCATAGAGACTGTGTCTGTCCCCCGACCACCTAAATTATTTAAAGAAATAAAAACAAGAGGAGTTCAACATAAAAATCTAATAAAAATTAAAACCAACTCCTCAGTAGCACAAAATAAGAGAATGAAATGTGGACTGTTAAATATCAGGTCTCTGTCCTCTAAAGCTGTTTTAGTGAACGAATTAATATCAGATTATGATATTGATTTACTTTGTCTTACTGAGACCTGGTTGTCCCACGAGGAGTATGTTAGCCTAAATGAATGCACCCCCCCCAGTCATATTAATACTCACATTCCTCGAGGCACTGGCCGAGGAGGTGGAGTGGCAGCCATATATGATTCGAGCGTTTTAATGGACCCTAAACCTAAACTAAATTATAATTCATTTGAAAGCCTTGTTCTTAGTCTTTCTCACCCAAACTGGAAAACACTGCAGCCAGTTCTATTTGTTATAGTGTACCGCGCTCCTGGACCGTACTCTGATTTTATATCTGAATTCTCAGAGTTTCTATCAAGTTTAGTCCTTAAATCAGATAAAGTAATTATTGTAGGTGATTTTAATATTCATGTTGATGTTGACAATGACAGCCTTAGTAATGCATTTATATCATTAATAGACTCAATTGGCTTCTGTCAGAGTGTAAATAAACCAACTCATTGTTTTAATCACACTCTTGACCTTGTTTTATCATATGGCATTGATATTGAAATTAATGTGGATGACGCTCTTCCAAATTATCAGAATATCGCTCAATTTGGCATGATAATCTTAAAATTTATAGAAAGGCCCTCCGTAATGCCAGAGGAGCCTATTACTCAGCACTAATAGAAGAAAATAAGAATAACCCTAGGTTCCTCTTCAGCACTGTAGCCAGGCTGACAGAGAGTCACAGCTCTATTGAGCCACATATCCCCATACACTTAAGTAGCAATGACTTCATGAGCTTCTTCTATAATAAAATTATTACTATTAGAGAGAAAATGAATCACCAACTGCCATCAACAGTTATCAGTGGCTCTCCAAGTTCAGGGACTTCTGCCAATGTAACCTTAGATATATATTTAGACTGTTTTTCTGCTATCGATCTTCATCAGTTCACTTCAATCATTTCTTCATCGAAGCCATCAACCTGTCTATTAGACCCGATCCCAACTAGGCTGCTTAAAGAAGTTGTTCCCTTAATTGGCACTTCTTTACTGGATATGATTAATCTTTCTTTATTATCAGGGTATGTACCACAGTCCTTTAAAGTAGCTGTAATTAAACCCCTTCTTAAAAAGTCCACTCTTGACCCAGGGGTTTTAGCCAACTATAGACCGATTTCTAACCTCCCCTTCCTCTCTAAGATTCTGGAGAAAGTAGTCGCCAAAGAGTTGTGTGACTTTCTACATAACAATAGTTTATTTGAGGATTTTCAGTCAGGATTTAGAGTTCATCACAGCACAGAGACAGCTCTGGTTAAAGTTAATAATAAAAATAACACCCTCTCCACATTCAAGAGTAGGCTTAAGACATTCCTCTTTGATAAAGCTTATAGTTAGGGCTGGATCAGGTGAGTCCTGAACCATCCCTTAGTTATGCTGCTATAGGCCTAGACTATCGGGGGATTTCCCATGGTGCACTGAGCTCCTCCCTTCCTCTCTCTTTCTGCACTCATTCATGTTCCATTAATGCATGTTACTAACTTCACTTCTTCCCCGGAGTTCTTGTGCTTTCTCGTCTCGCAGGTTCTTATCGATCCTGGTGGAGCCTCCTGCCATGGTCCTGCTAGATTGCCATTGCCAATACTGTTGTTGCTGTGCACCTGTCTGTCTGTCTGTCTCTCTCTCTCACCCAAACTGGTCGAGACAGACGACCACCCACCTAGAGCCGGAGGATCTGTCCTAGGTTTCTGCCTTTTAACAGGCAGTTTTTCCTTGCCCTTGTCTCCAAGTGCTTGCTCATGGTGGTACTGTTGGGTCTCTGTAATTAATGTTAAAGAGTTCGGTCTAGACCTGCTCTATTTGAAAAGTGTCCTGAGATAACTTCTGTTATGAATTGGCAGTATACAAATAAAATTGAATTGAATTGAATTGAATTAAGAACCACTGTTGTTGGCAGTACAATGCCATAGCTATTGATGTAAGAACTTTAGATATCATCTCTTAAATTAAACTCTTATGAGATATTTTTGTTGTAATCATTATATTTGTCCAAACAAATGTAACTTTAGTTGTACCAGGCATTAAAATGAACAAGAAACTGAAGAAACAACGGTGGTCTAATCATTTTTTCCATGACTGTAGATAATAGATGACAGATTATAGATGATAGAGGATGGATTATAGATTATAGATGATAGATTGTAGATTATAGATGATCAGACATATTATTAACCAATCAGATATATTGTTAATTGATCAGATATATTATTAACCGATCAGATACATTATTAACCGATCAGACATATTATTAATTGATCAGATATATTATTAACCGATCAGATACATTGTTAATTGATCAGATATGTTGTTAATTGATCAGATATATTGTTAATTGATCAGATATATTATTAACCGATCAGATACATTGTTAATTGATCAGATATATTGTTAATTGATCAGATATATTGTTAACAGATAAGACCTTTCTTTAGTGATGTCACCATGCTGCCAGAACTCATCTGGGCCGTTGCAGGCTGTGAAGTGTTTCTGTTATTTTGTCCACCCTCTATCTCCAGTCTGTGTGACGTAGGACAGAAGGATCAGGAGAGGGCATTGGCGGCAGCGTTGTCCGACAGCCTCTGGTTGGCCGGCCAGGAGCTCAGCGCCACCGTTACCTTGGTAACCAAAGACTACTGCATCACACCTCACCTGGACTACAAACTGGACAACTTCACGGAGAGGGTACCAGTCATTATCTGTTCTAATCAATACTCTATCATTTAATCATTGATCAATAACTGTGAACCATTCCACTGTTTCAGTTACAGCTGTTCACATTTAACAAGAAAGAAGATGTGAGGAAGTTCATCCTGGAGCACGTTCAGTGTGTGAGTACAGATAATGACATAATCAATATTTACACAGATCACTTCTGTGTGAAGTTATAATCAATATAATCAATATTTACAGAGATCACTTCTGTGTGAAGTTATAATCAATATAATCAATATTTACACAGATCACTTCTGTGTGAAGTTATAATCAATATAATCAATATTTACACCGATCACTGTTCTTGTTGCAGTTTAAAGAGGAAGGCAGTCATGGAGTCATCCTCTTCCTGTACAGCCTCATCTGCTCTCGGACAGTCGACAGGTAATGACACTGACAGTGAACGGACTGATTATTGATCAGATTATTGATCAGCAGAGAGTGAACGGGTTGTAGCCTCTGCTGCCTGTGGACTGATTATTGATCAGATTATTGATCAGCAGAGAGTGAACGGGTTGTAGCTTTGTTCCTCTGCTACCTGTGGACTGATTATTGATCAGATTATTGATCAGATTATTGATCACAGAGAGCGGGTTGTAGCCTCTGCTGCCTGTGGACTGATTATTGATCAGATTATTGATCAGCAGAGGTGAACGTTGGCTTTGTTCCTCTGCTACCTGTGGACTGATTATTGATCAGATTATTGATCAGATTATTGATCAGCAGAGAGTGAACGGGTTGTAGCCTCTGCTGCCTGTGGACTGATTATTGATCAGATTATTGATCAGCAGAGAGTGAACGGGTTGTAGCTTTGTTCCTCTGCTACCTGTGGACTGATTATTGATCAGATTATTGATCAGATTATTGATCAGCAGAGAGTGAACGGGTTGTAGCCTCTGCTGCCTGTGGACTGATTATTGATCAGATTATTGATCAGCAGAGAGTGAATGCTACCCTTCCCTGCAGTGTCAACAGTGTGCAACACTAGCTAACGTTATAGCTATGTTACTTGGCTAACGTTAGCTTGCAGATAGCCCCACTAGCAGAATATAAACTGATACTATGTTAGTTGGCTAACATTAGCTTCTCCAGCTAACGTGATCCATGATGCTAACAGTACAAAGCTAACGATGCGAGCTGGGGCATCCAGCTAGTTAGCTGTAGCTAAGCTAACGACCCATTGATTGGACCGTAGAACACTTTAGCTCATCAAGCATCATCATCTTCACTCTTCATCATGAAGCTCATTCACACAGTTCACGAAGCAGATAAACAAAAAGAGGAACTAGCAGACATCACCATTAAAGGTGCTCCTCGGTCTCTGTGTGAAGCTTACGGAGCTAACAAGTGCTACTTCCTGTTTTTACTCATTTCAAAATAAAAGCATGTATTTCAAAATAAATTCAAGAAACGGCTGCATTTACAGGGGTTGTCCAGCTGGCTGTGCCTCGGCCTGTGGACTGTGTGCAGAGCTTGAGCAACAGGATACTGACTGCAGTTCACTGAACGGCCACTGGTGGCGCTGTTACCTACAGTTTTATTAGTTACATATAGAAGCTTTAAAAATGAGTTTCCAAGCACAAACCTGAAACCTCTTCCACAGGCTGAAGGAGGATCTGGACTCTACCACCTCCCACCTGCTGTACCTCAGTTTGGGAAACTTTGTCTGTCGTCAGGTAAGAAGTTCACCAGTTTGAAGCTTTAATGAATAAATAATATCTGTACAACGTCCTGCTCGCTCTGTGCAGGCTCTGATGAACCTGCTGCTGACGGGCAGAGCCACTCCCAACGTCTTCAACGGGACTCTGTACTGTGGGGAGGACGGCCGGCCTCTAGAGCGCCCCCTGCAGGGCGTCCTGTGTCGCAGTGATGTGGGTTATCTTCACTGGAGCAGAGAGCAGATGGAGAGAGACAGACTGCCACAGGTACCGGGTACAGGGTCTGACTAATACCTGGAATAATCATTGCCATCCTTCCCTCAAATGTAATGGAAACGTTGGTCACTGCTCCAGTAAATAGGACGAACCAAAGATACGACCTGGCAATAGGAGATATTTCTAGTTCCCTCCACTCAGGAGCTAACGTTACTACGAGTCAGAGAGCGAAGGTTACGAGTCAGAGAGCTAACGTTACGCTACGAGTCAGAGAGACTCGCTACGAGTCAGAGGCTAACGTTACGAGTCAGAGAGCGAACGTTACGAGTCAGAGAGCTAACGTTACGCTACGAGTCAGAGAGCTAACGTTACGAGTCAGAGAGCGAACGTTACGAGTCAGAGAGCGAACGTTACGAGTCAGAGAGCGAACGTTACGAGTCAGAGAGCGAACGTTACGAGTCAGAGAGCGAACGTTACGCTACGAGTCAGAGAGCTAACGCTACGTTACGAGTCAGAGAGCGAACGTTACGCTACGAGTCAGAGAGCTAACGTTACGCTACGAGTCAGAGAGCTAACGTTACGCTACAAGTCAGAGAGCGAACGTTACGAGTCAGAGAGCGAACTACGCTACGAGTCAGAGAGCGAACATTACGAGTCAGAGAGCTAACGTTACGCTACGAGTCAGAGAGCGAACGTTACGAGTCAGAGAGCGAACGTTACGGTCAGGGCGATCGTTACGAGTCAGAGAGCGAACGTTACGCTACGAGTCAGAGAGCGAACGTTACGCTACGAGTCAGAGAGCGAACGTTACGAGTCAGAGAGCGAACGTTACGAGTCAGAGAGCTAACGTTACGCTACGAGTCAGAGAGCTAACGTTACGCTACGAGTCAGAGAGCTAACGTTACGCTACGAGTCAGAGAGCGAACGTTACGAGTCAGAGAGCGAACGTTACGAGTCAGAGAGCGAACGTTACGAGTCAGAGAGCGAACATTACGCTACGAGTCAGAGAGCTAACGCTACGTTACGAGTCAGAGAGCGAACGTTACGCTACGAGTCAGAGAGCGAACGTTACGCTACGAGTCAGAGAGCTAACGTTACGCTACGAGTCAGAGAGCGAACGTTACGCTACGAGTCAGAGAGCTAACGTTACGCTACGAGTCAGAGAGCTAACGTTACGCTACGAGTCAGAGAGCGAACGTTACGAGTCAGAGAGCTAACGTTACGCTACGAGTCAGAGAGCGAACGTTACGAGTCAGAGAGCTAACGTTACGCTACGAGTCAGAGAGCGAACGTTACGAGTCAGAGAGCGAACGTTACGAGTCAGAGAGCGAACGTTACGAGTCAGAGAGCGAACGTTACGAGTCAGAGAGCGAACGTTACGCTACGAGTCAGAGAGCGAACGTTACGAGTCAGAGAGCGAACGTTACGAGTCAGAGAGCGAACGTTACGAGTCAGAGAGCGAACGTTACGAGTCAGAGAGCTAACGTTACGCTACGAGTCAGAGAGCGAACGTTACGAGTCAGAGAGCGAACGTTACGAGTCAGAGAGCGAACGTTACGCTACGAGTCAGAGAGCGAACGTTACGAGTCAGAGAGCAAACGTTACGCTACGCGTCAGAGAGCGAACGTTACGAGTCAGAGAGCGAACATTACAGAAAGCGAACGTTACGAGTCAGAGAGCGAACGTTACGCTACGAGTCAGAGAGCGAACGTTACGAGTCAGAGAGCAAACGTTACGAGTCAGAGAGCTAACGTTACGCTACGAGTCAGAGAGCTAACGTTACGCTACGAGTCAGAGAGCGAACGTTACGAGTCAGAGAGCGAACGTTACGAGTCAGAGACCGAACGTTACGCTACGAGTCAGAGAGCGAACGTTACGAGTCAGAGAGCTAACGTTACGCTAAGAGTCAGAGAGCTAACGTTACGCTACGAGTCAGAGAGCGAACGTTACGAGTCAGAGAGCTAACGTTACGCTACGAGTCAGAGAGCGAACGTTACGCTACGAGTCAGAGAGCGAACGTTACGAGTCAGAGAGCTAACGTTACGCTACGAGTCAGAGAGCGAACGTTACGAGTCAGAGAGCGAACGTTACGAGTCAGAGAGCGAACGTTACGAGTCAGAGAGTGAACGTTGCGCTACGAGTCAGAGAGCTAACGTTAACACTAACATGTGTCTGTGTGTACAGGTGGGCAGCATGCTGAAGACCCCTAGGTTCCCGGTCTGGCTCTGCTGCATCAACAACAGCTACTCAGTGGTCTTCAGTCTGAACCGCCTGCTGCTGTCGGACTGGAAGATGGAGCACCAGTTCCACCTGTACTACTACAACGGGCAGAGTACTACAGCCAGACTGACTGTAGGTGAGTACTACTACTACTACTACTGTTACTACAACTACTACTACTACTACTACTACTGTTACTACTACTACTACTACTACTGCTGTTACAACAACTACTACTACAACTACTACTACTACTACTGTTACTACAACTACTACTACTACTACTGTTACTACAACTACTACTACTACTACTACTACTGTTACTACAACTACTACTACTACTACTGTTACTACAACTACTACTACTACTACTACTACTACTGTTACTACAACTACTACTAACTACTACTTTACTACTGTTACTACAACTACTACTACTACTACTGTTACTACTACTACTACTGTTACTACAACTACTACTACTACTACTGTTACTACAACTACTACTACTACTACTGTTACTACTACTGTTACTACAACTACTACTACTACTACTGTTACTACTACTACTACTGTTACTACTACAACTACTGTTACTACAACTACTACTACTACTACTGTTACTACTACTGTTACTACAACTACTACTACTACTACTGTTACTACTACTACTACTGTTACTACAACTACTACTACTACTACTGTTACTACTACTACTACTGTTACTACAACTACTACTACTACTACTACTGTTACTACAACTACAACTACTACTACTACTACTACTACTGTTACTACAACTACTACTACAACTACTACTATCAACAATAACAACAACAGAAACGGAGGCTGCGTTTCATTAGTCGTTCACTTGCCCTCGGGGGAATCTCCGCCGCCATCATAAGTGTCGTTCCAATTGTCTGGAAAACTGAAGTGAACTTGGTGAGATGGACCCTCGGAGGGCTGAGGGAGCGAGTGAACAACGATGGTCACTCCGAGGTGGATATCACCCACAATGCATTGCAGTTTGCGTCATTGCCGCTATAACGCCAAGTAAGGGCAAGTGCGTTTCATTTAAATCCCCCGCTCCTCCCCCGCCCACTTTCCCTCTGCGCCCCAAGTGGCCTCCGTGCGACGTATGCTGTTAGGTCATACCAAGGGCTGAGGGTAAGTGAACGAGGGGAAGTGGAACTACTAATGAAACACAGCCCCAGTAAAACTAGATTTTTTCCAACAATTTAACTGCAAAAAAACATTTAAAAACTTGAACTCAGACACCAGAGAAGGTTGAGGGAGTCGCTCCCTGCTGGCTGTCAGAGAGAGTGCAGGTTGAAGGAAGAGGTCTGATCCAGTCCCTGTTTGTCCTGCAGATACTCACTCCCACCACTGGGAGGCGTCGTCCACACACTCAGACGGGGACCCAGAGAAACAGTTCCCTTCACTGGAGATGACCATCAGGACCAAGTGGGATGGAGCGGCTGTAGACTGGAACAGCACCTTACCTTTCTACTGAACACCTCAGACTGGACCTGGGTCTCTAGTGGATCTGTGGAGACCACTATTGTATCTCTAAGGTCCCAAACTGCTCCACAGATTAAAGAGAGGTCCTAAAGAGATTTACTAACCACTGTAACACCAAAATACACCAAAGAGTCCGTTTATAAGGCTGACAGACAGTCCTGGTAGCGGATCCAGACAGACCCATGTCCTGGTAGCGGATCCAGACAGACCATAAACTATCCCAAATCCCACCGGGCGGCTACGTGATGCTGGAGAGCGAGAGCATCTCCAGAGACTCACTGCTGCAGCGTGAGAGTCTGTAGGCTGTATTTTATTTTGAAAGCAGATTCCCTGTGTTGTTTCTGACTTCCTGTCAGTGTGATCTGGACGTCAGTTAAAGCACGTGTCTAGAACGGGCGCCATCACAGCTGTAACGGTGGAACCGGGGGGGTCGGATCAGGCCTGAGGAGAACAGCAATACTTTAACCGTATTTAAAAGCGAATATTACGGAGCTAATAATCAATAAATTACTCAAAATAATATTAATGTCTGTCTGTCTGTCTGTCTGCCCGCCCGTCCCTCTGTCTGTCTGCGATCACATTTATTGGAACAAGGACTGAAACAGGGTTGGCTGTCATTGATTATTGGTTACTGATTGTAATTTATTTATATTAATCTCTGATCATTTTAATCTTCAAACCCACAAATAAAAGAACTTTGTCCTGATGAACGTCTGAAGTTTCTCTGAGCTCATTGGACCTGATTTTAAGGGGCGGTGCCTATGATGACAGTCAGTATAATTTTCAAGTCATCAACCGTTAGAGTATAATTAAAATTTTATTGAACAAATCTCCTAATTATAACAGATTTTTTTTTTTTTAAATAAAAAACTCAAAATACACTGTTCCAAATTCTCATGCACAATAGAGATCAAAACATTTTGAAGGTTGTAAAGAGAACTAAAATGGTAATTTGTTGAATTTGCAGCATCAGCAGATCATATTTACAGAAATCAAAAGTTATTTCAATCAAAAAAATCTTAACAGGCCAAGTTACATGTTAACATAGGACCCCTTCTTCGAGATCACCTTCACAATTCTTGCATCCATTGAACTTGTGAGTTGTTGGAGAGTTTCTACTTGAATATCGTTGCAGGATGTCAGAACAGCCTCCCAGAGCTGCTGTTTTGATGTGAACTGCCTCCCACCCTCATAGAGCTTTTGCTTAAGGATGCTCCCAAGGTTATCATAGGGTTGAGGTCAGGGGAAGATGGGGGCCACACCATGAGTTTCTCTCCTTGTATGCCCATAGCAGCCAATGACACAGAGGTATTCTTTGCAGCATGAGATGGTGCATTGTCATGCATGAAGATAATTTTTGCTACGGAAGGCACGGTTCTTCTTTTTGTACCACGGAAGAAAGTGGTCAGTCAGAAACTCTACATACTTTGCAGAGGTAATTTTCACACCGTCAGGGACCCTAAAGGGACCTACCAGCTCTCTCCCCATGATTCCAACCAATAACATGATCCCGCCACCTCCTTCTGACATCGCAGCCTTGTTGGGACATGGTGGCCATTCACCAACCATCCACTACTCCATCCATGGTTGCACAGCACTTATCAGTAAACAACACGGTTTGAAAATTAGTCTTCATGTATTTCGGAGCCCACTGCAACCGTTTCTGCTTGTAAGCATTGTTTAGGGGTGGCTGAATAATAGGCTTATGCACACTTGCAAACCTCTGGGAGGATCCTACACCTTGAGGTTCGCGGGACTCCAAAGGAACCAGCGGCTTCAAATACATGTTTGCTGCTTTTCAATGGCATTTTAGCAGCTGCTCTCCTAATCCTTCCTCATTATGCCTTTATCTGCACGAATCCGTCTGTGCTCTGAATCAGCCACAAATCTCTTCACATACGATGATCACGCTTAAGTTTTCTTGAAATATCCAATGTTTTCATACCTTGTCCAAGGTATTGCACTATTTCATGCTTTTCGGCAGCAGAGAGATCCTTTTTCTTTCCCATACTGCTTGAAACCTGTGGCCTGCTTAATAATGTGGAACATCCTTCTTAAGTAGTTTTCCTTTGATTGGGCTCACCTGGCAAACTAATTATCACAGGTGTCTGAGATTGATTTCAATGATCCAAAGAGCCCTGAGACACAATACCATCCATGAGTTTAATTGAAAAACTAAAAATGAAATGTTTATGACACTTAAATCCAATGTGCAAAATAATTTGAAATGCGGTGTAGTGTGGTCAATACGAACCGGTCTGCACCACACAATGCATGCTGGGTAGATTTGTTTCCACTCTCTTAGGGGGTCCTGGCCCTGGTCCTGGCCCTGGCCCTGGCCCTGCTCTTGGTCCTGGTCCTGGTCCTGGTCCTGGCCCTGGCCCTGGCCCTGGCCCTGCTCTTGGTCCTGGTCCTGGTCCTGGTCCTGGTCCTGGCCCTGGTCCTGGCCCTGGCCCTGGCCCTGGCCCTGGCCCTGCTCTTGGTCCTGGTCTACAGTGAGATCCAGCAGTGCAGCGAGCGGCGATGAACGTATCAGCTGATTTCTTTTAACTCGTGTAAACAATAAAGAGGAACACTGACCCTGCTCAAGGGGTTGGGTTCAAAGGTCACACTGAAGACACTTTATTTTCAGTCAGTGAGGCTAAATTACAGAAACTTCATCATCATCAGACAGTATTGATTATTGATTGCTTATTGACTCTAAGAGAAGGTCTGTGGTCAGCAGTGAGGATCTGATCAATAATTTAACAATATATCTGCTGATCAGTTACCGGTACCCCTCCAGTCCAGGACCCACAGTGATCCTGTTCCTAACAACTGGCTCCAGACTGGATTCTGGTCCCTCTGTGGGACCGGACTCACCTTCAGGTTTCTGATCAGTTCTCTGAAGGATCAATAACTAATGAACGGATTCAGACCTCATTGTTTGTCTTTAGTTCCTGTTCAGGGTTTCTGGTCTCAGTCTGGGACCCAGAGACCAGCAGGAGTCGTGGAAGAGGACCAGCAGGGTCCAGGTTTAGACCATCCCGCTCCACTGTAGCGAGGTGTACAGCACGCCCCCGTCCGCCGCCGGCGAGCACAGCAGGACCGTCTTCTTCACGTTGGAGCCCAGACGGGCGATGGCGAGGAGGTCCAGCAGACAGACAGAGTCCTCCAGAGACCAGCAGACCGCAATGAAGTGAGCGTGGAACCGAAGGGGGTCACCTGAAGAACAGAAGACGTTAAGACCCAGAAACCAGACCAGAGTCTGGAACCAGAGAGTAAAACCTGGATCTGACCTGGATACACCAGGAAGTCTCCTCCAAACTTCCCCGCTGAGGTCAGGTAGAAGCCCCGCCCCCTCAGGTCTCTGAACACCTGGTACCTGGCGATGCAGCAGGGCTCGTCCCGCCCTCTGATCGGCCAGTTGGCCCGCAGGAAGGCCCGGGCCTCGGGGCAGTACGTCAGCCCCGCCCTCGCCGTGCTCAGCTGGACTGCCAGTGCAGAGTGAGGGAACGTAAAGCTCCGGTCCAGGGCCTCCAGGCGGCTCCGCAGAGCCTCGTCTGCAGCTCCAGACCCTGAACCAGAACCAGGACAGTTAGATGGGACGGCAGGTACAGACGGTACCGCAGGGTAACAGGCGGTCTCACCTGTATGTGATGATGTCATGGCTCGAAGCAGCGCCGACTTCCTGTCCGCCAGAGCGAGGACACTCTGCTCCTCATAAGTCCTCTGCTGGTCCTCCACATACTGCTGCACCTCCGCCCCCCCTCCACCAGGACGGACCTGTAGACCAGGACGCGGTCAGACCGGGTTCTACTGCCAATGGACTCAAACACAGAAACTCCTCACCTGTTAGCGGTGCGTAACTCACCTGGTCAGCGGCGAGCGGCAGAGCGGCGGCAGCGTGGCGTTCACTCAGCAGTCTCTCCTCCTCCGGCAGAAGCAGCAGCGGTCGGCCCAGACGACCGTTCTGTCGGGGGGTTCGGGGCAGGGAACCCAGCAGAGCCCCAACCAGACCCCGAGACCTCACTGAGCGCAGGTCCTCCACCCTCCACAGCAGGGGGGCCGAGTCACACAGACTGAGACCCACAACGTGGTCCGAGTCCTCGTCTCTGCAGGGGGCCTCATCCATCACCACAGACTGTGGATGATCAATACGGATCAATACAGATCAATACGGATCAATACGGGTCAATACAGATCAATACGGATCAATACGGGTCAATACGGATCAATACAGATCAATACGGATCAATACGGGTCAATACAGATCAATACAGATCAATACAGATCAATACGGATCAATACAGATCAATACAGATCAATACGGGTCAATACAGATCAATACAGATCAATACGGATCAATACAGATCAATACAGATCAATACGGGTCAATATGGGTCAATACGGGTCAATACAGATCAATACGGATCAATACGGATCAATACGGGTCAATACAGATCAATATGGATCAATACGGATCAATACATATTAATATGGATCAATACAGATCAATACAGGTCAAAAACTCCATCTTCTTTTTAATAAAATATTATCTGAACCACAACCTGGACCAGAATCATCAGAACCAGTAAGACCAGAACCAGTAAGATCAGAACCAGAATGATCAGAACCAGTAAGATCAGAACCAGAATGATCAGAACCAGTAAGATCAGAACCAGTAAGATCAGAACCAGAATGATCAGAACCAGTAAGATCAGAACCAGTAAGATCAGAACCAGTAAGATCAGAACCAGAATGATCAGAACCAGTAAGATCAGAACCAGAATGATCAGAACCAGAATAATCAGAACCAGAATAATCAGAACCAGTAAGACCTGCACAGGTTACACATCCGGAACTGATCGATGATCAATCAGATCAGAAGCAGTTAGGGTCCACTAACGGTCCACTAACGGTCCACTAACGGTCAGTGTCTGTGGCTCTCACCGGGCCGGATGCACGTGTTTCCGGTGACGCTTTGAACGAGCTGCCATAAACCGGTGCGACGGCGCTTTTTACTGGATCGATATAACGACCATAAACCCTGAGAGCCGGTAGAGAGCCGGTAGAGAGCCGGTAGAGTGCCGGTAGAGTGCCGGTAGAGAGCCGGTAGAGTGCCGGTAGAGAGCCGGTAGAGAGCCGGTAGAGTGCCGGTAGAGTGCCGGTAGAGTGCCGGTAGAGAGCCGGTAGAGAGCCGGTAGAGTGCCGGTAGAGAGCCGGTAGAGAGCCGGTAGAGAGCCGGTAGAGAGCCGGTAGAGAGCCGGTAGAGAGCCGGTAGAGTGCCGGTAGAGAGCCGGTAGAGTGCCGGTGGACAGACGGTAGAGAGCCGGTAGACAGACGGTAGAGAGCCGGTAGAGAGCCGGTAGAGAGACGGTGGACAGACGGTGGACAGACGGTGGCTCCGCTCTCTGCTGCTGATATCCGCGTCCGTTTGATATTGTCACCGTCACCGACTCGGCGGGGCGGAGCTTCCAGGAGCGGGGACTCGGGCACGCGCCCCGCCCAGCTCGACCAGCAGAGAAACTATAACGAGCGCACACAGAGGAACCCCCGGAAGTAGAACGGACCAATAGGAGCGCAGAGACTGGCTCAAATCAGCATTACGGTAAATGCGGAGAAACAGCGTATTCACTTCCGGTTTTCAAAATAAAGGTATTAAAAACAGCAAGCTATTATTCAAACCTACATTTAAAATAAAATATGTTACATTAAAGTGTTTCACGCACCCATGATGAATAAAAAACACCAGTGTGGAGAAATAAAAGTCCATATTTATACCTCCAAGTGGCATCTTTTCATATATTTGAGGTATAATATTATATTTAGTTTGATTGATGAAGGTGATCAGAATGTGTAAAGACCTGTAAGACATCCAGCAGCTGACCTTCATCATCATCATCACTATGACACTCATGCCTTAAGTTAACGTTTGTTTTTAATTCTTCTGTACCATCGTCACATAACAACAACAATAACAAACAAACAAACAAACAAACAGTTGAATTCCTGAAAAAGTGGAGTTAGGAGGCTTTTATTCTGAAAGGAACACTGTACAGATGTTGCATAGCAACAGGGCTTCAGTGGGCTGTACACACACACACGCACACGCACGCACACACACACACGCACACACTCGCACACACACACACACGCACACACACACACACACACACGCACACACACACACACACACACAGTTTAAAGGAACAGTTCAACACTAGAAGAAGAGTTAAAATGTCGCACTGTTCCTTTAACAGATTTCTGTTGTTTCATTTCACTTCAGCTTCTTCCTACATCTCCCAGAATTCATTTAGGCAGCCTCCAAATAAAGAGGAATGGACTCTCAGCAACAGGCAGGTCAACCAAAGGCAACAATGCACCCCCCCCTCACAGAAACCAGGAAACAGTTTGGCGGAAAATTAGAGAAACTGATGCTGTCTGTTTAAGTGCAACAAAAAAGCCTGTGTGTGGTGCATTGTGGGATTGGAGGCGGGGCCCGCGGGTCCGGCAGCGCCCCCTACTGTCCGATCTGCAGCTCCTCAAGCTCCTTCAGCAGCTGCTCCTCCTTCTGCACCTTCTCCAGCTGAGAGAAACAAACGCACCCCTCGTTAGAAAACCAGATTCATTCATCTAACCCCTAAGCCCCGATTAGCCTAGCATTTAGCATATCTAAGTACAGGAAAGGAGGAAGTTGACTAAGCTTGCTCAACTGTGATTGGAGCACAGACCGTAAGGGGCGGGGCTTACAGTCTCTGCGCTCTCATTGGTTGGTTACCTGGTTCTTCTGCAGCACTTTTCCCGCTGCCTGTTGCTCCTTCAGCTCTTCGATGGCTTTCAGTTTCTGAAAGACACAAACCGACCAATCAGAACGCAGCGTACCTGCACACTTTACCTGAGCAGCAACGAGGCTCCTCACCTTCTTTAAGTTCTTCATCTTCTTGTCAGTCTCTGGGTCGCCGCTGCTCGGCTCTGATTGGCTGTTGCTGACGGGGGCGGGCTCAGATGGAGATTCAGGTTTCGCCTCCTGCAGATTAATTATTAATTAATTTATTAATTAAATTAATTCTTCTTGTTATTATTATTATTATATTATTATATTTATTATCAGACTGTCAGTAATGAACAGGAACGCAAGGGGTGATGGGAAACGTAGTCTTCAGTTCACCTGTTTGGCAGCTTTCTTGGCCTCTCGTTTCTTCTGGTTCTTCAGAGCTGATTTAGAGAGACTTTTCTCTCCAGAAGCACCAGGACGCATGTTCTGAGGAGGCTCCTCCTCGTGCTGACACAAACAAACAAACAAACAAACAACACTGAGTTGAAATGCACCCTGGGAGTTGTGGTTCTATTTCTAGAGTGACCTGTAAACCAGTCATTTCCTCACCAGTTTGGCGCTGGGCGTGGCCGGCAGGTGTCTCAGTGCAGGTGGGCGGTATGCCTGTGTGGGCGGGGCTTGTGTGGTTCCCAGCTCGCTGGGCGCCGCCTGGTACTTGACGGGCCGCTCGGGGAAGCTGCCGTCGGGGAACGGCTGCCAGCGGACCTCCCACAGCTCCGAACCAGCTGCCACGTCCCATTTGTGCAGCACGGAGCCGGTGTAGTGCCAGACCTTGAAACCGTTACTGACTCGCAGCCGCGGGGAACACGTCGCCGTGACAACGTGCTCGCCATCGGGACACCAGGAAAAATGTGTGGCGTCTGGCGCCTGAGGTTTGGACACCTGTGGACAGACAGAATACACTGTATCTTTATTGATCAGAAAACACTGTATCTTTATGGATGATATTGATCCTGGATTGACAGTCAGACTGTGGACATATGACAGCCTTTAGCTCGTGTTTCCAGAGTAACGTGTTGTTACCGACATGTTAGGAATGTCCGATATAGTTTGTCCGATAATGTTTTCAGATGAAACAACATTGGTTCTTTGGACTGCTGTTCTTCCTCACCTGTTTGTATTTCTTCACGTCCCAGACCTCCATCTGACCTCGCAGGTTCCCGAAACCAGCCAGGACCAGTATGTGACCCTGAGGACTAAAAACAGGAAGGTCAGTTCTTTATTTAACAGTTCAAAACAGGTCTCTAAAGAACTCAAAAGTACAGTCAGAGTCTGAGCCCTAACACCTCTAGTGGACATTAGAGGAACTGCAGGCAGCTGATTGGACGCAGCAGCCTACAGGACATGAACCAGAGGCGGGTGTGTTCTTACCTGTAGTAGGCAGCGTTTCGGGGTCCAGTCCCGAAG